TCGTTGAAGATATATCAGCTGCCTATGCCAAGGAGTCACATGACTTAGGCATATCAGCTGAATAATGGTTCCAACACTGGGCCTACTTTAAAGTGGTAAGAACGTAAAGGTCAAGATATCAAAAACAAAACGTGCAGTTCCAGAATCCAAATTCATCTCATTTCCCGGTACTCAGGTGTTGCTCAATTTGAGCGTTCAACCCAACCAATAGCCTGCAAGTCGATGCGGTTCGTATCTATGAGTTGTCTTAAGGCGTTGCAGGGCTTGCTTTTTGTCATTGCATCGGCAGGGTTAGAATCTCCATCAATCCACTTGATATCCGTGATTTGGCGGCATTCATAGGCTTGTCGGAGGTACATAACATCAATTATAAGGCGTTTCTCTTGCGTAGATCCGAGCCGTACAAGGCAATCGTATAATGACTTCGAGTCAGTGCAGAATACGATTGGAATGTTAGCTTGCAATATTTGGTCTAAAGTTGACTTTATTGCGAATGCAATATCTGAACCGTGAACCATGGCATAAAGTTCTGATGCTAAAACACTGCGGGTAACACGTTTGCATTTAATAGAACTCCAATGAACAATGTTGGCATTCGGGGCGGTAGTGTTACTGGCATTTCTTTTGTCGGCTAGTACGATAACATAGCCAATTTGGGAAGAGAGATCCTTATTGTTGGCGAATGATGCGTCTGTAAAAACTAGCAGTTAAAGAGATTCCAGGTCCAGTTTGACATATTTAAGGCTTCTGGTGGCGTTCTCTAGCTGCCAGTTAAGTCGCTTGTTGAGGAATTCAGCATCTTCCTTGCTTGGGTTGATCACTTGGGCAGCGAATGATAAGTCGAATGAAGCCTCTGGCTGGCAGATAGAAGCAATATAGGTACCTCTTGCGCGTTCTGCAATATATCGATCCTTTAGGGTGCCTGATGCCTGAGCGGTTGTCTTGCCAATAGGTAATAGTTTGATACATTGGGTCTCCTGGATAAGAGTAATCCCATCAGGTTCTAGCTTGACCATGCTGCCATTGAACTTCAAAGGTTTTTCAATGGTTAACTTCTCGCGGTCTTTAGCCAAAAATTGAGCCTTCTGTAACTCAATCTCTTCAGATTCAGCGAACGTGGCATCTGCGAGAATGAGGGTATCGTCAGTTTAAAGTCCAACGATACCGAAACCAGTGGATTCTCCTGAATTAGGACTATCCATAGTGTAGAGTAGACATGGGTCGAATGTTGATTGGCTCATCCGGAGGTATTCCAAGTGGTAAGAATGGTAGGTTCTGAACCAATGGTTCCCTACTTCAAGGATTCCATAGAGAGGTTTGATAACCTTCATAACAGTATTAGCTTGCGAAATATCGCGGAGATATAGCTGAGAATCTGTCATACTTGAAGCAATGCAAAGAATAAGGCGCTGGCTGACTCGCTGGATCGTCGGAGATTGCGTAAGAATTAGGTCTTTTCCCTGATCATTATAGGCTTGTATAACCAGTCGCGATTTCTCGAATGCTCTCTCTGTTCCTTTATTCTTGATCTCGTCAACAAAGCGTGAGTTGAAAAGTCTGGTCCCTGGTAGAATGTCTTCAGATTTGAGGAACTCAAATACCCCTTTTTCAAGCAGGCCATTGACCTCCTTTTGCCTTGAAACATGATATAGTTGGATACCGGGATCGCTCCCAGTTTGCAAGAAGACATTTGTGGGCAAAGGATGCTTGCGTGGGCGGCCTGGGCCTCGTTTTTGTAGTTGCACAGGTTGTAGGGATATAGGGGCGGGTTTGCGGTCTGTGTTAGGCAATCGAGTTCGTCCGGAGCGCCTAAAGATAGGTCCTGAGTGTACTTCTGGAGGTTCTACGGGATCTGAGCGTGATTCTTTATCAATACCGTATTCTGTTTGATCAATTTGGTCTGATTCTGGAGCTTCTGAGTAATATGGCTTGACCACTGTCGATCGGAATTCTGTTGGGCCACTAGGTAACTTGACTGTGCAGGTTTCCCTTTCAATTGTTAAAAGGGTAAATGGGCCAGTCTAGCTGCCTGTTTTTCCTCCGTTCCCTTCTCGCCAGACAAGGACAGGCGAGCTTGGTAGCAAGTCATGTACAGCCGTAATGCATGGGCCGTTTCTTATATTCAATGTATCAGCCAGTTGGCGCTCTGCTCTAAGCTTCTTGATCTCTGCTATGGCTTTTCTGATAGCTGCAGCCCGCTGGGAAATTGATGGCAAAGGTACATCTGAATCAACTATGCGAGGATATGCGCCGAATACCAGTAGGGTAGGAACCAAACCTCCAGGTCCCGCGGAATCGTTAATAGCTTTAAACGCCATTTGAAGGGCGATCTCTTTGTCAATATCAGGGATCTCAGCAATGATAATCTGGTAGGCTCGGCGCAGTGGGCTATGGTATCTCTCAATCATACCTATCGAGTTGTGTGCTTCAATGGGTATGCTTCTTGTGCTAATATTTATTGTCTTTGCATAGGTCTTGAATTCCTTGCTCACAAAGTTCTTCCCGGCGTCATGTGTGATCAAGTCTGGAGGGCCTAGGTAGGTATCAATCCAGCACATTCGCAGCATATCCCAGGTGTGTTTAGCACTGATATCTTTTAACCATCGGCCGGATTGGAAGCGAGTTGCTTCGTTAACAACGTAAAAGAGAGGCATATTGTCAATATATATAATATCGACAATAATGTTGAAGTTGAAATGTGCCTCATCCTTGAGATTGAATCGGAATCGACCGGGAGATTTGCCAAACTTCTGACAATAGTAACAGAATTTAGTGAGATGTTCTAACGCTACTATATTTAGCTCATAGCCAGCACTTCTTAGAAGTGTCTGAAGTCTATCGACAGATGGATATCCGAAACGGCGATATAATTTTCGTAACTCAATATCTGTCAGAAAGCAAGGATTCATATCAAATGAAGGAGTGAGGTATGAAGATAAAGCAGAATTCTATAACAGAAATAGATGGCCAAATCGACGAATAACAGGGATCTCAACAAATGATTTGGTAGCAGATCTGGAGGCAGGCTTCGGGGCCACAATAACATTCTTGAAGTTATTATAGTATATTCCGAGACTGTCCATATCCGCTAGGCATAGCAGAAATGGGGTATCAGCGTTTACAACATAGAATTGGATATTACCAATTGGAGTTGAAACTCTTGCAGAGCCGATTGAAGAAATTGTTCTAATGCCGAATTGAACATTTACCTGACCAGCTGTCGAGGTATCTAATGTAATGTTTTCTGTGTTCTGAAGTGCCTGGAATTGGCCATATCCAGCTGTAGACTTTTCAGAGGTACCGGTATCGATCATTATTCCCATAAAGATTTCAGAGTTGTATCGGGTCGCGCTCGCGGAAGTAGTATTAGCGTTATAGCTGAATGGGTCGGTATCAACTATCAAGTTCAAGGGTTTTCGGTCATTGATACAATGAGTAAAGGATCGATTTGCAAGTTTAGAGGTTGTAATCATTGCTTGTTGAACAGTAATTGAGCCGAATGAGGTAAAGAATGTATCAGTAAGATCATATTCTTCTTTATTAAGGTCTGTTATTTCAGCTTCAGGTACAATAGTTTGAGCATCAAGTATAAGTGCTTCAAAAGCTTCTGCTTTTTCTTCTTTGTTATTCCTTTCGCAATATATTATATACTGCCTGTATCGTCTGTTGAAGTCGCCATTCTTTCTTCTGTCATTGTTGAAACGCTACCGATATTTCTCCTTAGATTGCCTCTGTTCTTCTTCAGTGTGTCTCCAAGAGCGGCAGGTTAGTTTCTGGCAGACGTAGCATTTGCCCGGTAGATCTCTTTTGCTTTAATTGTAGTTCCTATTTTGATTGTGATACCTTCTATCAGTATAGAAGGTCTCTTCTCGGGGACTTGTGTAAGAGATTCCATGTTGTAGATTCTCCTTTTCTTACGTGGTAATTGAGGATTGCAGTTTATTGATCAATACTGCGAGGTCTTCAGGCGGGTCGGCAATAGCCATGCGGCATGCTGGTACTCCCTGGCAAGCTGTAATAAGCTTGTTAATCAGATTCATGTTGGTTTGGAGCTCAAGGTGGAGGCCGTAACGTTGTTTTAAGAGATTGCTGAGTAAGAGTTGAAAACCTTGATAGATTGATTTCTCATAGTTATCATTTATGATCTTCTGGAGCGATATGGTATTCCACTTGGTTAAGTTCTGCCGGTAGAACTCGGGTCCTTCAAAGAATTGGCGTAAGTGATAACATACTTTTTGAAACGTCTTTAATGATAGGCTACTGCTGTAATAGTGGTCTTCGGCAACACCTTTAAACATTATTAGTAATGCAGCCTTGTATCCATGTGATAGTAAACCAGCTCTAGAGCAAATGTCATAAAAGATGTTCAGTTTGAAGTTAAGGCTGCTGTTGTCCGTACCGCTATATTTCTGGTCTTCTGTGTGAATCTTTGTGACTGAGGCGATTTCCTTAGAAAGGTCATTCTTGGGCCTCATAGAGAGTGCATGATTGCTTTCTTGAACAAGGCGGTTAGTCTCAAGGGTAAGGTAATCAGTTTCAGAAACGTGATTGGTTCCTGGGGTAGAAGGATTGGCTTTGGGAGTAGCGAAACGGTCTTCTGAAGAGGCTGAAAGATCTGGATAGTCTCGTCTCACTTGCGGATTAGCTTTAAGAGAAGCTGAATGATTTGAATAACCTTCTGTAGCTTGTGTATTCTCTCTTAAGCTATCGCGTGTTAGATTCAAGCGTTTTCGGAGTATAGCAGTAATCATTGGTAAATCAAGTTCTTCTAGAGCAGCTTTAAGCTCTTCATTAGTCTATTCATGGAATTCATCTTACTGAACAACTTCGGAAAGTATATCATAGAGAGGATTCCTCGTGTTATGACGGCGAACGAATACTTCTCGCTGAAGCAGATTGTTTCTGAGGTTCACTCTTGCATAAGGGCTGAGTTGCTTGAAATGTTCAGGTTTCCAGCCTTCGAATTGTTCTCGGAATGTCATCTACAGGTTGTGATCAAGGATAGTGTTTGTAAATTGCATATTTATCGTATAGGTATTGAGGTTCTGTTTTGTGGCTGTACCCAAATCAATTTCCCAATCCTTATCTCCACTTGATGAGGACTGTAGTAGTTGAGACATGGTAGTGCGAGTGTAGAAGAGTGTAATAAGGTATAAAGGATAGATAGAAAGGGGCAAGGGGCAAGGGATAATATAGAATAATCACTAGAATAGAGATAGAAATGATTCTCTGGGATAGTAATTGGTAGAAAAGGAAAAAAGGTGCTAAGATTGGTAGCTGATTGTTTTTCTGATATATCACATCTGCAGGGGTCCTTCGGTTAACTTCTGAAAATAGATAATTGGGCACACAAAAAGAGGGGTAGAAGGGGAAAAATAAAAAGTAAGAAAACAAGGGAAAAATAGGGAAAATAGGGAAAATGGAGGAAATAGAGAAAGTAAGGAAAAATAGAAAAATAGGGAAAAGTGGTCAAGAATTGGAGTTTTTGATGTTTTTGAACGTATTTATAGGTCTTCGGGCTCTATAAATGGTGATTAGCAAGAGAGTACGCTTCTAGGCGATAGTTATCCAACAGTTTTGAGGCTGTTAAATGTCCGTTCAAGCTTTGAATTGTCACAATCTCCTCCTTCAACTGATATAGGGCAATAGCTAGGCGATCATGGAAAACAGCTTCTTAGGGCTGTTAACTCAGTTTCAAGCTTCGCAGTTGCGTATATCCTGATCTGTACGTCTACTGATCAGTGTCGGTTGACTTGGTCATTGCCCTAAGCAGATATCCTATCGATTCAACTGAATGTAGGTATATGCTCGGTGGGTAAAAAGTGAAGTGTTATGTCAACCGTATGTGACCGCTAGTCACATAGGAAACCTTCCTATTCCGGATATCGGTATTGGTAACACCGATCCCCGAGGATTATGCAGATTTTTCTGTTATTTCCATGGTTCAAAAGTTATATCTCTTCTAGTTGCCTTTTTCAGGCTAGATTGCTTATTAATTTTTCATGTATTTAAACCACCGTGTGCAGCTAGATTGAAAGAATCAGACCTTCATTATTCGATATTCCTATGGGTAACATTACTAGCAATTACGCCTAGAGAAACGGCCAACATGTTATTCTAAACTACTCGCTTCGTTGAAGATATATCAGCTGCCTATGCCAAGGAGTCACATGACTTAGGCATATCAGCTGAATAATGGTTCCAACAGTTATGGATTCCTACCCCGAGCACGTCAGTTCGGCATCGGCTGCAACTCAGGTGTTGAGGAGTTTGCTGGCATTCGCGTTCCCATTATTCTCCAATAGTCTTTACAACGCGCTCGGATATGGGTGGGGGAACAGCTTGTTGGCGTTTTTATCGATTGGCATCGCGCTGCCCGCGACCGGCATACTTTGGCGCTGGGGTGCCAAACTGAGAAGTCGGCAGCAGTCCAGCTATTGAGACGGCACTACTTTGGTATGCTTTATTGCATGACCAACGCAATTGCAAAATATCTTCGGTTTGTGCCAATTCTCTACTGCCGGTTTGACGGTTCCGCTATTTGTTTATCGATGTTGCTGCTATAGGATCCAGTTGCCAGCCTCTTCCAGATGTATAGGTTCTCTGTATCGATTGTGATCTCCAGTTAAGACTATTCTCTAGCCAGTATTGTCTGTTTGTTCTTAACGTCTCTGTACGGGTTTTGCAGGTAAATGCTTGTAATATCTCTCTGCAGCCTGGTCCCGGTCTTCGCGTTACAGCTTGTTTTGCTGCTTGATCTGCCCTTTCGTTTCCCTCTATACCTGTATGCCCTGGGACCCATTGAATGATCGGATTACGGCCCCTCGATAGCAGGTCCTAAACGACAGTGCGTATATCAGTAGCTATTGTCTGACCTGATCTAGATCTTGCATATTGTAGCCTGCGTATAGCTGCTTGAGAATCAAGCATTATAGTAATTAGTCTTTAGGTTTTTATCTCTCTCGCCAGTTGTAGTCTCTGGTAGACTCCTAGGAGCTCTGTATCAAAGACTTCTTGTCCTTTTCTCATTGGGAATGTTTTTGTCTTCTAGCAGCTTTGCTGAGCTTGCTATACTATTTTAGCTCCAGTTTTTCCGTTTTCTAGCCTAGATCTATCTGTTCAGATAATCTGAATTGCTGGGGCTGCTTAAGTTACCTGAAGTGCTTCCTCTGGAGACTTAATGATAATCTGGCCTGGAAAACTATTTTCCGAGATCTGTATTGAGATTTTAAAATCTCCTGAGGGGTCTACTAGTAGAATCTAATTTAACTGATACGCTAGATATTAGCCTAGTAACTATAGTTTCCAGTTTAATTCTACTTAATTTCGGTTCTTTTCTGGCTGTTCGTTAGGTTGTACGTACTGATCCCTTTCTCTAAAGTTGACTGAAAGAATTTGCCTTGCTAGATAGTTCTCGTATAGACCTAGTAATAGGATAGTATATTCTAGCTATTTAAATTATAGTAAATATTTCGCTGGTATTAGGCCTGTATCCCGAATAAGAGGGCCGATGGAAATAGTTCTAAACATTCTCGTAATTGCTCGAACTTATCAATTAAGTAATTATTGTATCTCTTCTAGCCGATCTTTCTGGCCCTGTTACCAGAGCTCTACCCTATATAGAGTTACTGATTGCACTGCAGCTACCTGGATCCTGCGTATTAGGTCTAGGGGTAGGCTCTATCTGCAACACAGAGACTGTACCCGGGTTTCCGTTGTGCAGGCCTTCCGTAGGCACGTATTGTAATAGACTTTTAGATTAAAATCTGCATTCAGTCATAAATCTAGCTACCAGGTAGCTTCTTAGTTAAATGAGACTCAATATCTTTTAATTACTATATAAATTCGCTAAGTCTGGACTCTAAGTTTTTAGCCTCTGTCACGGACTGTGACCTGCCTCCGAGGACCTTCCTCGCGATACCCTATAACCTAACTCCCCGATACGGACTAGCGTCAGAGCTGTCACACATAACGCAACTACCTCCTGAATAGCTTCATAACTTAGCTTAGTTTCCTCGTCAAATGCATACCCTACATTCTCACGATTCCCTATCGTCAGTGTAGCCGTTCGTCACAGCCTCGTTTTCGGGTAAAAAAGACGGTCTCTATTTTTTCTGCGTTAAACTAAACTTTATATATCTAGTTTTAGCTAATCGCTATCTCTGCTGTCCGCTGTAACATGTCGCATATTTTTTTTACTGAATACCTTAAGACTAGAAGACCTATATTATCTGCAAATAATAAGGCTTGAACCTCTGGTACTGCCGTTTCTATAGCCTCAAAGACCCCGCTGAAATAGATAATAAAGAGGATTGAAAACACTAGTGATCTCTGAGGGATATCTAAATTGATTGGCTGTTTCAAATACTGAATATTATCGATAACTTGCTGAACCCTTCGGTCAGTTAGAAAAGATTGTATCCAACGTATAAGGTCTCTGTCTAGATTGAGCTCTATTATTCGGGTTATCAGTCTGGTTAAATTAACATAATTAAACGTTCTTTTTATATCAAGAAAGAGGGCTTTTATTAGCTGTTTTAGGCTTTACGCCTTATAAGTTCTTTGTATCAGACAGGTTATAACATTTATAGTATTTCAGCCCTTTTTGGATCCTATTTGACCCGGGTATAAATTCCGAGTAATTTTGTAATAGTTAGCTATAGCTTCTGCTGCTACCTTTTTTACTACCTTTTTTAGGCAGTTGAGTAAGCTGATTACCCGGTAAACTTTAACTTTTGTATAGTTTAGCTTATTCGGTTTCTGCAGCAGAATACCTTTAGCTATTTTTTATGTCTCTGGATGAACGCCTAGCCTGAAACTCTGCTTTACCAGAGCTATTAGCCTGGGACTGTCCCAGTCTTATAGTAGCTGTAGAGCTCTAAAATTCAGCTTATCGATACCAGAGGCCTTTTGAATAGCTTAGTAAAAAAGTACCTGTTTGATCTTCTCTTCATCAATCTGGGTGTGTTAGGTCCCTGGTAGTAGTCGCTCGGAGTCTTCTTCTTCTAGAACCGGTAGGAAAACTATTTCTCGTACTAAAGCCTCTTTTTTATCGATAGTAACTGCTGTTTGGCCCTCTGGGCCTTGTAAAGCTGGTTTAATACTAGCCCTACTGATCTTAGTATATCGAAATGCTTGCTAGTACCTTTCCGATTCGCTAGGATCTATTTCCCCATTCTGCGGCTCTACTAGGAAAGCCTTCTAGCATTCCCGTTTAGTTTTTCAGATAGCATTATAGTAGATGTTTCAGGCTACTTTGTATTTGCTGTCCTGGATACCCTGTATCGTTTAGACCCGTTTTACTCAGGCGTAATTTTGTCTGATCTTTTTTATTGCTGAATTCCACTATCGTTTTGATCGAGATGTTACCTGCAGTTTATTTGCGTGTTAATTCAGCACAGTTATAAGATTCTCTTAGATCCAGTAGGCCTCTTTAGCCACTTCATCATGTTAGCAAGTGTCATCAAGCTGTTTTTTCTGGCTTGATATGTGGCTCCAAGCTTGTTTTGCCTTCTCTAAGGCCTCTGGATCTGCCTGTAGAGTCTGGATCTGCCAGCCTGTAATTTCCGCGAGAGAGTGCGTATTCGCAGCGCCACCTTCGCTCAGTGGAAGCAGGAATGGAGATCCTCTAGTAAGGGCAACCACCTGAGGAAGATGGACAGCCCCCTACCGGCGATTTACACCAGAAAGCTATACTGCAGTCTAATCAGGAACCAGGCGTACCTGTTAACGCAGTTGCGCACGGGCCACAGTTGGCTAGCTAGCCACGCCAAACCCTTTGGCTTCCGCGAGGACGACCGGTGCGCGTGCGGCACAAAAAATTGTCCAAGATTGTCGGTACTGGGAATGAAGTTAAGCAGAGATGTAGGAGGGGCATTTAATACCGTCTCGAGTCTGCAAAGAGGCTCAATTGAAGGTAAGCAAGGTAATTCAGACATCATCTCGCGGGCTAGAATAGTCAAGGCTGTGCTAGACTTTGCTGAGGCGTCACAACGGTTTCGGAGTCGTGCGCCAGAAGGGCAGCCTAACATCGGGAACAGCAATTACGCCAGGATAGGCCGTGACGGGGCTCTAAGCTCGTCTTCAGGAAGTGTGACAGTTTACATGTACATACAAAGTTATATAGAGTTGCGGTAGCCTGCATATCGCTTAATTTACGAGGGGTCGGGGTAAATGAAACCAACCAACCAACCAATCTCAGATTTTGAAGAGTATTCATTCGCATTTAAATCCGAACATAGCCCATTTATTTGCCTTATGAATACATTCGGGATTGATGCATTTAGAAACGTCCCCTACATGGACGTCAGAAGGCTGGTCCCAAGGCATGCATAAGAATTTGACTGAAGCCGCCACTGGTTTAACCTCAAAATCAGTATCGTTCTCAGCAGCAAGTTCGCTCCTAGAACTCTCAATCCGTTGTTGGCAGTCTTTTGTCAGACAATGAGGAACCAAGCAGATACAAGCCGTCTTCCTGTTACAAAGTATTTCGACGAATTCATTCCAGTCGGTAACTTGTCTTTGACGCGAGCGAAGGGTGTTTTGGGCCTTCTCGAAGAGGCCCTTATGCATAGTTTTGAGGAGTTCCGAGATACCAGTGGGGAGTTGAGAAAGAGACATGGTAGTTCTCTCTTCTGACTTGGGAAGATCTCTCCGATAGATGGTGACATATCGACCGGCCAGCTCCTCCGACCCGACAACTAGGCGTAGTGGAGCGCCGCGGGTTACCCATTCTTGCACCTTCCAGCCAGTGGAACACCAGTTGCGCAGATCTGCTGTAACACGAATATCCAGAGAAGTCAAAGTGGATTGAATGGAAAAGATCTCGGCGTAAAGCCTCTGATGGTCGTGTGGATTGTGTGTATCCTGGTAAGGAATTATAACCACTTGCGTTTCAGCAATGTAAGGTGGAAGAACTAGGCCCCGGTCGTCGCCATGCGTAGCTATCATCAGACCAATAGCACGGATAGAAAAGCTCCACGAGTTCTGCCACACGTGTAGCGTAGAGCTCGCATTGTTCTGCAGGTCACCAGGGTACTCAGAGATAGTAATACTATACTCCTTGCTCATATGCTGGCCTAGCTCGTGGCAGACACCAGCTTGGATGCATTGTTGAAGAGTAGGAATAAGACCAAATAGGACAGCTGTTTGAGTTTCGTCGAGATTATTAGCGTTGCCTTGCTGACCCTTGAGAAGTGGAACAGCCAAAAGCTTTTCATAAAGAGCTGTGTAGAGATCAAGAACCTGCAGCATCTCTGAATGGGCATCATACTGCGTCTTATGCACCGTATGTGCTTCTTGTATGAGAAACTCACGGCACCTGAGAAAATGCTGCGGCCAGGGCTCCGACCTGAATGCTGTCGTCCACTGATTCAGTCGAAGTGGGAAGTCATGAGGGCTTGCGATCCACCTGGCATAGTACGAGCAGATCATGGATGTTGTGCTCGTCTGATCGCGTAGTCTGGGCTCAGTATCCCTCCGTGCATATCTATTATCGTCATATCTGTTGTCGCCGCTGACCCCTGTATTCTCGACTGATGATAACGGGAAAGCACAATTCTGCACACCTATGCGTTTAAGCTTATCGTTCAGCGATGCACGGATCCTCTCCCAAATTGCATACGCTGCTGGCTAACACAAACATGAATGGTAAATGATCTATAAACTTTTGGGACGCCCAATTCCTAGACGTACCTTGAGGATAGACAACCCCTGAATAGAAGTGTCGTCATCAGTTAGCTCACCCTTTTCTAAAGTCTGCCGATACCACTGCCAAAAGTCATCTTCCTTCGCCACGTCAACAAGTGGTGGGGAAAGTGCTGTAATAGTCCTTCTGAAAGACATATAGATTATCAATACCTTCAGAAGAGGAAGACAGGGTATAAAAAATCAAAGTTTGAATTATTTCAAACAGAACAGTGGGGTCAAGGTAAAGGGGTTTTTAACTCTTTACAAGGGTAGTCGTAGCTGGGCCTTCTATGGGCAGGATGCGGCTATTCGTCAGTATGATGTCAGCCAGCATTTATCTAGGAAAGGTTGGACTTACATGTCGCTGGAGGACAAACCTATTAGTAGACATATGTCAAGTGGGGTACGCCATAGAGGTTAAATGGCGAGCTGGCCGAAGCAGGCCTTGCTGACCTGGTAAGCTCAGGTCGATTGTCCGGATGTGTTTCCATAATACTCCGCACGTGGTAGCTAGTGGTCAACGTTGTTGCTGGCTAAACCGATCTGTTCACATCGCTTCACGTACCTTATACGGAGGATGGATGGATGGATGGATGAATTCATACGCTGACCCCTCGCCTGTCGGCGATATGCAGGGAACTACTACCGCTATCTCCCTTTCCTGACCGTACATGCATCACTCCATAAGGACGAACTTTGAGCCTCGTCAAGGCCTGTCGTGGCCTTCGCGCCGTGATTCCCTTCCTGGCGGTCCCCTTGTCCTGCGGCTTCGAAACCTACCGGATGCTTCTGCAAAAGCCAGCACAGCTCGAAGAGTGCTTTTTTGTGTAGATTCCCCCGAGGCGCCTGCCTTCCCCAGACGGCCTCTTCCTCCTAGCATGACCGTAGCGTCATTGATCGCTTCCCCTATATCCTTGCGTAGGTTCTGTCTCAGAGCCCGTAGTTTTGGGCAGTCGATCAGTACGTGCACCACCGTTTCTTTAGCCCTACATTCGCATTTGTCATCTTCTCGAAACCCATGTTTTTGCACGTAGGTGGCAAGCCACGAGTGGCCGGAGCGCATCTGCATTAACAAATACGCATCTCCGCGGGATATTGTGCCGAATAGTCGTATGGTGTACATAGACTGAGGGGCTGGATCAATATGACGTCGGTGTCCACCTTGGATGTGATCCATTCATGTTTCCATTTTTGGTGAGTTTGATGGCGGATCTTGCATCTCTCGCGAGACAGCAGATGGCAGATGGGATGTGTTTTCCTGAGGCCCACAGCCTCTTTAGCACTACGGTCGGCTGCATCGTTGCTCGGGTCGTCACAGTGTCCAGGGATCCACTGGAGCCGGATAGGGATCCCCCGGGCAGCTAGCTCCCGTGCTACTTGGAGGATCGCGTGGATGATTCGCTGCGCTGATTGATTCGATGGGTTCTTGATAGCCTGTAAGGCTGACATGCTATCGGATAAGATTGTGGCTGATTTCTGGTTGCGTTGACTTTTATGGGCCAGCTTGAGGATCAGGCTGATAGCGTAGAATATCCCAATGAGTTCAGCTGCGTAGACAGACCAGTGCTCCATGGGTCCAACGCAGATCTTCCGTCTGACTGCCACTTCCAAGTTATCCTTTAGGGCCACTGCTGCCGCTCCCAGTTGGCCATGGTGTCCTGATGCATCTGAATAGACCACTATGCCTGGCGAGTCCCGCAGGGTCGCCGCTTCCAGTTCCGCCGCCTCTCGGTCTGGGTTGATATTGATTTCGGAAAATGCGTCTTTAGCCTCGTTACTCAGTTTACTACTACTGGCTCCGATATTAAAAGATTAGCCGAGACGTAACCAATCACATCGTAGTTTGTTAGCGTGTGAAGGGTCAAGCACAAGCGCACTCCGGGCTCCTGTCTGGATAGGTTTATTCGCTCAAAAAACATAGATTCTTAGCTGCCCCACGAAAAATGTTATGTTGCATAAATGGGGAATGGCCGTATCTATGATGGTTGTCTACCTACCTAGCATAATTGTCGCCCTCAACAAACGTCATCTACGTAACTCTCAGATGGAACGAGATGTGCATAGATTGTACCCAAAATGAAGGAATGAATACGGTATCGAAACTACCCACAAAAGACTAGCTGACAAGTGCCACTAGAAATTTGTGCCGATGACACAGATGTGAAACATACTGTAGTATCTGCTCTTGACTGGACTTGATGGTTCTGGCAACGGCTGGTTCCCTAGCTTGATGATAGCGTAATGGATCGTTTGCGAAATGTATGTGTCAAAACGCCTACGGTCATATTTTACCAATAAGGTGCAGTGTAGACGCCAAGAAGCCAAGAAGTGCTGGTGCTACATATTCAACCCCTCACGCAAGGCGGAACATCCAATGTGAATACTGAAGTGGTCTAGCTCAGAGGAATGGTGGAGTTCGATCGGTCCGAGCTGCACGAGGCCTAAGCCATAAGGAGAATGCAAATGAATGAAGTGATATTCTATCTAAAACGTAGCCTAGAGTACAGAGATACTTGAGTGCTTAGATGTTTGAAGAGGATTGTGGCCTCTGCAAAATATGAGCCTCGGACGGACTAATGTTGTTCCCGGCCTCCGAGCTAATTACATCTCATCAAATACGAGTGTTGAGGTGATGTGTTGTTCTATTGGTCATCTAATCCAAGCGGAGTATAAGACCCCCTGAATGATCACGTGACTCTAGGACTATAGTTGATCCACGCCGGAGGAAGATCCTCGGATGCTGCACGCTGGCAACGAGTTTTGCATCACGTGACCCGAGATATTGGTTGGCAATTCAGACACAACGACATCATTCTGAGTACTATCAGATACTTGTAGTTCGTCCATGTCCAATATGACGCTAAATATACAGACTGTAACCTTTAAGGACGTCCGCTTGCCCCAATTATATATAAAATCTTCTCTCCTTTTGGCTTTCCTTCTCCCTCACCCTCACAACCTGATCCAGCGGAAATATTGAGCGAAGACACCCTTATTGGATACTCTGACGCTTTTACAAAGTTCTGTATCGCATTTGGAAGTTGTGATTTGTCGGGTCACAATGAATGTCATTGAAGACTATGCGGAAAGAAGGAGGATCCAAAATCTCCTTGCTCAGCGAAAATGGCGTGAGTCCTAGACAGGCTTCTTCGGAAGCCACCGACAATCCTGTCATTGACTATTTGCAGGTAAAAAGGCAAAGAATAGGAGCAGAGCAAACTCAGAAACGTGCACTCCCCCCACGCCGGCAAGCTTTCCTCGAGATCGACAGCCTGTACAATGCCATGTGGACGCCGACCTTCCAAATGCATTGGGACTTTATCACGGGCATGCGAATACATGGTTTCCAAATTCTGTGGAAGTGCAGCAAGTAGACGAGGGCCATGAACAATCCCTGCTGGATTCAATTAGTGCGGGAGATTCTCCTCTGAATCAACCTGATCCATTTTCATTGATCCCACCAAATGTATTGATATGCTCTATCCAGAATATGAGTGCAATAACTGATAACGGTTGTGGAAGGTCGCCAACGCCATTTCAAATTGCAACGAGCTCAGCGCCGAAACCCGACCAGCCCTCTCTTTCCAGCCGGAGCGGTCCGCAAATGCCGGAACACTTGACTACCATGCTCAATTAAATTCCAGGGAATATTCCCATGCAGTCATGAACGATTCTAGTTCTGTTTTTGCCCCTGTTGTCTGTAGGTTCTCCGTTAACTCGCTTATTATGATCTTCCTTCACTAAAGCTTTTACTATAGGTCCACAGCAAAAGATCCCAGGAGCAGACGAGAACGACCTGAGCCAGCATGTCCCGAAGGCACATTTCCAAATTAAAATAGTCGAGTTACTTGATACAGCCACACGGCTTTACGAGTGTGGCAAAATCCTCGACATATTCCCTTCCGACAGTGTTTTTCCAAGACAGATAGAGGATGCTAAGGTTCACTTGTTCTCTCTTTCACTTTCCGATGCCGTATAGCCAGCAGCTTTGGTTTTATACATTGTTCTGGCAGAATTTATGTTCTCATGTATTCGTGGCGGGCCGACTCGCCGCCTTTTCGCCGTGGGTGGTCTGCAGCGGTCAGGCATTTTCAGCGGAAAGGCAGAAATGAAGCTATTAGCACTCAATTGAGTATATCAACTAGGCGCCCGTAGATTCGGAAGAATTGAGATTATAAACGTCTATCCGAGGACGTAGATTGAGGAGGTAGGCAGCCGTATTTCTCTTTATAAGCCTTATTCAGCTTCTTGTCCATGCCTGCGGCCTCTTTCGCTTCTCTATTCGCGATAGAGCCATTTTCATCCTTAACACTCAGTATACTGCTATCCGAACGCCTTTGGACCTCTCGCTTAGTCAATTTTCGCTTTCGTGGGCCCGAAGCTGCCTTCATTCGATCAACACCGTTGATCGTATTCGCGAGTTCTTCGCATTGAAGCTTCGTATAGTATATGATGGTTGAAATCTCATTTCATCCCAAATATCAAGAAAAGAGTAGGAAAATACTGTCTCTTAGTCCTTGATGGTCATGGGAGTCATTTAACCCCTGAATTCGATCGAATTTGTGAAGAAAATGATATCTTGCGATCTGTATGCCTTCTCATGCCTCTCATCTTTTACAACCTTTAGATGTGGGTTGTTTTTCGGTTGTGAAGAGGCTTTATGGAGGAGCGGTTTCAACCATGATGCGAAATGGAGTCAATTCTATTGATAAGGAAGATTTCCTTAAATTGATTGTAGATGCAAGAAAGGGAGCTTTTAAGACCTCTACTATCCAGAATAGCTTTTAGCTACTGGATTAGCACCATTTGATGCTAATAGAGTCTTGGAAAAGCTTAATATATGTCTGGATGAATTTTCTCCTCTTGAAATCCTTCCTAAGTGACCACTCTCTTCTGGCAGTGATAGTGATCCAAATACTCTCTGGACTCTCTCAAAATTCTCCAAATCGCAATCTCGGATCAGAAAAGGTCTAGAATCTTCTTCTTCAATCCTTTCTTCACCAACCAAACGGGAGATTGAAAGGACCTATGAAATGACCATAAAGGTGGTCCATCATTATATTTTTCTTCAGAATCGCTGCGACCAATTGGAGGCTTCTAATAAGAAACAGATCAAAAAACGAGCAATCAAACATAAGTTTACAAGCCAGAGAGGCATTTTTGGGAGTCGGGAGGATGGTCAGGATGATATAGTTGTTAAAGATGATAGTAATAGTGAAGATATATCTTTGCTAGAGTTACCTGAAGAACTACCTGCAGAACCTGCTTTACCTTCTATGCCTATGGTTAGGCGGCAGGTTACCTGTTCTGGATGTGGGATTAAAGGTCATACCTATGTTAAATGCCCTACACGTATTAAATAGCAAAATTTGAGTTATTTTTGTGGTATTAGTCGTGGTGAAAAATTGAAGGTTTTTTGATTTTTGGCGGGGTCGCTCGGTCAATTCGGTCGCTCGGGCAATACGTTATCACGGTGGTCATATCGGCTTAGTCATCCCTTACCTAGCGCCTTCGACAACTCGGCCATTTCTTGGCATTTTTGACCAGATGGATAGATATATGAAGGCAGACGAGACGGCGTTGTTTCTTTGTAGATGCCCTATCTTACTTCTTAGATAAGACAGTAAAATGACCTCGTGTCGTTGTCTTTGAAGACCTGTTCGCTTTAAACTATGGGTTTGTTCCTCTGTTGACATTTGGTAGCGAGTTTCTACCGCTGACAGTTCAATCACTTAGTACTCCGTGAGAGTGAGACGTACCACAGCCTCATTGACCCCTCATACCCAAGTACCCTACAAATGAAAGCCCGGTTCATGGAAAGTGGGGTGTAAAAATCGCGCGTGTGTGGACCGATTGTCCACTGTAAACGATCATATTGAACTGGTTTTCTCCACCTGTAGCCCTCTCGCGCTGGCTTGAGGGCGAAGGTAAGCTGGACTAGATATCGCATTGGACCACTCTGCACGCCGGATTCGCTGTCACAGCCTGCCTGTCCCTGATTTGTGAAACAAGGTAGGTACCTACGGTGTCCTCAACAGTATCAGGCTATCAGCCCCAGTCCAAGTCCGGTCTAGGGCCTGCATTGTCCACCGTGTATCTATTTCTGATTTCGCGGCGTTCATTGGCTGGATTGCACAGTAAGATGCAGGGCACTAGGCTGCATTGGGGCTGGTAAGAGTGTGATTTCGAATGTCTGATTGGCCAGATCGCTAATGACATCATTGCCCGGATGTGGATGCAGCGCTAGTCTGTTTTGGGGTGTAGATGCAAAATGATAGTCTGGTCGAGAGGGACGAGAATAGAGACGGAGAAGAAGAGGTTTGGGGGAAGAGATTTCAGGGGAATGGGGAGGGGAAGGTATATAAATCTGAGTGTGCGGCTGGTTGGAAGAGAGGAAGATCAATCAATCAGTCAGCCTTTCGTTATACCTACCTTTCTTAACATAACATACTTTCGTTTTCCTTCGTTCACTCTTTTGCATCTACATACATACATTCTACTCTGAGAAACATATTGCTGATTCAGTTCTATTGAGCATTTACTTCTTACTGAACATTTTTGGTCACTGGTAGGTGGTGTCCCAAGAATGTCTGGTATCTTGGTGACTACAGTACTCATATTTCGTCAATTTTCCAGATACTTCCGCGACCATGGCCGAGATCTCTCGTGAAGCCTTTATCGTTTTGATTATCTTGGGCTGCATTGTTTCCGTCCTCATCGGCTACTCCGTCCACTCGCTTGCCACCGGTAATTTCAAAAACGACCCGAAAGAGCGCGAAATGTCCGACGAGCAGAGACAGTATATGCGCTCGCTGCGTCTACGAACCTTAGCCTGGATGGCTCGAGACTCTCGGGTAAAATATGATGACCGAAGTGCCTCGGGAATGGCTTAGACGACACTGCAACATGGAATTATGAGAAAGGAATATCAAGCAGATAGGTCTTGAGGCATACGGCTTACTTCGAGACGCGGATAATCAGACAATGCAGACTGCTGCGGTCTGACCGAGTCTAAATACTTGAATACGACATGCTGCCTACCCAACCACGACTGGTATCGATCGGTACAACCTTGAAGGACGTCGAGGAAGATAAGAGCCGAGCGTGGAGAGATGACAGACCAGATCAACCACCAGTGATATCGGCAAGCAGGACTTCGCTGAACATTCATGGGACTGGGATAGAATATTCACGACCATGTATAGAAACGCGCTACGCATATCAAATAAAACATGAATTCATACCATGATTTAACTCATTCAGTTCAAGAGCAATGATTTGGTTTTCGTTGGTTCAGTAGTCTATCGGCACGACATCGTCAACCCACTCCCACAATCCACTTGTTGTGTCGTATCGATACCGCATAAATCTGATGAAGAGTTGATCTGGTCCTCGCTTCCATTTTGAGAGGTCATGATTCCCCACGAGCCATGGAGTGTCCTGCGGCCTAAAAATGCCAACGAATTTAATTCGAGCTTGGTTGGGAATGATCATCGGGTTTGAAAAGACGCTATTTGGAGACAACGGAGGGGTCTTGCGTATTTCTGAATATGTCGAATCTAGCTTCGTTGTCGAGGGATGACCGAGGAGATTAAAGGCACTGGTGGTATCATTTGCCATGATCGTGGAGGCCGGACTGAATGCGTCTGTGTGATGCTCGGGGTTTAGCATAGTACTGCTAATGACCTCCTCCATTTCTGCAAGTTTTTGAGCCAAAGCCGCACCAGGGGTGCATTTGTAGAATCCCTGGATTTGGGGAGATTTGCGCAACAGCTGCAACGCTTTTGCTCGGATAGAACGGTGGCGACATTTCATTGCTGTTAAAAATAGGGGCAAACCTGCCCCCATCTCGAATGTGAATGGCGGCTGAGCACCATTCAATCCGGCCGAAGCATCCAGAACTATTTCAGCCTGATCAACAATAGTCTGAAAGTCGGATATATGCACATCATAAATTGCTTCATCTGATGCCAGACAGACCGAGACAACAATTTTGGTGGCGGCATAGTATGTCAGAAGATTGGCAGCTGCGCTATCCCGTGATTTTGAAGCGGACGTGAGGAATCGTTGGAATGCACAGTGCCAGTCTTCAATTCGTGATACCAGAGTTTTCTGTTGAGCAATAAATTCCTCGGCCACGTGTTGCTCGCCACCGACAGCTAGAGTATGCACCTCTGCGGCCCGCTGGAAAAGCATGCCCTCCGAAACAAGGGCCGTAATAGCCACTCGGGCAGAGTCGAGGGAAGTAAACTGGTTTCCTACCATAATATCGTAAGTGCTGATGAGACGACTTGGTGGCACACCTGAAATGGAGAGAGCGATGGTTCCTAATCGTAGGAAGAGAGGAATGACTGTTTCCTTGAGAAAGGTCGTTTCCGCGATGGACAAACCCCTCCCGATACCCTTATTTAGTAGATTCAGGACGAGGGTTTCACCCTGTCGGTACAGCTCTAATGCCGATTCCACATGACCCTGTAGTGTCTCAATGCAGACAAACAACACGCAGCTTACCAAGGCCGTGTGCGTGTCGACCGCCCCTCGGTCAATCTGGCCCCGAATCGTGGATAAGGATCGCGAGTACCAAGTAAGCGCGTCCTGGTGGCTCTGATCGAGAGACCGAAACATCCCAGGATTTCGACGCAAGAATACTGGATCTAGACATGGATCGGGACTCTCGAACAGCGCGCTGATGGCGTTCACGGCATCCCAGACAGCCGGTTCCCTGCGACATACTTGCGGAACTGTCTGGCGCCAGAATCCGAGATCTAAATCTCCTGCCATGAAAGAGGCGACATGTTCGGAATAATAAGCGAATGCGCGACGCTCCCGCCACACCGTATTGGGGGCAGACGAAAGGGAACGGTCCAGGATGGAATTGGTCGACGGAGTTGAGGAGAATGTATTGGACACCGGGTTGGCATCATACTCGCATTTGCGGCCTGTGCTTGTGCAGCGCACACAAAGTGGTTTCTCTTGTCCACATTTGACTTTGCGGATTCTGTGGAAACTTTAGCCGGTTGATCGGAGGCAGAGGTCTAGTAGAAGCAGAATGCGTGGGTGCTTACCGGCAGGTTTTACATCCCAATCGAGATCGGAGAGGGACGATAGGCTTTCGGATGGAGTAGACGGACGCCATTTAGTGAAACAGATGATCCTTGGATGATCAACGCAACAGCAGGATAAAGGAGCGACGAACAAAGTTGGGGGCGTTCGGAGGATCCGACCAGCGCAAGTCTGCCCCAGGCACACGCCATGTGGGGCTGGGTTGGGGGCCTTTTCTCGGGCCATCGGGCCGTCACGGTCTAGTCGTCTCCTCCGATATGATAGACTATTTAAGTCTACTATGGAATGCGCACTTCTCCGTTCTACTGGGCGCCCTGACAAAAGAGGCAGGAGCCAGTAACAAAGGTCCAATTCGGCAGCTAAGGCGACGCCGATGCCTGAGGTTGCAAAGCCTGTGTAATTTCGGCTGATGTGGAGGGCAATCCTTCTACGGCGCCATGATAGAGAATATGGAAAGATGTTGGGATGTCTAGGGCGGAATAACGGGTCAAAACAGGAATATCCAGCGTTGTTACTCGTGAGCTATAGAAATTATAGTAGCTAGACGGCAGTCGTATCGTTGCTATGGTCATACTCCGTAAGGCCAACGAGTACTACATGGCAGCTAATTGTTTAGAGAATAGCCAAAAGCCAAGATACAGGAGCGCTAAGCCAAGTCCGGCAAGTACATGTCCTCTCCCCGAGCCCGCCAATGAAGGAGCGTATCGGGTGTTATTGTACTGCCTGGTGGAAGGCTTAGCCGGTAGGTATACTTCGGATATGGCATTACTAACATGATGTGTTCTGTGTAGTATAAGCAAGGCTGCCATCATTTGCCATGTTATATATACGGCTTCAGGGCCCCGCATAAGCATGATAGAACTCACACAAGCCTCACTCTCAGCTCACTTACTCGTTGCCTATCATGAGCCTTCCGGTCTTTGCGAAGTCATATCTTTTGATAATGACTATACTTGCTTGGATACAGAGTACCTACGCTGGTGCTGTACCACGACCTCGGCGAATGGTGGATGATTGGGACTCGGTAACTTGACCTTCAGTCGACAACCCCTTCGGATTCTAAGCTGACATTAATCCAGATCGCCCCTTCCGCTAAACTCGAATGGACGCCTTGCTTTCAGAACTACACGTGCTCTCGACTAGAAGTTCCCCTCGATTACGGAGATCCGAGCAGGGGTAAAATAGACATTGCTATGATCAGAATAGAGGCAAAGAATGTCACCGAGGGTACCCAGAGCCTGCTTATCAACCCTGGTAAGAGTGCCGGAAAGAAAACACAGTCTGATAATAAACAAGGGCATCTAACTGGACAACAAATATTAGGTGGACCTGGAGTTTCTGGTGTCGACACCATCATGGAATACGGTCCATCGTTGGGAGAAATTGTCAACTACCAGCACCACATTGTAGGATTTGATCCTCGCAGTGTTAGACAGAGCGGACCGCGTGTGGACTGCTGGCCCGACCACCCAGAGCGACGAGCCCAATTCGAAAAAATATACTACTCTGAGACTTCCAATGCTACTTCCAGCTCCCTCGGCAATCAATACGCCGCAGCAGAGCTTTATGGCAAGGCCTGCACATCAACTGTCGGCGGGTCACACGGAAACGCGTCGTACATCAGCACGCCAGCCGTTGCTCGAGACATGCTGACTTACGTCGAAGCGGAACAGGTTGCAGCAGGCAAACCAAAGGAGGAGGGTAAGCTGATGTTCTATGGCCTTAGTTATGGCACTCTTTTGGGCGCAACCTTTGCGCATATGTTCCCCGATCGGATCGAAAGGATGATCCTGGATGGCGCGGTCGATGCCGAAGACTACTACTCGATGAAGTGGCAGGCAAATTTATTCGACACCGACGCAGCGTACCAAGGATTCTTTGACTTCTGCTTCAAGGCTGGGAAGGAAAAGTGTTCATTCTGGGGCTCTTCACCGCAGAATATCAGCGATCGTGTTGATAGGATCTTAGCCAATCTCAGATATAACCCGATTCCTATCCCCAGCGGGGAATTCTGTGACATCCCGATTCTGGCGACCTATTCTAACCTCAAAACGCTTTTGATGCAGGTCTTGTATGACCCGCTAAGCAATTTCCCTCTCCTAGCAAATGTACTTGCAGGCTTGGAGCAGGGTAATACTACGGCCTACTCGCTCGCAGTGACGAGTGGATCCATCCTACCGTTCAACCCGTGCAACAACGGAACTGTTGGATCAACCCAGGACTACCCGGTCATGATTGAATGTGTCGATGGCTATAACGGGCACAAGATTCAGAATATTACGGAATTTAGCGACTGGGTTAAGGCCTTGAACACAGAGAGCAAGTTTTTCGGAGAGGTCTTTGCCACTAACTCAGGCGCGGTTTCCTGCCGGTCAGTGGATGTAACTCCACCAGAAACCGGAAGAATACATGGTAAGTACTCTTGACATCAGGTTCATTTTTTCACATCAGAGAAAGGAGGCTAACTAATGGAACTAGGATCCATTCTTGACCGCAAGAACACCTCGTTCCCGATCTTGTTTCTCACCCAGCAGAGTGATCCAGCCACCCCCAAGCGAAAGTATGTATCCTCTGGTCTTCCAGAAGTAACACAATATCTAAAAACGTCTCAGCGCTTATAAAATGTCTTCCGTATACCCCAGATCGGTGGTCCTCAAGCAGGACGCAGTCGGAGTGAGTGACCTCTTTGTGCAACGAAGACAGAAGCGTAGATTGACTAACTCTATGACAGCACACGGCTTTCGTCAGCGCATCAAACTGTCTTCTGGAGAATGTCCAGGGCTACCTGATGAACGGTCAGCTCCCAGCTACCAACATGACTTGTAAAGCGGATCGAATTCCGTTCCAGGATATTTAATCATTCGGCTTGTTTCTTTTCTTATTTATTCTTACCGTCAGGTCATACGCTACTGTATAATAAAGGGCGTTGTATGGCAGATCTGACAGAATTTGAGTTGAAGGACGGCTATATACCTCCATAGCTGGATGTTTAAGCCGTGTAACTCGACGGAGCTAATAAAATACTGATTGATTGATTAATTGGAAGACCTTATCAACCCAATGGTAGATTAATCTATCGCTTTCAACTATGCCACATCGGAACTGCAAATGCCAGCATTCTTTGTCCCATTTGTTTTGCTTTATGCTCATGATGCAATACATGAAAACGAAAGAACCTAAATTAAGAACACATGATATGCTACTGGTTTTTCAAAATGCAATCGAGGGCCTGTTGCACCTCTCTTGGATCCGTTTTACTGTCAGAATATTCTTTTGGCTCCTCGTGGTCATCGGCATATTTAATGTGATGGGCATGTGCCCATGCCGGTGTTGGTTGCCAGTCAACAATCGTCTTGCCAACATCTTGATAACGGAAGGACCGCATTCGTCTGCCAATGGCTAAGATGCCGTAAACGTTCGACCTTCTTGTCACTGCCTGTGTTTTGTGTTGGGCTAGATATCTTTCCAGCTGAATTCTACCTGCTTCCCAAGCAGCATTTCGCCCCTCCCCTTACACTAGGCAATAATAAAAAACTTCCTATACTTGGGGGCCGGAAACGAATTTGCAAGGAGCTGAAGAAGCGATCACGGAGGCTGAGGAGGTCCTCAAAGATCGTAACACGATCGCCCCCGTCAAATGGAACGACACGTCCTTTGAAAATGCCTCTTTGGGACCACTATTATGCTGCAAGTCTCCAGCGGCCTTAGGTCAAGTTGGCTTTGTCTAAGGGACGGAACCAGGTTTCAACGGTCTTCTTCAACTCGCACAAGCCTACCAACAACTTCATATTCCAGAAATGTGAGATATTGATCAAAACGATGGAGTTTGAGATGAATATCGATTATTTCAAGGATCATCTAAGATACAGGTATAGTTGTTCTTCAGAGGATGATAGGAATACAAGGGGGAGGGGTTCAAAAACAACTCGATGGTCCGCCCCTTTCTCCCTCCTCCCTATCCACGTTTTGGCAACTAGGGGCAAATGTTCTTTCTTGCCGTCACAGGATTAGGTACCCTCCAAACGTATCCTTTGCTATACAAAGGACTGCATCAAGAATTCAAGATCACCGAAATATCGGGAGGGCCCGTAAATCAGGGTGGAGAAGAACGGTCATGTGGAGAGTATGTTGCAAGGTATCTCTTGCTTGTCGCAAGTCGACATTTTGGTGGAGGGTATTTCTCTGACATCCGTCACGAATAAATCCCTCCAGGTGTATAATAGAAATGCCGTTGCCTGGAATTCCTGTTCACGGAGGGCGTCCCCAATCAGATATTTGCGCTTTCGAAGCCAGAGTTCCGCCGGTCCTGTTTTATCCTCCCATAACTCTCATCGGTAGAGCACGGGTCTCTTTTTTATAGGAAATCCGTAATTATATTCTTTTAAGGTTTTTATATTTTCTCCTTTGTTTCACCTCATATCACCATACACATTCCGTCCTTATTGACATCATATACCCGGTCGCTCAACTCCTTATTTGGATAGGAATAAGGGGACCTTTATCGAGACTGAAGTATAGATACCGCATGCGCAGAAGAATAACAGATAGAACATGTTAAACGAAAACAGCGGCACGCATTCGCATCACCTGGTCTGTCCCTACCGCCCGGGGCAACCAGGATTCTACGGATTGCTGAAGTTGTTCCCTTTCTGTAAGTAGAGTGACGACGTGGCTTCCGCTTCTCGTAGGGACTGCCGGGTGCTCCTCCTACAAAAGGGTTATTGATTAACCAAGGAAATTCCTCTGCCAGCTTGTTGCCGCATAAAAGGTAGCAAAACCGGACAGCGGGTATGAGCAGGCGACCTTTGTATGTATGAGACTATAACCGCGTTCCCTCGAGGCATACGGGTCTCCCTCTGCCTCTTTGTGTTGGACAATAATAAAGAACCTTCGTGTGCCGTCAATGACATGGTGAGTGTGGAAGTCGGAAGATATGGGACCCATTCCTCTGTTCGAGGGCTCTTTAAGTCGCCACGCCAACAAATCGCTAGGCCAAGATAATTCGGATTCAGATAGATAGAAACAATTGCACTGTGCGACCGATTGCGGGACAAGACCCATGACATCGGAGCTGCATGGGTGTCTTCGAGAACAATGATAACAATGTGTCCCCACCACTGAACTTCTGTTATTGGCAGAATTTGCTGACTGGGGTACTGGACGAATTGCACCCTCCTTCCCACTGCTAAGATGCTATACCTAGATATTGATTCTTTGCGCGACGGGAAGGTTGCCGTTCTTTCGTGTGAGATAATTCTGTAGCAGATTCTCAAGTCATCATCGACTTGGCGAGTATGAAAGTCGATGTGGCCTTCATGGGCAAGGAATTACCAATTCCAGGTTGGTTTCCAGGCTCCGTTAATATGGCCTTCGCTTGTAGAAGAGCTGATCTTGATTTTAAATCAAATTACAGGTATTCTGTGGTAGGTGTCCTGATTTGAATTCTCATTTGACCGGGCGATAGGGAGTAAGGAGATGTAGGAAGGAAAGAGAGAGGAAAGAGAAGGGTCTCATACATACAGGGGAAGCTACTATGGATATTCACCTTCCGAATTGGGCATGTGCTTTGACAGTTAATGAAGAGATAGAAAGCTCATATTCAACTTATGATTGGCATTCACTCCTCTCTGCTGGCGCTACCAGCACTCAATCTCGCCAAAAATGACTCTTTGATTCCTTCGATAAGCTGCATGATTGGGCCGCGGTTCCTCAGCCCACTCTTGAAGTACCAATGGTGATTGAAAAGGAGCTCTTCCAGACCGAGACAAAGAAGTTGCCAGTCTACCTTAGAATCAGACTGTATTAGATCCTCCATCTCGAAAACCAAGCGATTTCTGCAAAGTGACTGCCAGTAGGCACTGGATAGGCGCCATGCAAACGCAGTAAGCAAGTTTATTGTAGTTCTGACAGCTTCCAAATTGTAACCTGGGTCCCTGCGAATTAGATCCACAACCATAATCGCAATTTCCAACGGGGCTTTCTGCACTAGATAATTGTCGTGCATTGTAGGACGCTGACTAGGAACCAGAGATGCATTTCTAATCAAATGATGAATGTCAAGAATGGCTCCTGGATTTTCCATGATATCAGCCTACAGCCAGTGATCTAGACCGCATGCTTCTCCAAAGCTACAACACGGGCAAATACACCCTCGTTCAGACGATGGCATGATTTCATATCAGCTGTCATCGTAGTATTTCACTGATTGAAGACCCCATTGGTTGTAATTCGTGCGCCAGAATTCTTTCAGTGTCTCGATGAAGCATTTAAGGTTTTCTTCTATCAGTCGCTTCCAACTAGACGGCATAGGACCGCCCAGCATGGCATATGCATCCTGTATCCGACCCGCCGATTCCCGGCACGAATATTTTTAATATAGAAGTATTTTGCTGCAGAATATTTCGCAAAATGTTAGTTTCCTAATCGCAGTAGACCACCGACTCAGGCTTTGAGTGGGTCATAAGGAAGTGGATCCGCGTCAATACGGCTGCTACCAAAGAATAGTTGTGAGATGCCGGAAACGCGTAAAAGATGGCCAGGATTGTCGAGGACTTTAAGGTCAACGAATTAGCATGTATAGTCCTCTCCCTTAAATTTGAAGAAGGCCTATCTTACTTGCCCGGAAGAAGGTCATAGGCACGCGGGAATGAGCCGGAAAGTCCATTTCTTCCAAATATTTGGCCTCCATATTGAATTTGTTTACCGAATTCCCAGAACGCTCTGTCCATTTTGGTGGAGGAATGTTATCTTCATCCTCCTCAAAAGGCATTAGCGGGAAGAAGAATGCTGATCCATATACATACAATGCAGCAATCATCCGTACGTAATAAATTCTTCGAGCGTTCCACACAGCGCTCATCTCGCCTGAGTCTTTTAAACATAGTGATATCGTTGAATTGCGCTAAATATCAGAGATACTATTTCAGAAATAGCTTTATAAATCATGGTGGTTAATGTGAGGAAATTATGTTTCGAGTGGTGTCATATTTGGAGGGCGTGTGATAAATAATGAACACAGAACGTTGCCATCCACGGAACTACTGGTAAACCTTCAGTCTTAGTAGCGTATGGAAAACCATGACACCATAAAAATATTATAGGGTATTTCTTTGACTTTCTATTGCTGCCAATACATACTAGTTCAAGTATCACATAAAATTCTAACACTCAATCGCTGTTCCAAAACAACCAACCGAATCCGACGGACGTGACGGTCATAGCCCCAGCAAAGCTTGCAAAGAGTATGGTCAGATATGGGTTTCGAGCGGCAGGGGAAACAGCAAGCCCGAGAACAGAGTTCAACGCTACTGTCAACATTGTAACAGCCTGCAAGGTAGATTTCATATGTGGTGCTGCTTTGTTATAGGCGTACTCGGACCCAGACACGGACCATAGTACCTCTCCAAGTGCGCCAATAACATGGACCGGAACCTGAACACCGACACTGACGCGATTAGGATACTTTCCGTTCTCAGATGCTGGACAATGTAGGGGCATGTCGTAACATGGCGGAGCACTGTATACCACATGCTGAACACCAGAAGCAACAGCCATTGATGCTGCGACTAATGCGAAACCGAGTGTCATTCGAACAGTGGCTCGAGGCGACAGTTTCATCTTTTGCATGTACGGGTATATAAACTTCTCGGTGATTGGTATAATAATGAGTACGCAGATTGGGTTCAAGCTTGCAAGGGCATCGTTGGGAATCCCGTGCGTAAGCATCTGCCCGGCTTGCGAGATTAGGTTGGTCTGGTTCTGGTCATAGCATAGCCACACAATCGGATATATGGCCCTATTATTTTTGTTAGCGCGAGCTATGCACGGGCGTGACTAGGAGAATATACCAGACTTTGCAAGCCTGCAGGGCTTGGCGAAGATCTTCAACAAATTGCGCATCCCAAGGAACAACACGTCCATGTTTCTCGAGTTGTTCAACTGGCTGCGCGGCATCGATGCGAAATCCACCTTTGATAACGCAAGCCAATGCGCTCAATAGCTTGGCCCGGAAGCTTGCTTCGGGTCTTCGGCGGACTGTCATGTGGGGTTAGTAACTGAATGTGTGTTTCTCATAAAGATATACTGACAGAACTTATGGTGTCCAAGAACCAAAACCAGTGTTCCAAATGCCAGTGCTCCTAATGCCAGCAGAAATGATGTCCAGAAGTCAAGGTACTTCTCCATGGAGGTGCTAGCCAAACCAGATAGCGCGCCGACATTGTTGCACCAGTAGAAGATGCTGTATACCCGCCTCACTGTCAACTCAGGGTCCACGATAACACGTTCACCAGTCTCTAGCGTAGCGACATGTTTTTTACCCCCGCCGACTTGGTCCGCTTTACCACGTTACTAGCGTCAGTCAATGGTCACCCGCGTCGGGGGCTCACAGAGAAGATACCTGTAAATGGGGCAACACTCGACTTCACACCACCCACGCCACAGCCAATCAAGATAAATGCCCCAATAAGTCCACCCAATCCGGCACCAGCGTCAAGTGCCGGCGGGATCGAAGTGAGCATGAGCAATAGTATACCGGCGAGGTATATTCTAGACCACGGTTGGTATGAAACCTGGATAGCAGCGGAAGGATTCTTACCCGCAGGACACAACAAGTGTCTTGTATGGACCCCAATGACCATCTGCAAGCACCCCTGCAAAGATTGGTGTAATAAAGCAGACTAATCTCAGAAAGCAATTCAGAGCAGTGGCCACCGATTGGCCCATATCTAGGGCTCCGGGACGCCCGAAATCTTCCCGAGGGTTTTGAATATAATTCTCTGGTTACATGCGTTAGTTGCTTTTCGTGAATGAAATGGTGGGTTACTCACGTAATGGGGCTTGTAGAGCATAAAACGCGAATCTTTCAGCCCCGGAGAAGAGTGCAACCAACCATGCCGTAGCTTTGATTTTGCTTCCCGTGTGTCGCAAGTTTGCTATTTCCTCCGGAGTCGGTTCAACCAGATCATCCTGTGCCGTAGTGTCGCTTATGGATTGATCTTTTTGTGTTTCGCTGTCGCCATCTGGCTGCAATTGTGCGTTGCTTTGCTTTTCAGAGGAAACGCCCATATTTTTGTAGAAGTAAACATATGTTTAGATCAAATTCCGCTTGCTTTTCGGCAGACTTTTTGCGATTGAGAAGGGGAAATGTCTCTCCTGTTTTAGGAGACGACGACTACAGAGAGCAATTGGAAAGGATCAACCGGTGCAAGTAGCGGTATGGGGAAAACATCGCAAATCCAGCTGGACATATACTCGGAGTAATCGGACTACCCCGGAGTGGATACCAAAGCTGACAGGTGGATCCCGCAACCCGCGGAGTAAATCGGAGTAAATCGGAGTACCCACGGGCTTAACCCTTTAATCACCTGCCTTTGTCGGACTTCCGCTCTCCTCTTTCAGATTTCTCCCCCTTCTCATATATCTAGACCTGATCCATCCTCAGCGCGCTCACGTCGCTTCTTGCCATCTCGTAATGATAACCTTTCCTCTGACTCTCACTCGTACCCATCATTGGTTCCAGGAGATGATGCTGATGAGCTGAACCTCTATCACGCAAGTCACAGAGTTCTCTGCTTTCTTACTCAGCGCTACTCCGGCACACTAAACAGTACAACTTTGCAGGGATGCAGTTTCGGCATTCTAGGCCGTCGTTGGCGGAAGGCTTAGCGGGTCCTGTACTGCATTAACCCTTTTTAGGCTATACGATGTTAATCAGATTGAATTTGCCATCAAGGTAGGCGGCCTAACTATGAGATGGTTCTATTACTAGAGACCTTTCTAAAGAAGGGATTCACCATTGACACTAACCATTATTCAGGCTCCATGATCCACATCGTATACTTGTCTCCGACGGCAACCGAAAGGATTCATCTAGGCTTTGAGATGCAGTCTGCGAAAGTTACTAGCATAGTGCTGTAACACAATCATCGCATGGGCGGAATCTTTCCGTCTCACCTCTCCCAGCTTTACAATGGTCGTGATGAACTTTGTCCTGTCTCCCTGAATAAAATAGGAGGAGGGAGACGCGGCCTATGGTGTTCGCCGTCACTTGGACTATTACCATATCAGTCGCGGGGGAGTGGGGGCCTGAGCTACGGTCCTGCATTGTACCTATGGGATCCGATGTAGTGACGAGTGGTCTTGTCGGAAGGACTTGCGGCCACAAAGGTAACTTTCACGTACACCTGTCTTTGTTGAGATTTTTGACAGTTACGTTACTTGAGTTATAGTCTCTTGTCCCTTGTGAATATCTCTAAAGGAGTTGTTGAATCTTCCAGTGCTATATCGGAAGATCCCTTTGGAATGCACCCATAAAACCACGAAATTTCTGCTACAAAACCCGGAGGAAGGACCACTCGAATCATTAATCAGTCCACTAATTCACTTCTTCCTCATTTTATTCCCGATCGTCTCAGAGCACGTATATCTAGAAGACTCAAAAGCAATGACACCAAAGCCCGCGAACAAAGGCTCGGGTGCAGAGCACACCCTACTACCGGCAAGCAGACTCATGCCGCCAGATCTGTCCTCTCCTACGTTTGACGATCTACTCCACCTTGCGCTCTTTCGAGTATGCGATGCAGCATTGTGTCTAGACACGCGACCACCAAGATTGTTCCCCACAGCTGAGACAGTCTTTGGAAGATACTTTACGGTAGATGACTGGCGCATGCATGGTGACTTGGAGACAGCAATGGGAAGAATGAACTACATGTTATCGGACCTGCCCGAGAGAGGCGTACCGGCGAGTTGCCACCCTGCTATCAGCTCGGTCCTGTCGTCTTCTTCTGTTCTTGCAACTTGGAGAAAGTTCGTTCATCGTCTAGAGTGTCATGCCAAAGAGGAATCGGAATGGATCATCGGCCAAATGCAAAGTCAGCAGTCAAACTCAACGCACTTTGCAAAGTCTGACTTCATAACAGCCCCAGTTGATTATAGAACAATCCCTTCGGCCTCAGAGCATGCCATGGCGTTATGGCACCGTTCGCTGTCGGAGATTGCTCTACAAGTATCTCAAGATCATTTCGAAGACGCAAAGTCCTTTCTACAGATTTTCGCTTTTTTGAAAGATCCGCTAGGAGGGCTAGAAAGCAATTTTGAGAGGGCTGTACCGTTGTTCGTCTACCTGATGGCGTCGCTAGACAGAGGTTTGCTAGCTCTATCTAACTCCTTCGCTGCAGTCGCACAAGCTGCACAGGAGGCTCTATTTCTCTCGGATCCGTTACTAGAGAACGTGAATTATGTCCATTTCTCGGGCCACCAGCAACTGCCCTACGTGTACGTGGCCTTGAATCAACTTCCGCGTTCAGAGTTCAGTATCCCGGGCCATGTTCTTCACATTATTGAAGAGATGCTCGCCAGTGCGGAGCAATCAGCATTTCAAACATGTGAAATCGCCCCAATATCGGTCGCCTCTTACCCGAGTCTACCAATAGGTCAGGGCAAGCACACAACAGTGATCATCGATGGTAACCATCGGGCCACGGCAACTATGGTTCTGCGACTGATTGCCATGCATCCTGTCGTATTGAAAACACAGAATGCAGATGACGTGCTTAGTGCATTCTGCGCTGACCACGGTCTCAGCCTCAAATGGAAAATCGACCTGGCTGATGTCTTGGCAGCCATTCGAGACAGTCCGTGTTGCACATTGATCCGAGCCAAGATGCACCTTGTGCAAAACTTCCGGACAGTTGACACCATCCCCGCGTTGGTAGTCAGAGAGGACAATTTTTTCACAGCCTGTCAGCAGCGACCGGCGCTAAGGGACCGTCCTCGGCTCCTATTGCCTATTCATCAGGCGCTCTATAATGACGAGAAATTGAAGTTTGCCTTCCCACAGGCAGGGCAGGTCCATGGCCGAGCGGTTGGATTCAAGCCGATGCCACTCTTGCATTCATCTAGCGTGGATGTGCCCGATTTCGCTGATAATGCATCAAAAGGAGATTTCCATTTTGATGTTTCCCCGGTTGTGAATTTGGAGCTCTGAGGGCTTTTGTGTGCTAATATATATACGCATATATCGATGATAGATGATACGTTTTGATTTGGTATAGTTCAATTTATATTATTTGCATTCCCTTTCTCCCCTCGGTCAATGTTAGATTCAAAATTTCACTATATCTCTTGTACTTCAAGTACATTTTCTAATTTCCCTTTTTTTTTTTTTTTTCTCTATTTTTGCCAGTAAAATTTACCGGAAATGTCAACAGTTTCTATAACCTATCAACTAATCACAGAATTGTTTTATCTATGCAATTCAAGACCTCAGACCATCAAGGTACTTCTGAAGCCCTGGGACACCATCGATGAAAGTATACGCTTCAACACCCTTGGCCCTCAGAGAAGCAACCAGGATACGCGAAGTATCTCCATTGTAATCGACAACAACCACGGGAGGCCCCTCTTTGAAGATCCACTCCGAAACGTACGGATCCTCAAGCAAACTTTCCAATTCCTTGGACTGTTCAACAAGCGTGTTGATTTCGTCGAAGTTAAATGGCGTGATGGTATCAGCAGTCAAACCCGGTAGCGGCGCACTAAAAGCGCCTTTGACATGCACAGACTCAAAGTCATCTCGTGCGCGCAGATCCAGGAAGCGCACTGAAGGTGATTCAGCTGCTCCGTTTGTTAGGGCTTCGTCGCCGCTGACAAACCGCGCCTTCTTGACCTCATCTACAATTTCGGGCATCACGTCGAGGATCTCCTGGGGGTCGATCTCCCAGCGGAAGCTGTACACGTTCTGATCCACTTTAAATAGTTCCTGTATCTCGTTAGGTCTAGAACTTCGTCATATCGCCCGGTCTCAGTACTAACCTGATTGCCAATTGGCTTGAATTCCTCGGGACCCAGTTTCTTAAAGTATGTCTCGATGTGCTTTTGCGGCAGATCACAGCAGACAAAGACACACGAGACCTCCCCAGTTTTCGGATCCGCGTAGTTGGCAAGTGCTCCATTCTTCTTCTCCCTCTCAATGAACTCAAACAGTCCCTGCAGTGCCATTCCACTCGAAGGACCAGCAATGATTCCCTCCCGAGAAAGCCTTAGAGACAAACGGTACGAGTCCTCGGACGAGGCCACCTCTAGAAAATCAACCACATCCTTCCAAGGAAACGGGCTCGTCTTATGCATCGGTTTCTCCCTAGGCCCAGGGATAATGTCCGCCTCAGCATTACAAACACCGACGACCTTGACCTCGGGCTTCTGAGACTTCAAGTACTTGCCCGTGCCGGTCACGCAGCCCGTGCTGCCCATTCCCATACCGAAGACGTTGATTTCAGGCAACTGTCTCCAGATCTGGGGTCCCGTCCACCGCTCATGCGACTTCCAGTTATATTCGTTGTCGTATTGGCCCAGATTCACGACCTTTTCACTTCGCTTGCCAAGTCCGCGAGCCCATTCTACCGGCCCTCGTGGGTCGGTGGTCTCGGTGTATGTTGGTCCACCGTAGAGGTCGACCTTGAGGCCGTAGAATTGGAGTTCGCGGACACGGTCCAGCGCGGCTTTGTTTGAGACGTAGGCGGTCGAGTTGTCGTTATCGTAAAGTACGCGAGAGGCGATGGCTAGCGAGGTCACGGTCGATCCGGAACTGACTTCCACGACGCTTTTGTTTGCGGAGGAGGGGTCGTGGAGGAGCATATTTAGTGCTGCATTTGAGGTCACCGAGTTAGTGTATTCGAAAATTATCTGAAATTCAGGGAGACCAGCTAACCAGGTAAAGCCTTCACGTTCTGCGCTGGAAGGCAGGTGAGTAGCTTCGCGTAGATCCGCACGCCATCTGTATGGTATGGGTTGAGCTTCGGGGGTAGCTCGACCAACGGCACAGGAGGCTGCTCATCTGGATTGAAGAAGTTCCTTATGGAGTCGGCACCTTTGAAGACGTTGAGAGGGTTGGTGACAGACATGGCGATGTTTACGCGAATTGGTTCTATGGCAACACTATGTTCACCTGCTTTGTCTCGCAAGGTTTAATATTTTATAGCACACTACAAAATGAGAACTGACCAAGCAGCGGCATAATTCCGCTGCTGACGGTGTCGAAATTTGAATTATTCGTTCCCCTCACTTGTAAGACTGTTAGAAGTTTAACGGGCGACGAAGGAATCGTACTACGCAATGTTTCTGACCATCCTTATCGCTGAAGCACGCCTAGCGTCAGCATTATGTGGGCTCGAATGAACTCATTTGAAGCAATAGGAACAAGACACTTTTCCTATACGCCCGTTCAGGAGCCACAACCTAGGAAATTGCAATTTTAGGGGAATATATCCCGAGATTAGGCTTGTAAACATTGGGTTAGAGCTACGTACATCTGCCCCATCATTACACACAGTAGTTATGTTTGTCGCGTCCAGACTCCTGCAGTCCAGTGGCAAGAGTAAAGAGACTTCCACAATTACCAGCTTGCCATGTTCATATCAGGCATAGCCATGATATCCTGCATGCTCGATGTTACACTGCGGAGGTGGTCATATTTAGGCCGGCAGTAGTCAGATCTTCACGGGCTGAAGCGCCTGCATTTTAACCCAACGTGGACTAGTATTGCCACCGTCGTACTTTTGTTCTTTAGCTTTTTCCTTCAGTGTGACTTTTCCTTGTTCGAGATTCATTTGATAATGGAATTATCCGAGACAATAAGACTAGTGCAATGCCGCCCCCGTGGGGGATCCTTCGGCCTTCTTCGGCGGAGCAGCCCCAGGACGCCTGAGGAAAAGGACTCAAATGCAGAATGAATGCATTTTCAGAAAGCAAGTATGGCATTAAATTGCACTGGGTAGTTAAGGTTGAGCATTCTTGCAGCAGAGCCGCCTATTATCCTTGACAAGCTCAACTATGCTCCCTACTAGTTTATCTGTGCAGCCCCTGTGCCTCAAATCTCTACCCTCACGCCACCCAGTAAGCCACCAAGGTCTGCAGGCTAGATCAAGAATTGCACCGCATTCTGTAGATCCGCGTTTAACCGCTGGGCGGCCGAATGTGACTCTGCAGGGATCTCATCCTGGACGGGCGCACATAAGCGTGCACAAGCAAGTCCTTAGCGGTCTGCACGCGACATCACATTTCTTACCCTCGGCACTTCTGACCTCAAGGCATGAAAGGCAGGATAAACACGCCATCTGGAACACAGATGGTCTTATTTGGTTCTGATGAATGGCTAGACTTACGGTGGGGCGTCGGAGTAACAACGTCGTATTCCTCGGAGTAAGCAGCAGTGACTTATTCCCTTTTGGGAATGGTTTGGCTCTGTCTAGTCGTTCTCTTTCTTCTGGGGACTGGGGTGCCTAATTAACTACCCATGAAAGAGGCTTTTGTCGCGTTGGTCTCTTGATTCATTCCTACCGTGCCTCCTGTCACTCTATCGGGGTAAACGAAGTTGAATCTTCAAGGGTCAGAACGCCGTCGATATGGGTGACGCTGCCACAATTTTGAGTGCCTCGTTTACGACCAGGCTGAGCCATGATAAATGTATTCACAAAGGCGATGGGGTGAAGAGTGCCTTTGATATTAAATTCTTTTGGTCACCCGTGGATGATTCCCCTAGGACACATCGCGAAGACTATTCCCTGGTCTTTTTGGATGTTAATATCAACGGATCATCGGGGGCAGGCAGCGAGAGCATCGAAAGTGGGCAGAAGTACGTTATTTATTGAATATATCCTGCTGAGCCACTGTCTAACATATACATAGTGATGGTCTGCAAGACTTGCTGAGTACAATCAAGTCGTCGACTTCTCTCGTCGCCGGAGAAACATGGAATGGGCGCGTTCTTCTTGTTGTACCTGCGCGGTCTGGCTATCTCGCGCGAACCAAGATCTTCGAACAGCGCTTTATCGGCTGTTCAGACTTGGGGTTATTTCAGGACCGAACTGTCTTTGGAGGACCTACCAAGCCTGGGAACACCGAGGACTTTCGCTCGCTACTTGATAGCTCTGTTCTTTTCATCGTGCGGCCGAACAATGATCAATCATTAATCGACGAAACTGCTGTCATCGAAGAAGTGCATTCTCGGATCAACTTCGAATGGCTACTCGATGCTCAACCAAAAGAGACAAAGCTCGCTATTGTTGATGGCCATCTGAACCTTCCATCTTATCTCCCGTTCTTCAACTCCGCGTCCGCTCTCGGGATCAAGTTTGTGCTTCTTGACAAGCCGGATCACTGGCTTACAGATCCTTCTTTACAGCATTTGTATCATGATTTTGTACCAATCGACATGACACCGAATGAAGAGTTTCATCTACGCATTGCTGAAGCCGTCAAAGCATATGGACCTGTGGATGGCATCTGTGCTATCGCAAGTTATTGCCTTCTTCCAGTCGCCAAGGCAGCTACTATTCTAGGCCTACCAACAGAACTACCTGAGGCAGTTGCCTGTGCTGTCAACAAGTATGAAACAAGACTTCTTGCCGGAGGCGCCGAGCCAACAACGCTTGTTTCATCTGCATCCGAACTGGAGGAGCAGATTACAAGAAAAGAGTTTGCTCCGCAATACCCATCAATTGTCAAGCCAGGCTCGGGAACTGGGTCCGCGCATGTCTACAGAGCCGACAACGAGACTGAGCTCCTGGAAGGAGTGAGACGAACTTGTGAAGGGTCCAGCAAGAAGGCTCTCATCGAGGCCTTCATCGAGGGGCCCGAGTCCGACGTCAACTTTGTGCTTCTCGACGGGAAAATCATCTTCTTCGAAATTTCCGACGACTTCCCCAGCCCCGGTGATAACGGGACCATTGACAGTGACTTCTGGGAGAATACAAATGTTCTCCCTTCGAAGCTACCAGCTGACGAGTATACCATTGTGCGTGATAATCTTCATCAGGTATTACTCAAAATGGGTCTCAAAACGGGTGTTTTCCATCTCGAAGCTCGTGTCCAGAATTCCTCGATGGAATTTACTGAGAAAGATGGCATAATTGACCTCCGTCCAGCGAAAACTGCCAACAACAATTCACCACGCTGCTTCCTCATCGAAGTCAACCCCAGGCCCCCAGGAATGCCTGTCGTTTTGACATCAGCAGGAGCTTATGGCGTCAACATGTACGACTTGCACCTACTCGCCAGCCTCGGAGACTACCAGCGGTTCCGAGGTCTCGCGAAGGCATTTGACCAGGACACAATTATTCCATACCACGCCAGAGCGTGGAGTCAGCTGGTGTGGCTTAGAGCCGATAAAGGCGGCCAATGTGCCTCTGACGACGTCTGTGGTGAATTCCTGCAGCGCCTTTCGCCGAAGGATCGAGAGCTTATCACCGAATCGGTGTGCTTTTTCCGTGAGGGCCAGCGCATTCCCGAGCCGAAGCAAGGGGTTGTTTTGTTTGGGGCATTCTTTATTGTTACGTCTAGGACGAACCGGGATGATGTTCTACGTGTGTCTAGGATCTTGCAGAGGGAGTTCTCAATTCCGGTAACGTCTGTTTAAGTGGGCATCATGATATTAGATTCTATGTTTGAGCAGGGTGTGCAAGTCTCTAGAATAAATCACGAAAACCACCTTGAGTTCTAGGGAATTGTCTACTTCAGGACTATGGTGAATACGTAGATCCCCGTAGTAAATGTTCACTAAAGACAGTGAATCCTATCTAGATCAGTTCTACCTGTCTTCTGTGAATAATCACTATGGCCCACGGCACCCACCTTTCAGTATCATTATTTCTCTTTTTCTCTCCCGCGCTCCTGACATCAGAAAGAAAGAAACTGTACACCTCATTGCTATAGAAGCAAACCAGCCAAGGGAGTTATCGCGAAGTCTGCCGCTAGCGTTTTCGGGGAAGAGGGCACGGCGCCACCGCATTACTTTATCGACACACCTCTACAGACTATAGGACCGCTGATATTTTGCTCTTGCGGCCAACTCCGTGTCTGGAGCACAGAGAGTGACAGTGAGTGCTATCAATGGTACAGCGCAAAACATATATATACTTGGACTCAGTACTATAATATACCGGCCATAAGATCTGAGATTGACAAGATCGTCTGAACCACCAGCGAGGGACTGACATGTCAATGGCATCTGGAATGCGATTTTGTCCTGGCAATTCGCGGCATACCAGGGGTACATCACCTTTGAGGTTGTCGCTAGCAACCAGCAAAAGTGTTTTCTGATAACCCAGTGCAAGGGGTCCAGCAGGAACACATGGAACAGCGTCTAGGAGGAGGGAGAGGAGCAGGAGCAGCTACAGGGGTATCTCGGAGCGCAGCATGGTACGCGTCCAGTGGGAGCGAGGCCAAATGTCTTTGGCATTTTGGCCATGGGGGAGAGGTGCGATTCTATCGCTACCATGATCCTGGGGAATTAACTACGCACTGGAGGCCAACACCAGGATGGACTAATGCCCACCAGGTTCAATACATCAATGTGTCTGAGCCTAAAACGTGGTACCATATCAGAGATGACGCCGCGGAGGTGTATACCCCCGGATATCGCAGTGCAGCTCAGGTCCACGATTGTTGAGTATTGCAAGGACGCAAAGTCAGACGGACCCGATGCCCGGTGGTTTCTTCATTTACCTTCTCCTCGAAAACATCCTAATAGAAATATGAGAAAACAGATCTGAACCCTAAATCGCCAACATCGTGATGATATTAGAGCTCGCTTTAAAAGCACCTGGATGAAAGCATCCGCGATTTTGTCGCTGTCTTGGACCCCATGTAGCTGCTTAGACGGAACTTGGAGAATCCACGCGGTGGTGTCAATGACGCAGTTGGAGCCGTTTAAAACTGGCGATCCCTACGCGCGTGAACATGAGCGCCCAGACGCCGTCACGGATGACCACTATGACTTAAATTGAACGAATACTCGACAAGCGTATTCGCCGGTGACGAAAAGAATCCACTGGATACCTAGTACGGCGGAAAAGTTATGGAGAATGGATTCGAGCCGACGATCTCAATACTGACGAGCTTATCGCGGAATTCGAGGCGAGAAACGAATAAGTGGTGATCGTGGAATGGCGTTTTATAGCATTCGCCTACTCGGCGCAGGGGCATGCTGATTTCCTTATGTTGTCCTGATCCTCACTACCGCTTGTGTTGCTGCCTGCTTGACTCCGATTTCTTCACTACGAATGGCTTTCCTCTTGTTACTCCTCTTGCCCTCGTTCTTCTTCCTCGTCAAACCTCATATCTTCGTTCTCCATTCGGAGTTTCCACTTACCTGTAACTCGTCATACGTACCCTTTCTCTACTGCGAAGGACTTAAATTCCTTGACGACAGCGTTATCGTCTTGGTGTCCGGCCGTCTCGCTGGCCCGCCTTGCCTCCGGGAGTACTGGCCATCTAGTGTTTACGGTTTCTCGTAATCCTTATTCTCTATCTCCTTTTGAGCTGTTTTCCATCTCCCTGACGCCGATTCCTATAGGAGAATACGCAAGACTAAGTCGAGTTGCTTCTCGATACTCTGGATTGTCGCGACTCCCGCGTGAGAATCACGAATTGCTTGTAGCTAGGGCGGAGTTACAGCGGGACATTACTGCCATGCGGGCTGAGATTGAGGAATTGCACTTGACTATGATTTACTTTGCTGAGGGAGTCAACTTAGAAAAGAACAATTACTTCAATGCAGACCACTTGCCTCCTAACCTCGAATATCTTCGCAAAGCCAGTCCCAGAGGCATAAGCAGACACGCTTATTTGTTCCTTGAATACAATAGACATCTTGTCAAACGCAACTAAGATGCACCTTCTGTCACAATGATAATGGAACATTTGAATTGTTGTTTATAGAGACACCTATTGCCAACCTCAACGGGGGTCTAACTGATGTCCCGAAAACCTGATCAAAACATCGATCGCATATTCCCATGATTACTGCGACCCGTTTGTTCATTCTGTTATCTCGGGATGACTTGTTTCTACGCAGGTCTCTGTGCAATATTGGGCCCTGGACATGACTGTCGATCCTGAGGATCAGCCAACTTGGTCATATGGCGACAATGCCCCGTACTCCGGAGGGCTGCTACCTAAATGGAGGTCTTTTGCACATTGGAATCATTCCAATACCGCTCCGAAAGAGGAAGAAGAGACCCAGATTAATTTTGGACCACCGGTCCTTCCAGCTTCATCAACTACAGTCTAACGAATGAAGCACATTCATATTTCATCATCCCCCTCTCCACTGCGGTGAAGTTCCCAGTCTTTACTGCTGCATCACTTTGGTCCCCCGAAACAGAATTTGCTAAAGAACTGATCCCTGTTCCCTTGCTGTATTGCGAGAGACAGCGCCTACATTCCTGCGTTTCACCTGACTTCTATGTCTCTGCATGTTTTACGCTCTTAAATAATTCTATCGATGCACCTCGGTAAGGCCGTTTAATTTGTTTGGAACACACTCTGCAATATCAGAAAATCACCTAATGAAGACGTTCTATGATGGATTGCCTAATCTGCTGCAAAACCTTCTGATCTCCTAGTCCGAGCTCCAGCGGTAAACAGAACTATGATCTTTAGCAAGTAGTGCTGGCTATTACGTGTTTGACCTAGGTTATCAGGATACTGCAACGAAAGGACAGTATTTTACCGCGGGTTGATAATTCAGCGAACCAAATCAGACGGAAAGAATCGATGTCTTCCGTTTAAACGAGAACGCAGATGTCAACGCAGGGCTAGCCGATTTCAGGAGCCTGAACCCAGAGCAGCCCGATGAGGCCGACATTATTGAACGATCCACTCGCGAACGAATTGCTCGAGATCGTGTGAAAGGGTTCAGCTGGAGAGAGTAAAGAATAAGCTCAGTCATAGTCAAGTCGCCTACCAAGGCTTACAGCGCGACTACAATGTTGAGCATCGTTAACGGGTCGCGGTGGAGGCCGACAACACCGGACTCCAGGAAAGGGTCCTATCAAAATCTTAATATACGGAATGATGAACGGGATTTTATTAAAGTCAATTATTAGTATCATGTGTTATATTACAAACATTCTTTGAAAGGCAACGACCGCGTTGGAGTATTATATACTGAAAGTTGACCAGGGAGAGGAAGAGTTATTGATTTCCAGGGTGATGCAAGACCTCTTGGGAGCTTTCAGGTCTGAATCATCCGATAGCTCTGCCAATGGCGTCTAGTTCATGCCTCGCCATACTACCGTCCTTACTTGCAGGTAGCTCCGATGTGTCATCTGGGGCCCTCTCGATAACATCATGAGAGCAGTTAGTGACCCCCGACACATCCTCGCTCCGAGCAGAGTGGCATGGCGAATACTCCGAATCAGACACAGTTCTTTTCTTGCAGTTTCTCCGTCGACGCACGATGAGAAAAATGGCGGTAGCGATTAAAGCAACACCAGCACCTGAGCCTACTGCAATGCCCGCAATCTCCCTGTCTGACAATTTCTTTTCCTGGTCTTCCGGGAGCATCAAAATGGATACGAAGAGATTGACCGCACCCATGGAGCTTCCTAGGCCGGGGTTACCGTCATATGTTGGCTTGGTCCATTCCGATCCACATACTGTCCCGTTGGCTGTCCCGCTACATTGTTTCGCAGCAGCAATCGCGGTTGGTCTGAGACGTGGCGCGATTTGTTCAGCGGTTTCCGGTAACAGATTGGCGACAGCGGCAAGCGAAGACGAAAGCAGTCCTACCATACTCTTCATCGTGTTGTCTATTGTTTCATCGGTTCCATAGGAGCCCCATGGGCCGAACTCGGTCATGACTTTTCGATGAAGAATCTTTCTATTGTACTCTGAAGCAACCTTCTGCTCTTTCTTTTCATAACGATCTGTTCGTCTAGCTGAGCTGGTTATCATGCTGATCAATGGAATTACTAGCAAAATCTCCATAAAGAGCCCTTTCTATTATCATGAAAGAATAACTTACTGCTTTATACATGTACGCCGCACCACTTAGGTATAATCCATATGCGTAACTCCACTCCCAGCGAATATTAGGCGAGCAGGCTCCTCCTTCCGTGGTGTTGGTGACCGCCATGATAACTGACCAATTTTTCATCCAGAACCTGGCTTCTGACACTCCATTCCCATACATTAACTGCCCATTTAGCATAATCTGTACTCCCACTCCCGCCAGTGGCATGTGCTAATCGTGCGGCAAGCTGGAAAAACAGTCCGTTCGATAGGGCATCTTTCTGGTACAAATCCCTATCCCAGCGAAGGCCACCTTCGCAGGCATTAGCATCCCAACTCTGACTTGATAAAACTTTTCCCATACGTGCAGCCATCTGCAGCCATGAAGACGTATTGTCTAACTCAGGATAGTTCACCTCTGCAGCTGTGATGGATGCCAGGCCCCAAGCACCCAGCACTTGGTTTTCAGAACTTTCCAGGGTTATCGGAGCATCGCTATAATTGCGTTGCTTTTTCATGCGCTCGGTAATGAGGGAACTGTATGATGAGATTTCGGTCGTTTTCCAGAATTGTATCAGAGTTGAATACAGCATGCCTTCGTCGAATGTGAGCTGGTCTTCATCGGACTGTTCGTGTCCTGTGAGCAAAGGACTGAATTTGCCGTTCAATGAGGTAGAATTGCTGAACATGTTCTTAACTGTCGTGGCCACAGCGTCTGAGAGAGAACCTTTTGATTCAAATATACGTCAGTCAATCGAGATCGTGGTACTGATTGAAAAGGGGAACGGTGATTACGAGAGTCGCGAATATCAAGCTCAAGAGAAAGCACTGTCGCAGCTAACCCAGCGATCCATAGGATCGGGATTATAGTTACTCCATCGAATGCCCATTGGCAAAGGAATCATAGCTCCTGATATTTTTCACAACAGCAATCGCGCAAATCCTTAACTGCAGAAAACTCGTAAGGGGTCTAGGGGTAACAAGAGGAAAGATAGAAGATTTTACCTAGAAAACAGGATAAAAACGGAAGACCTAGTGCCAACGCCACTAATTATTCTTTTCATAATTCGAACTTCCCATCACCGTCGCGAGAATTTGTCATTTGTTGGTTAGGTGAGATCTGCTCCTTGGCAATATAATGAACCCTGCATTAGGTCCGCCATTGGCCTATCGGTTCGACATTGGGCTTGACTAGTATTCCCCGGTCACCGTGGTGGCATCATAAGGAGGTGATCAATCACAGGTCGCATTATACGCTCTCAAATCTCCGAAATGACCAGTAAAGAATTAAACACTGCTGCTATTCAGCAACCGTCCCGGATGGTTTTTTTTTTTTTTTTTTTTTTTTCTTTTCTCGTTCCAAATATCAATCTTCAAGCACTCTGCAAACAGTCAGTCGTTAGGAGCATCTGCTACCATTTGAAGATCAGTTGCCTTTGCGCGGAGTTTAGTTTGCCCGTTAGTGCACCTGTTCAGGCTGTGTCTCAGCCGTTTTCTTTATACCACGAGTATATATAGCAGCACCGGCCTCTTGGCACTGATGTCCGAGTGTAGTTGGTCAATCCATATTTCGGTATTCTTAAAGTAAATAGTGGCTGTTTTTTTCTGAGTAGAATGTATTGATAGTGGGCGACAGAAAGCATCAAGAAAAGAGATCTTGATTATCAGCTCTTGAATGGTAGACCAACAGGAAAGCGCTACTTCAATTATCCACGCTGCTCAAGTTTCAGCCCTGGCATCAAACTGCGAACGACTCAGTAAGTCATTAGTAATACTAGGCAGTGCTCATGCGGTTTTGCACTTGAAGAGATAGGATAGACCTCGAGTTACCTAGTAGCTGTTTAACCTAGCAACCACCTGGGTAACTGTTCAGGTCCGTAGAACGATTGGGAACACCAAAATCTTCGATATATTCAACCCTAAATTGTACTTCAACTAGCACTAACTAAGCTTAAGATCACGGTTCAAATGCGCATCATTAGGAAGCAACCCTATCCGACGAGCAATCAAACTAACGACTGATGTCCATACTTCTCCGCCAATAACTGTGTCGATGCCGCAACCGCAGCATTACATCCACTTGAAATCGCCCCGGCAACAACCTTATACTGCGTGACGCAGTCTCCCGCTGCAAAGACCCCACGCACACTGGTCTGATACATAGGGAAGTTAGCCACAACTTCGCCAGTCTCGGTCCCGGGGAAGAGGCTTGAAATTGTCTCCATGCCAAGCTGCTCGGCGAAGGGGCCCTTGGTTCGGGTGAAGGGGTTATGCACGAGGAAGGCCTCAAGGGCGGTTGTGCCGTCCGCAAAGGTGAGTTCGATGCCGGTGGGCTTGCCATCTGTCTCGACGACGCTGAGGCGCGAGATGGGGCGGGAGTCCACTTTGAAGAATTTCTGGCCATCCGGTTGGGCGCCTAGAGATGCCTGAAGCTGGGCGCTGAGTTCTTCGGATCCATGCGTGTAGATTGTCACGCTGGCGCTTAGGTGCGCGGCGTTCTCGGCAAGATGAATGGCCATGGGCGCGATTGAGGCCGTTTGGACAGCGAGCACGCCGGAGCTAGGGGCTCCGCGGTCTTCATATCCTTCGCAGTAGAGACAGTGGTAACTAACAGTCAGGGTATCAACCATCTTCATTCGTCCCCATGGGAGTAAACTCACTAAGACTTACATTCGCTTCACCCAAGACTCCGTATAGCCCGGAATATCAGGGAAAATGTCCTCCGAGCCAGTAGCAAGGATGATCTTTCTCCCCTGCCAGGTCTTGCCGCCTTCGTCGGTGACTTCAAACAAGGAGTCATTGATCTTGCGGGCCGCGGTGAGCTGGACATCCACGATGTTAATGTTTGCGCTGTGGTTCTGAATCTCGGATCTCGCTTTTGCCCGGAATTCAGCGGGGTTGCGGTGATCCCAGGTAGGGACCATGTGCATGTACTCAGCGTCGCCGTTGCGGTAGCTGCCTGAGTCGAACAGAATAGCCGAATGGTTCTGGCGAACGAGGGTCAAAGCTGCCGTTAGTCCGGCGGGACCGCCACCAATGATTAGCGCGTCGACAGGGGAAGCCATGTTTGTGAAAGAATGAAAGATTGGGGAACTATTTGTAGTATAAGAGAATAGAAGAGATGAAAAGTGAAGAGAAGTGTAGTGGAAGAGTGGGATGGAGGATCGAAGGAAGGAATGCCAGGGAGCATACTATCTACAAATAGTGTGATCAGGCTGGATTTCTTTGTTTGCACTCTTGATCACCCCGCAGCTGACTTGTAGAACAGGATGGACACGTATTCCCAGTAGTTATCTCAGAAACCAAATGCAGCTGATTTAGCACTTGTTGTCACTGGTCTATGCGGTATTAGCCTGGGTAGATAGTGGAGGAAGGCTACCCCTTCCCACCAATGATACTTCTACCTATGGACTTCTTTGTTCATCATCGTCTTCTTGGCTTATTTGTTGGAGAAGAGACTATGAATGGCGTCAATTGGAATATCCGGTCTTTAAAAAGTAAGAGCAGAAGCAAAAGTTGTTGCTCTTGGGGTATACTGTTGATTATAGGAAGTGCTTTAGAACTGTCGTGTCCAACTGCTTCTACTTCTAGTATAGGGTGCCTAATCCTTCCCTACTAGATTACATAGTTAGAAGGAACTTGCATTGTGTAAATTGGAATGAACCTTCTATTTTTTGGCATAATATACCGGTGACAGACTCGATGCTTTTCTCGCCGTTGTTTTCGTACTTGTGTATCACTACCTAGAAGATTCATTCTTCTCCCACAAGTTCCATGTTCAACTTCCCCAGAGCTCATGAGCAACTCCGCCACTTTCTCAAGTGTCCCATTTCGCAAGTAATAGATAAAGGTGTCTTTATACAATTATTCTTAAGTTTCACGTCCGCCTCCCTACTGGCTAGGAGTAACTTCACAATTATACAACGCTCAATGCCAGCATGTCAAATTAAATGATTATATCTGTCTAAGCCGTAGCTGCAGGTGCAGAAGCACCAAGAGAAGGAGTAGCCTGGCAAGTATCAACCTTCAGTCCCTCTGTGAAGGAAGCCAAAGCCTCAGGCTGAAGAGCGTCGGCGTCACCCTCAGGAAGAGTGCCAACTAGCAAAAATTAGCACTCCATACGTCCATATCGGAAAATCCAGAAGAGCAACTTACCATAAGCATTGAAGTCATACAGACCACAGACACATCCGTCAATGATATCCTTCTGACTCGTTCCCGACAGAACCTCGTTGCCGTCACGCACAACAGAGAACTTCTGCTTACCCACGCCCATGTCCACCTTGAACGAAGTAGCACCAGCAGGGGCGTCGAAGGACTTGGTGTTTTCACCAGAAGTGACCTGCACAGTGGCGGGGGAGGTCAGGAGAGAAACCACGAAGACGGAGTCTTCCATGGATTCCCAGCCGTTGGGACGACCCTTGAAGTAGTTTCCGGAGTCGTTGTTGGCATCGGCCATGCAGGTGTCGGTGGCGTCGCAGTCCGTGTCGCGGGGGTTGGGACGGTACCAGTAGATCAACTCGTCGTCGGTGATGTGCTCGCCCACCGAGGTGGCGCCTGCTTTGAAAGCTGCGATATAAGGCTTTGCGAGATCGAGCCAGCCGCCGTGAGGCCTGATTTTGTTAGTCCATGAACTGGGAACGTAGTCAAAGGAACTTTCAGAATAGATACGTACATATCGTTGACCCATTTGGAGTTACCGTCGTCAGTGTGCGGCGAGCTGAGAGGTCCGATGTAGTGCGACTCGCCATAGTCGTTCCAGGTAATGATTTCCACGAAGCGAGGGCCCAGCTCCAAGATCTGGTTCCAGCGATCGTACCAGAGGGTATCCGAAGGGAAGACGAAGTTCTTGCTGTAGCTGACCTCGGAACCGAAGTGGGTGAAGAACCAAGGCGATGCGGCTTGTAGGCGGTTAGCTACTTCCTAGCACTGGGTAAAAATGGATAGGGGTGTTTTCACATACGAGCAATGTAGTCCTTCCCACCCAAAGCCGAAGTGTATGCGTTATCTCCGTCAGAGACAGTTACTTCGTTGCCATCAGAAGGGGCCTTGTTGTTGCCGTTGTTGGGCCAGGCCATCCAGTTGAACAGGGCGTCGACATTAGAAACATCGGCAGAAGACAGGAAGTTAGGGGCAAAATAGATCTCCTGACCAGCAGCAGAGCGCAGAGCAGCAACGTCCAGACCATCCCCGATGAATGTGGACACGAAGGGTTTGTCGTCGACAACGAGCTGGCCGGGCTTGCCGGCATAGTCGGCGATCTTCTGACCAATTTCGCTGGCCTGATCCGTGCTCCACCAGTTGAAGTCAAAGGAGATGAAAACCTTCATGTCGTTGTTAGCAGCTGACTCGTAGGCATAGTTCAGCTGATCGTTGGTGTATTTGTCGTTTCCGGCGTTCAACGCAAAGGCATCAATGCCCAGGGCTTTCGCTCTCTTCATGTCATCGTCGTAGTCGGCTGCGCTCTTTCGGTTGCTAACAACTCCAACCTATGCATATCAAGGTTAGCCTCCGCAGTCTATGATATAACTTCATTGGACCGGTAACCCTACCATGAAATGAGCGAAAACTAGACGGTTTGAGGCGTCTCTCTCCTTAAGAGAAGAAGTATCGCCGGGCAGAGCCCATACGGTAGAGCTGAACAGCGAAGACGCTGCGAGGAGAAGGCTGTTGATCTTCATCTTAGAAGGTCTTTGTAAGAATGGACTTGGAAGAAGTGCTATTCACAAACGGCTTGAAGATCATAAAGGAAGGTCAGGTATATAACCCAAAAGTTCCCTCTAGGCAGCCCATTATCTTGACCGGCCATCACCACCTCTGAATGTAACCAAGCCTCCCTGAGCCCTGAAACAGGCTTTTTCATTGGAATTGAAATAGAATTGGGGGCCAGGAAGCCTCCAACACAGATATAGAAAATGGATCCGTCGTTGGGGCAGGATCCACGAGGATACCTAGAAGGGAAACTGAACCACGGTCCCTGAGTTTGGCGCATCCATCGGTGGTAAATCCAGCATATCGAAAGGTTTTAATGCTCGGCCCCTTCCAATGGTGGATCTGAACTATATTAAATTATTTTAGTGCCCGCTATAGGGGGGCCAATTGCGATGCATGAATTGTTGGCACTAAGCAGTGTCTCTGTTTCACTGAGGAAATTAACGGGACTGCCTGTGAGACCTACAGAAGGCTTCCTTGCCTCTATCCCCATCATTGAGGTATTGTCCGGCTCTCCTGTTCGTCTTGTGTCTTCCTAGTGGCACCCATCATGCAGATGTTGGTCTTGCGCCTTGATTGTGGGGATTCATTGGGTCCACTCTAACGCGGAATCGCCGGTGAATGAAGTTTGGACCACATTTCGTATGATCATTGCTCGATCGATCCAAGACATTGTATCAACATTCAAGAAGAACGCATCACGACAGGTCCCGGTCTTTCCGAGTCTTCCACGAGCGAGCGCCGATTTGCAACGTTCCTTATCTGTGACATGATGCTAGCTTTGCCCTCGAATAAGGGTTCAGCGAAGCCGAAGGGGGCCGGAATGCACTGCCCTTCTGACTCGTTAAGCATCCTGGTCAAGAAGACTTCTATCTCTATTCAAGCCATTTCCGTCAGACGCAATCCCAACATTCTGGAAGTCATCCTTCTCATTCCTTTCTCCATGGCTGAAGCCTGAAGATAATTCCTCAGAATACGCTCAGGTACGTTAGCATATAATTGAATTATCTGACTTGAGCTTACTTCTTAGTTTCAAGTTGCGGGGTATGATACTGTGGCGTTTTAAGCTGACTGTAGGGCATGGGTTTGCATCTTTGCAATTTCCGATATCATGGCCCCTTCTATTCTTTCCCTTTTCTGCAGATATATGTAATATCGGCGACGGCTATAATTTAGGGCCAAAATCAAAAACAGTCAAGTCAGTCCTCAGAGTCCTGAGAAGAGAACGAGTATATGTGTGTTATAGTGTTCATCATATCTGCCTATGAAGACACCATGAAAGATCTTGAGGGCGCCAGGAACAAAGAATTCATATATTTGCTGAAGACCAAATACGATAGAAGTGCCTCACTTCCATGCATGCGTCGATGCTCCCAGAAATGGTGTCTTCACATAGTTCTCACGCCGAGAACAGTCGGTTCCGTGCTACAGACCAGTGAATGAGCTTATCGGTGACCTTTCGTATTCTGACCTGGATAAAATCTCCGAGAGATTCAGGATAAGAAGTTAAGAACCATTAGTGGCGGCCCGACCACTCATTCACCGAGTCACCGACTGATTTATAAGCGACCTGACGTCAGACTTGTAAAGTAAAAAGTGCTACCACATACAAACTGTCTATTTCTTTCATCTATCTTCGCTTTTATTCATTTGTTCATCAAGTAACGGCATATTTGATTAAATCTAACACTCAATGGCTACGAAACCCCTCGCTATTATCGCCGGTGTCGGTCCCGGAACGGTATACTACGTCCCTCTCTAAATGACTCCAAACATATAATAATGGTAGACTAACAATAACACTCCCAGGGGGCATCAATCGCCAGACGCTTTGCCAAATCATACCCCGTGGTACTTCTAGCTCGAAGCCCGGGCAGCTATGACCCGGTTGCAAAGGAGATCAATTCCAGCGGCGGCCAGGCGTTCGGGATTTCTGCCAACGTCTCGGACGCAGCAAGTATCAAGTCCGCTTTTGACCTGATCTCCCAGAAGTTTCCCGCTGCATCTCTAGCTGCCGCGGTGTTCAACTCGGGTGGAGGGTTTCTGCGAAAGCCGTTTCTGGAACTGACCGAGGAGGATTTTTCAACGGGGTTCGATAGCCAGGGGTACGTTTCCCCTCATCTAGCATAATCCATCGATATTGGACTCACTAGACTATTATCAATGAACAGGAAAGGAGGTTTCAACTTTGCCCAGCAAGTCTTGCCTCTTCTTCAAAAATCTAAGGGCCTAGAGCATCCGCCCACTTTAATCTTCACGGGAGCAACAGCAAGCCTAAAAGGGTCTGCGCAGTTCTCGAGCTTCGCCGCAGGCAAATTTGCGCTCCGGGCTCTAGCACAGTCGCTCGCTCGCGAGTTTGGTCCGAGTGGAATCCATGTGGCACATGTTATCGTTGATGGCATCATTGATACCCCGAGGACACGATCCTGGGGACTCCCGAAGGATAGGGATGCGGATTCATTGTTGAGTCCTGATGCTGTAAGTTGCTGTTCCGCGTACTTGATGATGGAAAAATCATATAAGACTGACGAAACTACTCTGTAGATTGCTGAATCATACTGGCATTTGCATACGCAGCCTCAGTCGACATTTTCATTCGAGTTGGATCTACGGCCGTTTGCGGAGAAGTGGTAATTTTAGCCTTGGCTGAAAAATTGCAATACATCTTGGTTGATAAAGCTCGTGGAACTGGCTCACGTGTACCTGTATCACCTCTCATCTTATCAAGTAGTACGGAGTACATGTAACTACAATCAACTAGTTAACTAGTTATTTTAATTATTATTGTGGATGACACAATCAGACACTCAAAAGTGGATCCTACTGCCGCCTAGCGATAAGATAAGCACCCATCACGTGCAGCCCGTCCTCCCGCCCATTCATTCTCTCTTCCCCAATAGACAACCTCTCCAGCTCCTCAACATTCAGAAATCAAACTGCTCCCCCGCAGACCCGAGAGAAGATGATCTCATGGCGCCAACTGAACATGAAGAGCTCGTCTTCTACCCGGCGTTCTGCTTCAAGGCGTCTCCTACCCACTTCGCCTGGGTAAAGATGATGGCAACGGATGTGCATCGACTCAAAAGACGGCCGGAGTTCGGAGGTAGGAATTAATCTCCCCATCTCCTCTTCCCCCTATTTTTTTCTTTTTTTCAGTCAGGTTCTTTTGATTCGCGATATCGTGTTTCGTCTTCTTGGTTCTAGGTCGCGTGTGGAAATTGCGTGGCGTATTTTGGGCCCGGTTTTTTTCTTTGTGCACTAAGGTTGGAAATCAATTGATCATTGGATGGTCGTGTGGCTTATACTCCGGCTTCTTGCATACGGAGTATACTTACCACCTGCCTGTCTGCCTGCCTGCCTACCTGCCTATGTGCTTGTCCGCCTATATCATTTGCCTACTCACCGTTTACCCATGACGGCATGGCTTATCCATACTTCCCTTCCTGCGACGGGTTCTTCATACACTTCCCCAGCGTTGCACACACCAAACGGACACTCCAGATACCCAAAGCCTAGACCCTCATACCCATACCAATACCAGGAACCGGAAGACTAACTCCCTCACCAGACCAATCCATCCTCTTCTACCAAAACCACCCCATCCGATTCGTCTCCGTAGCTGGCCTCGTCATCGCAAGAACTGAATACCCCCGGCTCACTATCCTAAAACTTGACGACAGCAGCGGCGCCACCGTCGACATCGTCGTTTACAAAGCTGATCCGGCGACAACAGCAGCATCAGCAGCAGCAGCAGCCGCCGCCGCCGCACAGGACACCTCAGTCCCAGTCTCGGTCTCAGGCGCAAGGCAACCGCCGCCGCCGCCGCTAGCAAATTGCTCATCTATCCAATCGCACTGGGCAACGACCCACGTCGCGGCCACTGACCGCGTCTCAGCAGTGAACATCACCTCGCTAGTCCCCGGCGCCGTGGCCCAGATCAAAGGTACTTTGTCAATGTTCCGGTCCACGGTACAGCTGCAGCTCGAGCGCGTATTCGTGGTCCGGGACACGAGCGCCGAAATGCGCTTTCTGGACCAGTGCTGTCGGTTCTTGGTCGAGGTGTTGGCGGTGCCGTGGAGGTTGGGAGAGGATGAAGTCATGCAGTTGCGGATCGAGGCGGATGACGAGGAAGAGAAGATTGAGGAGGAGCAGGCGAGGATGAAGAAGAGGCAGAGGAAACGCCTGGAGCGCGAGGAGAAGGATCAGCGGAGGATTCAGAAGTTGTGGGAGCATGAGGAGAGGAATAGGGAGAAAGAGGCGGTTATTTGTAAGGATGCGGGGGCGAAGACTATGTATGAAATTCGTAAGAGACAGAATAGAGTTGAGCGGTGATATCTGACGATTCTTGGGCTGTTGTTACGCTAGCAATGGGGGGGTTGCTGCGGTTTACCAAATATATATGAGTATTTTGCTAGCTAGTCAATGAAAGAGAAAAAGTCCCAAGATACTCCGAAATCAACCATGTTGTACATTAAAAAAAAATTCATAAGCATCATACATCATTCATTAAAAAGAGAAACCCGCTATTGATCGAATACATGGTGGATATCACTTTCCAACGCGAAATTAGCCCGAATCAATGACAAAGGATCGACCTGGATTTTGAGCAAAAAGAAAAAAGATAAAGAAAAGACAATTGAAAGAAGGATCCCAAAGAGGGAAAGAGTACTCCCCTGGCTAGAAGTACGTATCGTTTACCGATGGTTAGATGTCAGGATCATTTGAATCCGTACGACTTGTAATCATATCCACTGCTGCCGCCCCCGACTTGGCCACCCTGACCACCGAGCATGCCGCGATAGAAATCCTCGTCGTTAGACCAGCTAGATCGAGATGGGAGATGATCGCTATACTTGGTCTTCTCGCGCTCCTTCTCGCGTTCTCGCAGTGATTCATACAATCGCAAATCCTCGTTTTCGCGTTCAAGATCGCGTCGGCGTCGGTTGTCCTCAAGAATATCGCCCGTTAGGGTGCCTGCACCGGATCCATAATAGCCACCCGGAGAGGTCCCATACAGACCACCGTTGCTCTGCAGGAGGTCACTTTCGGAGTGCCTGTAGTCACTTGGGTTTACTCGGGACGGACTTCGGGATCGCCTGCCAAATGGATGCGAAGAACCGCGTGAATAGAGTGAATCCTGGCCGTATGATTCTGGCTGCTTTTGTCCGAGGCCGGAAAGACTCTCCTTAGGAATAGAGCCACCAGAGAACGATTGGGTATGCCGGTGCCCGGAGGTTTTCTTTTCCTCGTAATTCTTCCCCCCTCCCGGCTGTGCCGAGTATGGTTTCCTTTGTCGTTCGATTGGCTGGGGTGGAATCTCTTTGTCCTCATCGTCGTCATCTACCACAGCCGAAACAGACGCCTGGTATGGCTTTAGCTTGCGCTCTCGTTCACTAACCAAGGCAGAGGCAGATTCCGTCCCTGACACGGAGGAGCTAGTCGAAGGTTTGTGGCGATGCGCCGCGGCTTGTTTAACTTCCTCATCTGTAATCGGAGGTAGATCGACCCCGCAGTGCTTCATGATGAATTGATCCACTTCTTCTCGCAAGGGAAGGATCGGTGTTTCCGGGAAGAGTCGCCGCGGTATCTCCTTGGGGAACCGCTCCTTCTTGTTGTCAGGATTGCTAATAGGCATATTGAGTACGGCTTTCTTGAGTCGCTCATATTCCTTTTCGGGGTGAGCGCGAATCATCAATGTGGCCCATCGCTGGAATCCGCGCGGCGTTAATCCTGGGATATCCGGTCGTTCGTTTAGTTTGTTCTGCACAAGGTGGTGCTCCGCTTCCACCTCACGGAACAACCTGGAGATCGAGGATGTGCGATCATCAAAGATATCTGGGGATCTATGTTAGCCAGACCAGCATGTTACAAAGGCGATTCTTTCAACTAACCCTGCCAGGGATAGGGATCACCAGATATTTTGGTATCCTCATAGAACTTTTGCATCTTTTCCGGGGTTATCACAAGGGTGTTTTCTGGAGGATAAGCTTCGATCTAATACAAAGTCAGTAGCCGTTCCTCGATGTGGTTGTATAAAGCTTGCCAGATGAACAGCGATCCCGCGCAAAAACTGTCCCAACTTCTCAGTGGGCTTTCCGTTCTCGAAAAGCTTTCCCCATATCTTTTCCAAGGTAGTCAGCTCAGTGACCGTGGCATCCTCATCCCTCGGTGGTGGCTTCGGTCGAGACTCCACGCGATGACTATGGTCGCTGGCCTGGCTAGCCGGCGAATCCCGCCTCTCTACAGGAGCGGGCGACACTCTGTGGAAGCGAGGAACACCAGAATAGCCCGCAGACGGCGGCGGCGGGAAATTGGTGCCCTCATGGCCAGAGTTGGGTGTCGGGCTCGGAGACGGGTTGTGCATGCCCATGGACGGCGAAGGTGAAGCTTCGCTGGGCACGGAACTGGTTGCAGCGGGACTCCATGGCTTCGATGGCCGGGGAGGAAGGTATGACGACTGCTGATCACCTTGCAGGTTATTTAATCCAGTCTCTTTGAGTTGTTGGATAACGGTCGCCGTGATTTGCGACAGAACCTCCGGTGGCAGGTAGTTGGAGTTGTCGGCTTGATTGTTGAATGCCGAGTTCACAGCATCGTTTATCCTTCCCGTATTGGGGGGTTGTGATTGTGGAGGTGGTGGCGGCTGCTGCTGCTGTTGCTGCTGCTGCCACATATTCGGATCCTGATACGCATGGTGGTATTGGTTGGACGGGGACGACGACATGGGGGGCACCGAAGGCTGTGGCATATTGAGTCGATCGGATCCATACTGAGATGGATAAGGTGGAGTATAGGACGTTGGGCGATATTCGTTCGGGTCTATCTGATTGACATGGCCCATCTGAGAGTACGGGTTCGAGCTATTCTGGTAGCCATCGTAAGCCATAAGGAGAGCCGGCAGCTAGAGTATCCTGTTCTTTTGAGTAAGGGTGACGAATGCTCCACAAGCAGCGTGTGAGATGTGTGCGACCAAGATAGAAAGTGATAGACAAGGGAGGCCAAGGAGAAAACGATAGCTATCGAGAGTGGCAAAAGTCTGACGTCGAGTGCCAGGTGCGTCTAAAGTAAGGATGAGGACAAAGAAGAGGGGCACCCGATGGAGGGGCGCACTGGAGCCAGTGGATCTTGAAACAATATGTGTAGCGAGTTGAGAAGGAATCGCACGACAACGGCCAGGAAACCGATGGATACTAAGTAGACGACGGAGGGAGGGCAAAACGTGGCCGACGGGAGCAATGAAGATAGCAGGCGGCAGTCAGTGGCTGATCATCGATCGTTGTTTTTTCTCCGTTGCGATCGAGCGTTGAAATCACGAGGCCAGGCTAAACCCCAAAGAAGAAGCAGCACAACCGCCAGCCGCCGCGCATACGTCATCGGTCTTTCGCGCTGCCTGAGCTCTCTCCGTAAGGCACAGAGATCACGTCAACTTTTAATCTATTCTACCTCTCTCCCTGCAGATCTTCCCTATTCGCGAGAGGAGGGCCCATTGACGGTGAGTGTCACCTCCAATCACTTCCATAAAACTGTCTCCGGTCGGTCTTTGGCTCTGCGATCAGCTAGACGATCCTAGCTGACATGTTGTACATTTATATAACGCTGCCCACGTTGACGGTGACCTATACAAATCACATCGATTGTATCCATGGATACGTGTTTCTTGGGATCGGTGGGGATGCTCCAAGTACCCAACATCTTGCTAACCACGGTTCTGTCGTCCAGACTACGGAATACAAACACACGAGAGATGGTCCGAGGTTACGATGAAAACAATCCATTGGATTCCTCCCGCTGTCAAGCCCCATTCCTAACTAGCAAATGTCAATTGTCGCCTAAACATTCCTTCACGAGAAACCATCTCCCAGCTAGCATAATTGCTCCCGAACTTTCCGCGAAGTGCTTGACCATATGAACCCACCACTAGAGAAACAGAGAATGCGCAGCCTATAGGTAATATTCGGGGCCGTTGCCATCGTATTCGTCATCAGACTCAACGGATGGGCGAGATGGCTCGGGTTCACATTTGGTCGGTGCGTCAGATCTCTCGGCGCGCACGGCCTATGCAAAGTTAGCAGGTTTGACTTGCATTGAATCTGCAAGATCCCGTGTGGTTTCAGGCTCACCGGGATTCTGGCGAAGTTAGACGACCGTCTCGGAGCCGGGGATGAATAGTTGTAACCGCTAAAGCCAGTGTTCGACGCGGAGGCAGTAACACCCCATGAGTCCCATCCCCTATAAACCGATTGGCTGACTTCTGAGGGTGCTGCGGTGCGACGGTGCAGATTGCCCTGGGGTCCATAGGCGTTGGACTGATATCCGGAACCCTTTTCCTCGGTGCTCGCCTTGTGCTTTCCTTTCTCGAGCCAGACGCCTCCCCCGGAAGACGTCTCGTCATCGACATCTTCACCCTTCTCAGAAGGCTTTCTGGTGGTATTCGCAGACATTTCGTCTCCGAGCTGGCTCTTTACTTCAGTTAGTATATAGTGCCTTTGTAGATTGTGTGAAGTATACTATGAGCGTACCGTGGCAATACTAGTGGCGGTTCCATCGATCTCCAGAAGGTGTTTGTTCTCTTCAAGAACTGGCTCTGCGTCGGTATGGTTCTGGACGCAATTCAAACATCTCTGTAGACGCATCCGGATCAGCCAGCTCTAGTAGAAAGGGAAAATTGGAGAGATCTTACGGCAATGTCGCGGTTCTGTCGCTGGTTCTTTGCAAATTCTTCCAATCCCTTTGTCTGGTCGCAGATGTAGCAACGGATCTCAGAATTCGGGCCACCGACGCAGACTCTGCACCTAGCATGAGCCCCATGGGCAGCTCTGGGGCCCTGGACGACGATGACATTGCGGAGAATGTCTATCTGACGCTTGGAGTACGCGGACTGCATGCGGAACTTCTCGCAAACCACACATTTGATCCTTTCAACCAATTATTAGCAGCAGAGACCGTAACCTCAGATATGCAAATTCTAGACTCACTTTTCTGGGATGACAACTCTCTCCAACCTATGGTTGCAAGTTTGTTAGAGCCTCCCTGAAGCTTTGAGCAAGGTTCGGGTACGAAGCTTACTGTCTCTTGATGGTGTCGCTGTAGCCTCCAGAGTAGGCGCTCCGGTTTAGGGGGGAGCGCCGACCTCCCATGTTTGAAGCAAAGGCAAGGCGAGATGAACAAAGAAAGAAAAAGAAATATTAAGCCACAAGACAAAAGCAAACTCCACGAGAAAGCAAAGATTGATGAAGAAACAGGGGAACAGATGCGGGGGAAAGGAAAAGAAAGGATGGCGTAGGAAGCCAAAGTGAGGAAAGCGTGGTGGGCAGAGTTCAACAGAAGTCTACCACAGGCAGGGTTTAAGTACCCTCATCATCTCTTCAGTAGAACCTGAGGGGTGAATGGGATCCTCTGACCACGAATACAGAAACAAACAGATCAGAGTTCTGGGTCGCAGATGGGTGAGACAAGCAGCCTATGGCAATCTGGCAGACAGGTGATACAAACGGCTCCAGGTGAAGGCCAGATAAGGACAGTGAAGAGGAGCCCTGTCTCAAGCCCCGTGGGTGAAGGCCTCCAGGTCTGTGGGAATCTGTCAAGGCAGGATCTCAATCCGGACTGTATGCCTGGACTGGATGGCATCCGTTTCAGCACGTGGCCATCAAGCAAACACCGTTAGAGAAAGTAGAATATTCACAATGTCCGCAGATTGACGTTTCAGGGCACCACACGAGGAAAGAATGCTGAGGATTTGAAAGGATGTAGGCCTCTCATTGAATTCTGTGGAACACATTTCTTCAACCAGATCAACGTAAGAGTAAGTTTGTCATGCCACCATCGTAAATCAAACGGATGGTTTTCCTTCAGGTCCAGTCGAATTGAGACCTTGTTAGGTCCACTTGAGATTGCCACCATTTGGGGATTGAGCAAACGGAATGAGGGTGAAGACTCTCCGTTTGTAGCTGAGATACAGTTCAAGGCTGTCTCATCTTCTACATTAAATTTGTACGAGAACGGTAGAATTGAATATGTATGCGAAATTGAAAAACTTTCATCACACACTAAGATTTAAGCTGCAGAGTAACAGTGAGAATGACGAAAGAAAAGAGAGGGCCCAAACGTTCTTACTCAGCTAACTACGTAAACTGCAATGTACAGAGGCAGTCGTGGGATGTTTCCAGGCCGTCGCCACATAGGTCAATGTGAAAGCATAGCATGATCAGGGTAGGATTGAGAGATATCTCCGTAGGAGCGAGATTGAAGAAAAAGCAAGACAAGAAAGACACAGTGAATAATGAAATGGAAAAAAAAAAGAACGAAAGAAAACAAACAGAAAAAGAAATAAAATAAAAAGGAACAAGGAACCAAAGGGGGAAACAGAAAGACAAAAAAAAAAAAAAAAAGACTCCGTAGAGGGGCTGAGATGCAACCTCCGTCGGGATTAATGCAAACACCCTTCGCCTACTGCAAGGCAAGATGGGTGATCCGTCAATCAGCTGTCATTCCAGCCCTTGGGATTATCAGCAATGCCAGAAATCAGAATCCATAAGTCAGAAGCAAAGACCCCCACTAGCTACTCTGTACTTCGTCCTGGGCTGTGACTTGATCCATCACCTAACAGTAATATTAACAAGGCGTTCCGGGAGTCTATCCAGATGGAGAAAACGCCTTGAATTGCGGAGCTGCCATGGAATGGTTGGGATCTGGCGAAGGCACTTTAGCGGGAGATATTGGATAATAATAGAGGGGTTATTATCTACCACTCCGTGCTCTCTACTACGGAGTAGTACTGCGAAGTAGGCTCATGGGACATGGAGGGTACACCAACGGTAAATAGGGTTAACTAATAAATTCAAATAGATGAACGAATGGCACCGGATCTCTTTCCATCGACAGTAGTCACCTTCTAGAAACATATCTCGCAATCTACCCGTGTCTTGCATGGGATGTCTTGTTGATCCTCCACCGCGCATAAGCACCATCACATTTAGTTTCCCTCAGACTTCCAACGGTTTGGTCAAGCGACTCATTAGGAGGGAGATCGAAGGCCATCTCCCCCTTTCTACGGAGTAGGAGGGTAGGACCAAACCATAGAGGGAAGATTCCGGTCTTCCGAATCCTTTCGATGCCGTTTCCTATCCACAGACGAACCTCCTTAATCCTTCTGGAATCCCTAAGGAAGCGAGTATCAGAGGGATGCCCTGCTCCGTACCGGGTACGGAGCAATGATAATAGCGGGCTGGAGGAACGACGGTCTTCACGGCTAAGAGAAGCGGGCAGCTTGGCGCGGAATCTGGATATGGAGAAGCAGGCGATGCCTGTGGGCCAAATTTCGGCCAGCGATCTCTTATGATTCGCGACACTACTGGATCAGAGGAGGACTAGACCCACGGTCGGACTGTCGGGTAGCAGGGACGGGCCTGCGCTGAGTGGGGGGTCCGCATTCCCCGAGCGCCCCGGTGCAATCAACGGACCCACGGGAGTCCACCGCCATGAGTCCGCCCGCGAATCAGTCGGGCTACTAACCCCTAGCTCGTTAAGTCCGGTCGGAGGCTAATGACTGGGTCGCTCCCCACTGCTGCGTTCTGATGCCCCCACCATCTCTTCCAATCACCCCACTCACTTAATCACTCCCTCGCACAAGTCGACTTCGCCTTCTTTCTGTGCGGGTGCCCAAAATGATTTGGGATTTTTGATTTTTCCTTTTCGATTTTGTGTTTTGGTTGTTGTTGTTCCTTTTTGTTTTGACTAACCCTTCAACTTCCCCTTTCGGTACACCACCAACTGTGGTTCAGTCTAGGAAACAGCCGGCAACCCAGTGCATAGCTTAAAAACAAAAGATAAAAATAAGAGACAGAAAAGGGGAACACGTCACCCCAGCAATTGCGACTCAAACAATTACTCATGCACCCATAATCAAACGACAGACTACTCCTACTCCGGACGGACGATACTGAGGATTGGCCCTACTCGATCTGAATCATCCGAAGCATCTGCCAAGCATCCGTTCTGAGAAATTCCCTTTCCCCTTCTTAAATTTGAGACCCAAAAGACGGTGACAATACCTACTAACGGAACAAAACCGTAGTCATGGGTCGGGTGGCAGATATAAGTTGGCGGGAGACACGGAGAACTAACTAGACTAAAGTACACCGCAATACGGAACACCGGAGACCCATACAGCAAGCCCCCTTTCTATCTACTGTAGCATCAAAACGGAGCAATGTCAAACGCCTCCCTCAGCAAGGAATCAAAAAAGAAGTCCCAATATTGAATTGCGTGACCTGTTCACTCAGAAATTCCCGAAAGGCAATATCCACCGTTCTCGGGTCAGGCGAAAAGAAGGGATGAAAAAAAGAAAAAGAAGAAAAAGAAAAGGGAAAGAGATCGAATCGGTCTTCCATGATGATTATGCAGCCATATTAAGCATGTCATATCATATGTACAGTAAGGATCGAAATTGACATTCTAATATGTACTGCGGGAGTGGTAGGATCCAGTATGACCTAATTTGCACATGGCATTTGTCCACTGCCACGGCTGGAAAAGGCTTAGCAAGAGCGTTACGATTAGTTAGCCCGGATCGGATCTTCTTCCATATTGCAAGGGCTGGTGGCGAGCTTGTCTCGAGTACTCCGTAGCAAACGCAAACAATGGCGCGGAATAATAATTCGACAGGCGTGGGGAGGATGTTTGAGCTGATGTTACAGGATGGATGGTCACTGTAGTAACATGTCAACTGCTGCGTTTTTGAAGATCAGCTGGGCAGGAAAACCCGCCATTATCTATCAGATGACCTCGGTTTAACGTGTAGATTCTGGGCCTGCGATAACACCGAGTGGTTAATCGCCAGGGTCTCGGAAGAGTACGACTACGTGCCGTTGCTGGGTTCTGGTGGTGGCCTAGATGATCAACACGCTCAATAACTATACGGAGGGAGTATGGAAATATGAATGTACTCTGTACGCAATCCGTACTTGATCTGTAAATGTAAAGTATCATCTTCATGCATGCACCGATGAAGTACAGGAAAACTTAATTTGTGCAGCCTTCAGCTTCCCCGGACAGCGGTACTTTAAGCACAATGGCCAGATCCCAGATATGTATGTATGGATGTATGTATGATGCATATATCGAGTTAACCTGCAGCAAATCCGGTGGGCCAGCTCGTCTGCAAGAATATATAGATGCGATAGGTGCGTTGATGCAAGAAGCGACTGTACCTCTGTATGCATGTTTATTGCCTCAGAAACGCATTCTGTTTTCCATGCATCCCTTTACCTGATCGGGGACAAGAAATCCTATGTTACGAACCACAGCTGAATCGGTTAATATTGAGAATTTGATATACAAGACATGGACTTTCGCCCACGCGGAATCGGGTCTGTTTCCGAGGTTTCTACTCCGTAGCATGTCTTGCTTTACTGACCAAAGCTCTCCCGATTATAATCTACAGGTTACAAGCCATAAGAAGTAGGAGAAACATTGGATTGAATCCCTGCCCGTAGTTTGAAACAGTGAATATATTTTCTACACTGTATCAGTTTAGATCGCGTGTCGAAAGTACGGATGGCGAAGGGCGTACGACAGTTGAACATTATTCAATAATTCAAATCCCCCGTAGGGTAGAGAGTTTGTCTGAGGTCGTCCCGTTGAATTTCCCATGTGTTTCAACTTGGAGAAACTAGCACAGACACCACTTGTCAAGTGGAAACATACCAACTTAATCCAGTATCTGTTCTCCGTATATTGAAGAGGGGAAGGAGGGGTTGCCTACGGAGGACGGAGTTCTAAGCTATTAATCCATTAACTAACTAGCCAGTCCATAAGCCACCCGAATACAATTCGTGGGTCGGTTTATCGTCGCAACTGGCGGTGGTTGCCATGATGGCGGTCAGCCACCCGCTACGCGGCTATGGAGGACTACGATGTACGGTGTACAATCATGACTGGCAGGAATAATCGGTCGGCTGGTGGGCATCTTTGTTTTACGACAGTACTCCGTAGGCGAACTCTCCACACATGCAGACAAGATGTTTGCAATTTGCATGAACTCTTGACCGCATTTGTTAGCCTCCCTAGATTTCCCCGACCGACTCTTCCGCACAGCGTGTGTTTGGAACTACTCGAGAATCCGACGTTTTTGTTTTGACGCGCGTGTCACGGAAGAGAAGGGGGAACGGACAGGAGGGAGGAGGGATTGAGTGTCACGAGTCAAGATGAGGCCATTTGTATTTCTTCCAAGGTAGTTGCTGATCTCACTCCCATCGTAGGTACACGTCACATTACCCGCGTGTCCGATTTGTGAGCTCTCCGAGTCACCCTCGCCTCCTCGAGACCCTGAGCGGGATGGATAGTACCTCTTTGTTCACTGTTGTCACGACAGTTCGCAAGACCCAGGTCAGAGGCGAGAAAAAGACGCGGCCCAACCCCTGGACACCCCTGCTAGAGCCCGTCTAACGATCACTAGAGGCGGAGACTAAGTGGGCCCATTAAGGCTGGAACCTCCGGAGTCTTCAAAAAAAAAAAAAATCCAAGCAGCGGATGACGGTGACCACCAGAGGGCCCTTTTAGTTCGTTTGGTCTTTAGACCTGTCGGTCTGTTGTAACTTGTGCTTTTCTCTCGCAAATTGTTCGCCTGCTGGTCCCAAACCCCGGTGTCAACGCAACACCATCGGGAGGTTTTAACTTTGCTGTCAAATGATTCTCTTGGGACGGCTTGGGCGATGATAATTTAATTTCTTTACTTTCTTTCTTTTCTGAATGTTTTTAATCTTACTCCGTCTGTTTTTCTTTTTCTTTCCCCGTCTCTTTATCTCCTCCCTACTCCGTCGTATGGCCTAACTTTATTCGGAGGAAATGGATAAGCAGACCATTAATAATCCGACTTGGATCTGAGTCTGACGTACTTGGACAAAGTACATAAATACCAGACTATATGTACCGTAGCAGTTGGATATACATTATACAGTAAGATCTGAAAGCACTGGTAAGCAAAACGGTTCTCATTAATGGGCCGGTCGAGGGAATCAATAGCCCTCAGTAGACCATATCCTAGGGCCAGGGTTGTACATATGGGCATCCTTTATTGGACCATGGCGGCGAAACCCTTCACGTTTGGAGAACGCTAGAAGAAATGGGTGATGGCTAATCCTCAATACGGTTTAGGTGCTGACTCCAACGCCGGGATTTCAGACGGACGTAACGGCCAGTACGGGGTCCCTGGATGCCCTCCAAGGCGGAAGCCAAAAATACGAAACCATAAACACGGTGTTGGTTCGATAAGCACTTGGACGGGGGAAGGAGAGTTTACGATGACGGAGAATCGATTAGTATTATTATTGATGGGCAATGGTACTTGTCAGTCTGCCGTTTCCGGGCAATTGGGGTTATTTAGGTCTGTGTTTCCTGTTTTCGTGTTTTCGTTGTTTTCAAGTTTACATTTCCGGTAGTTTATCAGAAGGGCTACCCGTCTTCAGTTCGAGACCGTCGACGATGACCTAATTTCCGCCGACGGGGAACTCCCCTTTTCTTTATTTTTATTTTCCCCCTTACCCCTTTGAATGTGATTTTTTTGGCCTTTCCCAGGCGGGGTGGAACCCCGTTCCTCGGTCATTCCTGACTCGCCCATCAAGATTAGCGTGGTCTGCTGCCTCCGTTGACTGGCTTCATTATTATTATTATTATTATTATTATGGACTCCGTATTTGTGTTATGATTTCTTCTTCGTCATCTGATTTGATTTATGCGCTCTGGTTCGATTCATCGCTCTTCTTTTTTCTTCTGCTTTGCTCTATCAGAATTTGTTTTCTGACATTTTTTTAGTTTGAGGACGAGTATCGTGACCTGCTCCGTAAGTGTAGAAAAACGGAGTCGTCTGAATGGATGAACTGGTATGGGGCCTGGAGAAAAAGTGTGGCACCTAGGTAGTGTAATCATGTTTTAAATTATCATCAGCTCCGTACGTATTATTTTTTATTTTTATTTTTTTGTCTGGATTTTCCTGTTTCTTATTCGCGTCTCTCCGATTTTCTACAGTCGGTCCATCCGTCCATTATTCCTGTCGACTCTCTCCGGCCATTCGCGTCGCTCGCTCACTCTCAGTTGCTGCCCTCCTTTTTGTCCCCCCCAAACCAACCAACCTCCTAATTCATGACTTACAGGAACAACCCGCGGTTGTTCTGCTTTCGTCTGTCAGTGAGAATAATAAAGGGAGATGTGGTAGAGATTTGATTTCTGTCCATGTTATCCCTCTTGTTCTACTGTTTTTTTTATTTTAACCCCTCAATAATCCACTCGCATTATCCTCCCCCTAATTACTATTATTACTCCGTTTTTTTAATTATATTATATTTTATTTTTTCGGCATCCCAATCCCGCGGCGATTATTATTGCGATTATTATTATCATTATTTTCTACTAGTACCAGGTTGATTATTTTCTGTGATCTGCACCATCAGATTCCACCACCCCCCTCTCAGAGAGACTCCCTCCGTTCAAGTCGACCGCCTCTTCACAGGCTCCACGGCCCGGTCCCAAAAGTCTCGTCCTAGAGCTGGTATAGCTGTCACCGCGTCAGGGGCTCTCCCACTCGGTCTCCGATCATCCTTTCGTTTAGCAGTTCCCACCAAACGGGTCCGCTCATATCACTACAGTGATCACGTCCAATCCTCTGGGTCCTTCCATCTTGCTTCCAGATCTTCTTCCTGTCCTCCACCCTTCTTTTTTGAGAACTACATGACCACCCCCTTCCCCCTCTTCTCCCGCTTCTTCTGTCCCTCATCTCGGTATCTCTCCCTTATCAATCCCGCTTCCCTCCCATTAGCCCTCGTTTCGATGGGATAGAGCCATTTCCGCTTCCCATTCCGCGGGCTCGCAATCGTTTCTGAACGTCGAATGATGAACACCTGGTCCCGTTAATCACCTTCCCACTGCAATTGGAAGATCGATATAGGTCCTGGAAACCCGCTGATATAGGGTAAGCATTCCCTCGTCCGGATGACGGAGTTGCGGGGGGAAAAACAACATTGGCCTGGCCTGCTGACACGATCCCGATTCCTCCAGTCATACGAACACTTCCTTCTCGATCATATCTGCTGGCAGACAATCACACCAAACATACCAAAAGGGAACCCACCATGACCGTCACTTACGACCACTCCTCGTTACGGAGTGCCGCTCCTACCTCAATGGCCACCCTCGAAGACCGCTTTGAGGTGCTCAAGGAGGTCGGAGATGGTAGCTTCGGCAGCGTCGCTGTTGCACGGGTACGAACCGCCGGTTCCAACATTGCACGGAGAGGAACCATGGTAAGTTGCACCAGCTTCCTCGCACCAAAGGCATAGGACATACCTAACCACGATCCTCTGCAGGTCGCGATCAAGACGATGAAAAAGACATTCGACTCCTTGACTCCGTGCTTAGAGCTACGTGAAGTGATCTTCCTCCGAACCCTCCCTATCCATCCTCACCTTGTACCCGCCCTCGACATCTTTCTTGATCCGCTCTCCCGCAAACTACACATCTGTATGGAATATATGGATGGCAATCTTTACCAATTGATGAAATCTCGCGACCTCAAACCCCTGGATGGGAAGCACGTCAAGAGCATTTTGTATCAGATCCTGTCAGGTCTCGATCACATCCATGCCCATCACTTTTTCCACCGGGATATCAAGCCCGAGAACATCCTTGTCTCTTCCTCCGCTCCGAATGATTCCACCTTCAGCCGTTATTCCAATCTTGTGACCCCTCCTTCCACTCCTCCAACATACACCGTCAAGATCGCCGACTTTGGTCTTGCTAGAGAAACCCACTCGAAACTGCCATACACCACCTATGTCTCTACGAGATGGTACCGTGCGCCCGAGGTTCTTCTGCGTGCAGGAGAGTATTCGGCGCCGGTCGACATGTGGGCTGTTGGTGCCATGGCGGTTGAGATCGCTACGCTGAAGCCGCTCTTCCCTGGTGGTAATGAAGTGGATCAGGTCTGGCGTGTCTGCGAAATCATGGGTAGCCCAGGTAACTGGTACAGCAAGTCTGGTACCAAACTGGGTGGTGGTGAATGGCGAGACGGCTCTCGCCTTGCCCAGAAGCTTGGCTTCACTTTCCCCAAGATGGCCCCCCATTCGATGGAGAGCATCCTTCAGCAACCGCAGTGGCCGGCGGCCCTCAGCCAATTTGTCACGTGGTGTCTGATGTGGGATCCGAAGCACCGTCCCACGTCCACTCAGGCGTTGAACCATGAGTATTTCGCCGACGCGCTCGACCCTCTGCGGCCAAAGTCATCGACTGCCCGCTTGCTCGGTCGGAAACATTCGGATAAGAGCTTCAAAACCCCCAGCCGGGAAACGGATTCCCCTACTCTTTCGACTAAATCCTCCTGGTTCAGGAGATCGCTTATTGGACGGTCGGAAAGTCCCGCTCCCATGGTGGACGACGAGCCGTCAAAGCAGCCAGTTGTGTCCTACAGCACCACGCCCGAGCTCCAAACTAAGAGCAAGCCGGCGCCGAGCAAGCGCGCAACGTGGGCCAATGGAGCCCCGATGCCCATCTTGCCCTCGATTCGGCCCGTGTCTCCGTTGTCTAATGCCGTCACGGCACAGGCCAACTCTTCCCTCGCCCATATGAACGACGCAGGTAAATACAGCAAGAAGATCGGGCGTCAGCTCTCCGTCAACTCGCACGGCAATCACTACGCCGATGTCCACCGACAAGAAGCAGAGCGGGCGCTCAACGGAAACGGGATCGGTAACCATGCGGGCATCACCCCTAAGGAAAGCTTCTTCTCGCATCTACGCAAGCGTGCTCGCAGGCTATCCGGGCGTAACCAAGGCAATGTGGCCAGCGATGACGTCGAAGCCAATGCCGGCTGTATGCCATGGTCAAACCGTTCTTCGCTCGCTCTGGACTCGGTCAATGTCAATGAGTCCAGGCAAAACACGGACTTGAACGAGCTGGACAAAGCTTTGCAGGGTGTCAAATACTCTCTGGATTCGACTGCCAAGGGCAACGTTCCCGTTCACCTTACGTCGTCGATGGAAGGTAGCAAGCGTCAGTCGATGCCGCAAGGCTCCATTCGGTCCATGGGAGACAGCCCTGTTTCCACGAGTGGTAATCCTGGACCCATCTCGAGTCGGACTCGACGTGCCTTGCAGATGTCAACCCACCCTGTCCACCGCTACGAGACCCCCGAGGAAGAGGATGAGCTCTTGGACGAGGTGCTTCATTCGGCAAGCACGGCCGCTAAGCGTCTAGGGCAAACGCAAGCCTCTGATGCGTCTTCCAATTATAGTCGTCCAGCTGTGGGAATTGACAACTCGCGTCCTCTACCAAGCCCTTACCCGACTCCTTCGCCATCCGCTAAGTGTGATGAGGTGGCCTTTGGTCATGCTGAAGCCACACCCTGCAGGCGGTTAGGGGTTCCTGATAACAAGACCGACCATGCAAGCTCGACTCGTCAGTGGCCCACTCCACCTTATGAGGAGGACAATTGGGCCAGCCCGTCTGCGAACTTCATGACTGGATCCGCATACAGGTAGTGGGCTTAAATACCCCGCTCACTGTGGTGTTATTCCTATTTTCACCTTACAATTTCCTTACGTTTTTTTTCTTTTTTTTTGCTATCTTGCAATGTTTTTGTTCGAATCTAATCCAAAGAGAAAAATGGGGCGATCATGCGTGTTACCGGCGATCTAACCGAGCAAGGCGTACTGGGTCTGGTGTCTTCTGTTTTTCTCGTGGAGGCTGTTTTGATTCTTTTCTCTCGTTGCTCCCTAAATTTGTTGTATAGGGCGTGGGTTAGCCCGATTTCCTTTTTCTTTTTTCATTTGTCGGTTGTTCTTTTCTCATACCCCAAAGGCCTTTTCTTAGACTTAGTCGGCCTCGCAACTTGTTTTCGGCATGCTTTCCATTCTTGTCTTTCTTTTGCATCATCATCATCATCACCATCTCTGATGAATATTCTTTGCACATTTTACCACCCCCTTGATACCAAATGGCGCAAGTCGCGAGGTCTACTATCGTTCCTTATTACATATATATATGCATTAACTCCCTACCATCACTTTCTCCTTTTTCTTTTTTCTTTTTTTTTTTTTGTGTCAAAAATTTGTCTTGTGTTTCTCTTGTATATTTTCCCGGGCTTTATCCCTTCACCGCCATTCTTTCGTTGCATCTACTGGGAGCAATGTGGCTTGTTATAAAAATTCCCCGTTCTTTTCCCCGTGTACAAATATTCTTCCTCTCTTTCCTTGTTTGCACAGTTTGAAGGACCACTGGTGGCAGCCTTGACAACACAATATTGTAATATAGTACTTTTCTGCGGTGGTAATTCCGCCCAATTATACATACACCTAATGGAAGCGTGCAATCAACTGCTCTAATATTTCTTGATCTATTTAAAGTCTATAATCTAGTAGCCACTAATATTCCGTAGTACATACATACATTGTAAATAAAGGTCAATGATAACCGGAGACTGCGGTGTGGAGTCTGATAGAGATGCGTTGACCGATAGATCGGCCCGGAACAACAACTCCCCGCCTCCCAGCAGAATTTCCCAAGTAGAAGACGTCAAAGGACCTCTTCATATCGAAACACTCAATCCTTGGATGTTGGTCGGGCATGGTCAATTTGTTCGGGTGAATCTATAGCGCTCAGCATTCTTCTCAGTGTTATTTTTTTTTAATTCTTCAGCGCCTACTCCAGTGGCATTGAAGCCTCATCTCATACTACGCATTAATCGGCTTCTTTGCCTGCAAGTTTGCGATCCTCTTTTCTTCTTCTCTCAATTATCCTATCTCCGCACTCCTTCCCCTCCCCCACTCAACACCTAATGGCCTCCCAGCGCCAGGCCTCGTCCGCCTCACAGACTCCCCTAATCTCCCCCGCCGAACTCGCCTACCTCTACACCTCCCTCGCGCTCCCCGGCAGCCCCATCCGCCCCGATGGCCGCTCCCCGACGCAGTTCCGTCCTCTAACGGCCGAAACGGACATCCTCCCCGGCACGAACGGCAGCGCGCGCGTCGGATTCGCAGACGGCACGCAAGCAATCGTCGGCGTGAAGGCCGAGGTCGAGAAAACGGCGCTGTCGCCTGACGCCGTGAACCTTTCGCTGCAGGCGCAGACGACCGAGGGTGACGAGGACGGGAAACCGGCTGCTTCGACTGGTGGGCATGGATCGTGGGTGCAGATGTCTATCGAGATCCCGGGGTTTCGGGATGATGATGCCCTGCCGGTGTTTTTGTCGGAGATGATGCGCGAGCCGTTGGTTGAGTCGGTGTCCAATGGACATGGTGGTGATGATGATGCGGAGATGGCGGGCGGGTTGAAAGGACGGTTGGTTATTAATAGACGGTGGCATTGGCGGTTGTATATTGATGTAAGTGATTTTTTTTTTTATCCCTCGTGGGGAGACGGGTGAGTATCGTGCTAATCATTATTCTGTCCATCACTCTAGGTCCTCCTCCTCTCTCAACCTCTATCCTATCCGCTCCCCCTCCTGTCTCTTACGACCCATCTGGCGCTCTTATCGACGAAGCTCCCGAAGCTGAAATCCAAGGGCGAAGAAGACCCCTTCTTCGACGACGACTGGAATGCCGCTGAGTACTTATACCCTCGCACACGCTCGAGACTGCAGTCCCAGAAGGTCCGCCCCCCGGTGACGCTGCTCGTCATTTCCGTCGGCGAGAATATCATCTTCGATCCGAACCGCGAGGAAATCACCGTTGCTGACACCGTCATGGCGATCTCGGTTACTCGGGACGGGGAGTCGGATGGGTTGAAGCTTTTGTCGATTCGGACGGTTGACCCGCCGTCGAGGTTGACGCAGCCCGGCGTGCCGAATTCGGAGAATATGGCTACGGGCGCTGCGGTGAATGCGGGCGACGGGTCTCTTGTTACCGGTGGGGAAGAGACGCCGGGGGTTTGGAGGCCGAGGAGGGGTGGTGTGAAGCGGAAGACGGTTGCGCGGATGATTAAGTTGGTTCTTGAGAAGGGGGGTGTCGGAGAGGAGGTTCTGGATGGGTTGGAGAATGTTGAGGTTGGCTGATTGATTGATTCAGTTGAGGTCGCTTGGGACATGGGCTTTTGTCCGTCCTGAATTCTACATGATCCGTTTGATGAGGGTCTTGTTTTATGATGACTTCTGCACTCAGATGGGCTCTTGGGGTGGTTGCAGATGCTTGTGACGATTAGGCGTCGCAAGATGTCTAAACAAAAAGCAGGACATTCCTGCAGATCGAAAAGGACCACCTTCCGATACGGAACTCCCACAAGCCTGGTTTAACAACACAATTCGACGAAGTGATTGATTCATCATGATATAGCTGATGAGAGAGTCTACCAATGTACATACATACAGAAAGGGAAAATAATACAAACTCTAGATAGGGAGAGAAAGGTCCACCGTCAAACTAAAAACCAGTACAGTATCTACATCAATTCAACCTACCACAAGAAAGTCCACTCTTCCTCCCTTCCCCAGCACCACACATCCCCTTTCAAAACCGCAAACCGAAACCTACCAAATCCCCAACCACTTCTTCACAGGCCTCCTCTGACCCTCCCAATCCACAAACTCCGCCTGATCCTTCTTCTGCTCCTCGACCGCCACAGGGCTCTGATCATCCACGCCAACCAACTCCTCACCATCCGCCTCGGTCTTAGCGTCCTTGTTGTCCTCCGCGCTCGGCTCCTCCATGCCATGCGCAACCCGGTACTGGCGTCTCTTCTCGGCGTCCTCGACCCGACGCTGTCGCTTCTGTCGCGTCTCGAGGGAGTTGTGTTGCACGTGCATCCGGTACACCGAGAGGGCCTGCGAGATGGTGGAGAAGGGGTGCCAGAGCAGATCGGACCAGGAGGGAAGGAGATGCGCGAAGGGGGAGGTGCGTTTGAAGTTCGTCGTGAAGGTGAAGGTTGCGAGGGAGGTTAAGACGCCCTATATCATGCATATTGTCAGCACTGGCGTGATCAAGCAACGTTATGAACCCCGATCCCAATCCCAATCCCAATCCCAATCCCAATCCCAATCCCACGGAACAACAACCATCCCGGGTTCATCTCCATAAGAAACCGAAACCCATCGTAGAGTAGAAAAGACAAGGCGGGAAGGAAAAAGAAAGATAAAAACCCACCATAGCAATCCAAATATGAATCCACCGATTCGTCAAAAACCGATGCATGACCGTTCCCTCCGGCGGAAACATATTCGGATACTGTTTGTTCTTCTGCGCCTCCTTCTCCGCCTCCGAGAGGCGCGGGCCGTAGTTGACCGGTCCTGCGTTGTTCACGAGGCGGCCGTTGCGAGTCTGCATGACGCGACGCGCCGGGTGCGACGGCGGCCGGAACTTATCCGGCTTCTCGAGCACGCGATGCTTGTCATCCTTGCTGCTGTTGCGTGAGGAGGCGCATCGGCGGGACGATGGCGGAGGGGTCTTTGTAGGATAGGCGCGGGTGAGCGTGCGGAGGGTGCGTGTGGAGGGGGCGCCCCGGGGGAGGAGGAATTGGGGGATTGTGACGGGGGGCATTTTGGTGATTTGTTTCCCTCTTGCTGGGGGAGAACGTGATCGGGTTGAAGAGGTGCGGGTGGAGGTAGGCAGAGAGAGGGCTCTGCGGGGTGTTGGTTTGCCCTGGAGGAAGGAATATCAACGGCTTCAAGGCTCTCCGCGGTTGAACTTTTTCTGAGGTCCGCTGTTGATGCGCCGAGGGTCACGTGATGAGTGTGTGATGGCTGGCTGCAGAAGCGACAGGGGTGCAAGGATGCTGCTAGTGTTTTTGGTTCCATGGGCGTTTATCTACGGTCATTTCGGTAGATTTAGATGCGGTACATTATTTGATGTGGGTTCAAGTCATTTGTGTCGATATGCTGTCGTCTTGTCAGTATTCTGGCTGCCGGCCTCCATGGCAGTAGCATACGTTCAGGTCGTTTCTAGAAGTCGATTGCCGAGCTGCAGATTATTACTCAACCAGACCAGAGACGATCTTAGTTTATCTACGGTGCAGTATTACTGTTGAACGACAGACGAACTATTCAATGCTGCAGGACATACTCCATCTATCAAATCAAAATAGACACCGCCGTCGGACAGACCAGACATTCCGAACCCAACCAACACCGACTTTAAGGTCCGCGTCCGTCGTACAGAAGAAGCATGTACGCGTCTCCTGAGTAGCCATGAGCTGTCGTATACATTGTACACCTCAGCCTGCATGGAAGGGAGATCGACCAGTCCTGCAGAGGCTCAACCGATCGAGACCGGGTTGGGGTTGGCGTTTTCCCTACGGAACCGATACGCGGGTGACCTCGGGTGGAGGAGTGCCTGGATGCCTGGATACCTAGATGCCTCAGGCCTTCAGACCGGCAAAGCGGAAGTGAGCGACAAACCACCAATTGCGAGGCGCCCATTAATATTTCCCTTTTTGCCGGTTTCAACCATGCGTTGGCTATGAGGTCATCTTTTCCAGCAGACACCGGGTCGGCATGGTGCTATAATTAGTAAGGTCGGGATCTAGGAGGTTGATCAAATTTCAAATTTGTATAGTATACCTGGTGGTGTAGATTCTGTGTATAATTTACTTGGGAGTAGATGTCTCTACTGTGAGTGCAACATTATTCCAGAATACACTGCAGTGTTGATCAGTCCACCAGAAAAAGACACCGGCAAAAAAAGCCATTCCGAGGGCGCCCGTTCGAGGCTGAATCATCTGCCCGCTGATTGGCCCTCGCCCGGATCACGGGAGCCGACGGGGGCGACGGCCGGGCGCTCTTCGTTCCTTGTACAAATTCCTGCGGTCGCTTTTTTTTTTCTCTTCTCGTTCTTTCTTGCCAGCTCGCTTTATCTTCTGCCTCAATTGACCTCTGCAATTTCTTGGGATACCTCTTGGATCTCCCTCTTCCTTGTACAGTACATTTCTACTTCTCTATTTCTACTTTTTAGAATTCCCCTTATATATTCACAATGGGCAAGGACGCTTCTTTCGCTCCCGGTAAGCCTGATCCTCCCCTGCTATTGCCTCCGGTCGGTGTTCCGGAGGTGCACCCCCAATCATTCACTGCATCGCTTGCAATGTGCTCTGTCGGGGTGCCAGTGAACATGAAAGTTCCAGTAGCGACCTGCTAGTGCTGGAGAGTTCCCTGAATCGGGGTTGGTCTCTATGCCTGGCACTGTGAACTTCCGGACTCTCGTCACTATATCACCATCACTCCGTCAGCGGCATTTCTGCACCTACCACAATCCGTGCAAATCTTTTCCACCGACCACACCTGCCCCCGAAAACAACCGTGTTTGCCAAGATGACCAGCTGGGACACTTTCTGTTTTCTCACCACGCTTCACATGCGCGAGGAGGAGATTGAGGCTGCAGAGGCTGCAGAGGCTGCAGAGAAGGCCAAACAACAAGCTAACCAGCCGACGCTTCCAGGTGACTCTGCCAAGGGTGCCAAGCTCTTCCAGGTGAGTTGTGAATTTATGGCTATATATTCTTGCGAGGGAGACGCGACCGGCTAACCTGAAACTTAGACCCGTTGCGCTCAGTGCCACACCGTCGAGTCTGGTGGTCCCCACAAGGTCGGCCCCAACCTGAGCGGTCTCTTCGGTCGTAAGACTGGATCCTCCGAGGGCTACGCCTACACCGACGCCAACAAGCAGGCCGGTGTCACCTGGGACGAGAACACTCTGGTACGTTTTTTTATCTAGACGCGAAGATACGCGCGAGGAGGTGGTTGGCTAACGCGATCTGTGCAGTTCAAATACCTCGAGAACCCCAAGAAGTTCATCCCCGGTACCAAGATGGCCTTCGGTGGTCTCAAGAAGGGCAAGGAGAGGAACGACCTCATCACGTAAGTTTCTTTGTTGCTTTGTTGCTTTGTCTTGTTGCGATCGGCAACGCGGATCGGATACCCGACTAACACGTGACTTTTCTACGGCAGTTACCTCAAGGAGAGCACCGCTTAAATGCGTCATCCTGTGCCGAGTGTGCGATAAAAGCCAAAATTTCCCTTCTCCACCCCGTCCGTGGAATGTTCGACAGACCGACGGACCGGGCATGTAATATTACTTGCTACCGTGTTTACTCGCAATAGACCTGGTTTTCCTTTGTGTGCGCCGGAGAACTGTGCGGATATCATAGAGACAGCGGTCTACATGGCGCGATGGTACTCCTGTTTTTTTAATGCGCTTGTCTTTTGCTTAACAACCCCCCCGTGACGATCATGTGTGTTTTCCCGCTTTGTGTGTACCATGGAATTTGAACTGCCGGCATAGAACCGGTTGTAATGACAGAACTCCTCTCTACTTTATAAGAAACATTAACCAACATGAACACTCGATAAGAAAAGTCGGACTGGCGAGTACGGGTGGCCGTAGTGCGCATCACGGGGCCATGGGTTCACATGACCCAGTCACCGCCCAATTGGCCCAGCCACCTTCTCGTGCCGAATAAAAGCCCGAGGGGTTTCTTCCTTCCAGTCTTTCGTGTACTTCCGGTCCTTCTCCCTGGTTTCTGTCCCTCAACAGACAAAGAAGAAGTCTATCTAGTCTCCAATCAGATAAACAAAAAGAAAAAAAAGAAAAAACAAACAAAACAACGGATTGTTCCCCCGTTCCTTGCAACTAACACCCAGCATCCTCGGCGGGCTTGATTGGATGCCTGCCGTTGAATGCAGGCGCCGCTGTAACGGAAGATAGAGTGACTTGTTCGCGACCTTGTTAGTCGGTCCACTTCATCCTTCCTCAGGCACCAACCCCTTCCCCTTCGCCTTCGCATTCCCTCTTATGTCTCGCATTCCCTTGCTGTTTCATTCTATCTCGTCCCCGGTTCTGACTTGCAGGCCCCTTCTTCCTGTCGGGTCTGCCTTTGCCTCCGTATTTCTTCGCTCGCCTCCCCGCGTCGCGCCCGATAAGCGCATTGCTGCTACTTCCTCATCCCCCCCGGGTCTTGGCGCAACTTGCGACGGATCCCCCCTCCAGCAACCTCCCACCTGCTTTCCTCTTTCTCCTTCCCCCCCTCTCTCTAGACCAGACTGGATCTCTCCTCGAGTGGTCGCCTTGACTGCGCGCCAAGTGAAGTGACCTTAACGTCTTCCTTTAGACCGCGCGCAACGCCGTCCGCCATGTTGGACGAGCTAGACAACGTGTTTGATGACCATCCGTCCTTGGATGCGTCGCTAGAAGATTTCGAAAATGCCAGCAACTCTCATCGATCGCCTGTCTTCGGCCTTCCGTCCCAGCACTCTGGCTTCCGCTCCGAGGATTCCGAGCCCGAGGACGAAGACGTGACACCACAGGCCGAGCGCTGGTCGCCTCCCGGGTTTCGCCGGTATGACTACGTCCAGGGCAGTGGGTGGTATCGCCATCAACCGTATTCGCGCGCCATCGACCATGAGCGCCTAGGGTTGAAGCCGACGGTGGGGCTGAGCCCGTCACAATCGCGCGAGCCGAGTCCTCAGTATGAAGATGCGCTCGAGGGTACGACGGCGGTGCAACGAAGCACGTCGGCAGACACAGGGGTGGCGACCATCGCAGCTAATGTGCCGCTGCCTCGCGACACGGACTCGCCGCTCAAAGGACGGTCCCCCAGCCCGGGCCCGCCGGCGCCGACATCCAGGACCAGCCCTCATCCGGACGGACTGGACTTTCAGTCGGAGAATAACATAAGCAATTGTAGGCTTTTATTTTTCAATATTTGATCTCGGTTTGAACCCTGTCCAGCACGCTGGAGCGGGATACTAACGAGTGGGCTTTCTTTTCAAGATATCCGCTTTGCCGTGCGCGCAGAAGTGCAGCAGCGCGAACCGTTTGTCGCATGCTATAAATATGCTCGATCGTGGCTCGACTGGATGACCAGCTCCAAATCGAATACCACCATATCCTTTGTGGTCGGGGTGTTCTCCATCATGTTCTTCCGCGCCCTGTTCGTACCCCATGATCCGCAGGCGATTCCCGACCTCGTGAAGCTATCCAACTTCGCGCGGTCGTTCGAACCGCTGATCTACTATTCGGAGAACGGGGTGCAGCAGATTGGTACCCTGCAGGAAACGGGCGTCGCCGTCTGGGATCTAAGTGAATCCGTGCGCAGTACCAACATGACGAGCGCCCCGATCATCGTAGACCAACTGGATGAATTGTCGGAGTCGTTGAAGGGACTCTCGATGGAACTGACGCGCTTCTTTGCCAACGTGGATTCTGACGTCGATTCCATCTTGATCGTCATGGACTGGGCCAAGCGGGAACTGGAAACTATCTCATCTCAACCGCCGAGTGGGCTGCCGACTATTGTCTTTGACAATGTGCACGAGATGCTCTCGCGACTCGGTCCGCCCGAGCGAGTTGTGGCTCCCAGTGGTGACGGTGGGGGAGACTTGACCACCTCTTCCACTCCCACGACTTTTGGGCATGTAGTCACCGCTCTCTTTGGTCAAACGTCTAACCAGCGCACGCGCTCCGCCCTCTCGCGCACTTTCACCGAGTTCCTCTCCGTGCTGGAAGAGTCAATCAACAGCGAACTGACCCACTCGGCGTCCCTCTTTCTGCTCTTCGAGTCCATCGACCGCCAGTTCCTCAACCTCCAGCGCACGGTGGTGCGTGAGTCGGACGCCCAAGAGCGAGCGGAGGGCGAGATGCTCAGCTCCCTCTGGACTCGAGTACTCGGGCCCAATGCCGCGGTTGTGCGCAAGTATGAGAAGAACAAACGACTCCTCGCCAGCGTCCGCAGTCGCACAGTCGCCAACAAACATCTACTGATGGACCACCGCGGCCGCTTGATGTCCCTCAAGATCAACCTAGAGACGTTACGGCGCAAGCTCGTCAGTCCCCTTGTCCGACCGAATGATTCCTCGAACTTCCTCGGCCTCGGCGATACGGGAAATGGCCGAAGTAATGGTCGAATGCTGGGACCGGTCGAGGCCGTGATTGATGGACAAATCCGTGGACTCGAGGGTAGTTACGATTATCTACGATCTGTCCGGGAGAAGCAAAAGGCCAAGCTGTTGGAACTGGTGTACGGATCGGGTCGCCGGCTACATAACTCGCTGCTAGGAGACAGGACGGACGACGCAGAGACAGACGCGATTGACGGAGCTTGATGCGACCAAGCACTGGATTGTTTTTTTTGCCTGATATACCTCTTGAACCCCCTCTTCCTCTCCTCTCTATCCTCTTTGTTCATATCCGATCTCCGTTATTCGTACAGCCTTGTCGCATCTTCCCCGGCGTTGGACTAAATCCGTCTTTCTGTCTGTCTGTCTGTCTCATGGGATCGGAGTTTTTACGGGGTACATCAAGAAGACCTGTCGGACTGGGTGCTTCTTAACTACTACTTCTCGCTTGGCGTGGTTTCTAGCTAATCTATTCTATCCGGCGTCCATCATACAGAGCAGGGCAAGGGTAAGGATACGGGCAAGCTCGAGCAACGCTCGCGCAATGGTGAAAGGTGTTCTTGCTTTCGGATCTTTCTTGGATGTGGCGTCTCTTGACTTCCTATCTATCTATCTATCTCTTTTCTTCTCGCATCATGCATATATAGCCGGCGACTTTGATTGCGGATTTGTGAGGTCAAAAGCGATAGACGAAGACGTTCCTTATCTTTTTTACCTTTCCCTGGACTTTCTGGTTTTGTATTCTTCTTCTAGTTGTCCTTAATTAGGTCTCATGTTTGTTGGGAAGAATGGATGGCGCTGTGGATCTTTTTCTTTCCCTGCTTTTGTTCTGGCGAATCGGGTTCTTTCTACCAATTCGTTCCTCTTTGACGTTCCTTAATCTTGAGATTTATTTAGCTGATTAACCTCGTTGGCTAGTTAACAACAAACAACTCAGGAGATGTATGGAATGGGACGGCGGTGGGTGGTGGTTGTTTCTATCATTTTTGCTATGTTTTTGGGTTTCCGGCGCTGGCATTTAATGGTGTATGTCTGGTTGGGATCTTCTCTCTCTCTGTTTTTTTGATAGCTTATTGATTGGCCTATATCATCTCTTCTAAATTTCTCGTTTCGTTTCATTTATGTTATAGTTCTGAGTGGAGTGTTCTCTCTTCGAAGCACGTTAGACGTCCAGTTTCTAATGCATCACATCATCGACGCTGAAAGGTAGGTGATTGATGGCTAGAGGTGCTGGAGGTACATGTAGTGACAGATTTTAGGGCTGAAGGAGGAAGAGAGAGAGAAACTAAATAAATCAACTGCGCCCTATCCTGCAGTCATGTTCATGCCACAGCCTTGACTTTGGTCGTTCTGCTATGGTTTTGTTTAGTTTCAAATATCAAAATCCACCTACGTCAAGAAGCACCGTTCAAGTAGTTCGATAAGTATGTAAATACCTATAGTGCATGAGGAGAAGTCTAATATAACATGGCCTTTCGAATAAGACAGTAGAAGGAAACGCAAGCAAGCCAAATATTTCCATAGACAAGTAGGAAGTAGAATGAGCCATTTGATCCTTGTCAGAGATACAAAGGAAAAGAAAGAGGAAATGTTTTTGAGAACAGCCGATAAGAGAGAGAGAAAAGAAAAAGCGATATGTTAAAGGACCAGAACAACAATTATAATCAAAAAACCGCGCCGCTGAATCATGACTGACACCCTTGAAACTCCGTTCGCATGCTTGATTTGATACCGTTCTTCTTGAATAAAAGATATATGGTGAATACCCTAGTGATTTCGTTTTCGATTTTCGGTTTTCGAGTTTTTCTTTTTCTTTTTATATTTCTTTTTCTTTGTTCACCCAGATTAGAAGCCATAGCCACCGCCGCCGCCGTACGGGGTCGCGCCGTATGGAGTGGCAGCACTGGCTCCCCAGGCAGAGGCGTTACCATTGGCATAGGCCGTGAATCCACCGTCGATGCCCTCCGGCGGTTCGTAGGCGTCGGGGCTGCGCACTCCCATCATATCATCCTCCTCGACGCCCATCATACCGCCGTGATCACCTTCCGCGGAGCCGGAGAGGGCGGAGATGACCGAGGCGAGTTTGCGTTGCAAAACCGTGATGCTTTGCTGGATGATCATATCCGGCTCCAGGTTGCCGATGCTTTCGACGTCAAAGTAGAAGTTGTTGGGCTCGGCGTCGTAGTCAAATGGTTGGTCCGGGGGAGCGGCATGTTCCCAGGTAGCGTTTTGGGAGATGGGCCTAGAAGGGTTTATGTTAGGGGCTGAAAAGAGAAAGAACGAAGAAAAGAAATCCCGGGAATCAGGCCAGAAGCGAACAGAGGGAACTGAACATACCATTCCTTAGCGGCATCCTCCTCGTACCAATAATCCACATGTCGCAGATTGTTATGCGGGTCGTACTCGAACCCGATCGCCGCCGTCGGCGCCCACTTCGCATGCTCCTTAGCGATCCCCTTCTTCGCAATACACGTCATCTTCAGTTCCTGACCGCTGCGCAATTTAGCGATCAAGGGACCCAAGCCCTGAGGGTCCGTGATGACCGGGTTGCCGACCCATTCGTTGGCCCGCTCGCCGCTGACGACCAGGTCGCGCGCATGCACGGACATGACCTCGTCGCCGGTGCAGCGCGCATGCAGGGACAGGGTGACGCTGCAGCGCGAGCAGCGGTCCTCGCATTCGCAGTCGCGTGTGTACTCGACGTCTTGGTCGCAGTTCTTGGAGTTGAGGGGGATGAGACCCAGGCGGTGGGCGAGGAACTCGTCGGGGAGCACGGAGGTGTTCATTTCGACCTCGACGAGGTCGATGGCGATCGTGGGGATTTCGGCGAGCATGGCGCGGCGGACGGAGTTGGCGAAGGCGAGGTCGACGGAGCTGAGTTTGAAGTCGACGCGGTAGGGTTCGGCCTGGAGGTGAGTGTGAGTTTTTCATGGAGCTTGGATCGGTGGTTTTCGTTGGAGTTGGCTGGGAGAATACCTCTCGCACGGTCACTTGGGGCCCTGTGGGCTCGATGTCCATTTCATAATCCATGGCGGCGTGGAAGCAGCGCTGCGAGCTGCCTACTCGAGAAGACGGGACAGGGAAAGGATGTGCGTTAGAGTGGTCGAGAACTGGAGGATGCGATGAGGATGAAAGCCGACCAGAAGGACCGAGATCAAAGGTGGGGAGGAGGCGGGAGAAAGGCGAGGGACATGAAAGAAGAGAGAATCGGAGGTGAAGGTTGGAGTTTGGCTCTGCGAACTGCAGGCCGCGCTTTGCCCGATCGGGAATGCATCTGGGCGGCTTCTTCGCGCATTCTTCAATCTACTCCGTAGTCCAGGGAGCTTCGTGACAGAATCCTATGAATAATAATTAATACTCTTCTTGGCATGGCAGTGGAAATAGATCTTATTTACTATACATTCAGCTCTATTCTATCATAGGTTCTATGTGACTACAGCCCTACACGAAATACGCTACTCCATACTCTATCCATGTCATGCTTAAAGATACAAGTCACTTGGGATTACAAAAATCCTCTTGCGGCCGTCAATCTGATCACTGGGAGATGATATGAGTATGGCTTTTTTTTTGTTTCTTTGTTTGTTTCCTTGGTTCAGACCCCTAGGCCTTTGCATGAATAGCAAACCAAACTATCCGACGGTACCAAAAGATGCATCCGTCTTGACGGTCGAACAGATGATAATTTCAAGACCATCGCAAATGGTAAAATGCAGAACGAGTTCATGCATAGAATTCAATGGCCATCTTCTGTCAGGCTCGAATCATAGGATTGGTATCCAGTATAACCGGTAAGAACGAATCCTCCAATCAAAGTCGGGTCAGACCAAAAACCACGTCCGTAAGAGGTATAACTTTTTCTTCATCCGTCCGCGATCAGTGCTGTCGACCGTGTTGTTCTAACTTTCTATTTGACGGACTGTCGTAGAATCTATAGAGGTGAGTTGTGGGAATTGGGATCACGCGCATAGCCATCCAGCCACCAACGCGTTATTACAAAGACAGAAAGGAAACTTGGAACTCCAGAGCAGCACAGCCGACCGTGACAACGAAAAAAAAAAAAAAAAAAAAAATAAGGAACAAGAGGAGGAATGGAAAAGCACCAATCAAAGGAGATGCAAGAAGAAAGATGGAGATGAGATAGGTAAAAGAAAATGTTTTTCTTCTTTTGAAAAGGGAAGTCATGTCGAGTCGTAAAAAAGCGAAGATATAGCAGGTGAGCTTCCGACGTAGCCGGCCGTCTTTATCCTGCAACTTTGGACAGCAATCGGTCATCGCTATTTTTTCACGGAACTGCGATTCAATGCCTCCAGCAGCTCGGGACGACTGGCAAGAGCCGCCGCCGCTTGAGCGTAAGCGACCCATTGACGTTTTCGCTTGTGCATCTCCGGCCACTGATCCTCTTCGCGATCCACGGTGACTTCGAAGAACTGGTACGAAGCCTTGGGGACATGCATCGTCAGCAGCGTCGACGGGCGCATGTCCGGAATCAGGCCCAGATCCTGCTGCACCGTGCAGATGACACCAGCCTCTTCCCAGGCCTCCCTGCAGGCAGCCAGCTCAGCACTATCCTCGTCGGTTTCCCACCCTCCTTTGGGAAGCACCCAGCCGCCTCGTCCGGCGGACTGGATCATGAGGACTTTCGTCTTATCCGTTGATAGCGGGACCACGCCGGCCACGAGCCTTTCGCCTTTCGATCCGTAACCTGGAAAAATGCGACATCTCCGTATTAGCATAAGGCTGCGCGAACGTCATCCGAAGGGTCCGAGAGCCTAATCGTCCCTTTTTTTGCGGATGGAGGGGGTTTCCGACAAGGCGCCAGAGCGACGTAATGCGCCCCACGTGCCTCCGGAGTTCACTCACGTTGGTTTTTTCGCCCTGTCCGGGACTCCATTGACCGGGTTTGATCCACCATTTTGGACGACAAGGAATGAAAAAGGAAGATGGATTATAGAGAAGAAGCCGTTGAAACGCCTCTCACCAATAGTCTATGCCCCGAGAGAAAGATAGGAGAAACGGCGGAGTAAATGCGCCAGGAGTACCCCACGCGACAGAAAGTCAAATGAATGACAGGGTCACCGAGGATAAAAGGGAAGACGTAAGGAGGGATGAGGTGGACGGGAGGTCAAGCACACGGAAGACGACCTCGGTGTAGAGGTCTAGAAGTCCGAAAAGGGACTTTTCTGGGGAGGGGGGGAGATCAAAGGACGGAAGGGTATATAGAAGAGAGGTCCAGCCTGGGTGGGAGCTGGTCCGCGAGCTGTCAACCCTAAACTTTTTTTTTCCCGGGACGTCGAAAAAAAAGGCGAGGCGGTCGACTGGGAATTTTGGGGTAGGAGGGGAAAATCAAGAAAGGGACCCAAGAAAATAAGTTAACGGAAAGAGTAGTTAGGCACTAGGTATTCCCGTTCACTCCCGCGGCGGACGGGAACCTGGAAGAAGACGAGATATAAGGAGACATGGTAATCAAGAAGTAGAAGCGAAGAAATAGGGGAAGGGAGGGAGGGAGGATACAGAGGAGGAACGGAGGGGGAGGCGAGAGAGGAAGAGAGAGAGTCGGAGGGGAAGGAGAAGATCTTGGGGGAAGCTCGCGGAGGCCGTACGTGTATTACACGCTGCCTCAGGCGCTGTTCCCGGGCGGTACTGTGACCACTGTCGGACTGTCGGGACTGTCCCTCCCAGCGTCCTGGCGGGCCTCCTTCCAGAAGGCAATAAATGACGATGATTCACCGCGGAAATCACCTACGGAGTCCTCGGTAATCAATGTGAAATTCAATTACCAACATCCTTGCGTCCACTCTGTCAGGAACTCGGCCCATTCCAACTGCGTGTCACCGTCCTCGCCATAGCTACGGACCACACCCCCTATGGACCTACATATGGACCTCTCGAACTGTCAATGAGAGCCCTTCTCTGGCTCGTTTGGTTGTCGGACTATGCAAAATGCAAACAACCACGCCCGCCACAAGCGCGATGTCTCAATACAGTCAACGGATTGGCTAAACCGAGTCTGATATTGGACCCAAAGTTTCAGCAGATTAAGGCCTAATATGGCGTAGATTGCTACATTATTGGCCGGTGGGACTCTTCTAGCCCTTTGTTCTCCGTTGAAATTGGAGATTACATTTACGGAGCGTTAATGTCCAGGTAGGCGTTCTTCTATTATTGGAGTCCTTTTTCCGGATCGGACTCTTCTGGTCCCATCCGTCTATTTCGTCTGCCAGGTCTGTCCCTCGGTAATTAAGGATCTGTCTTGCTATTTTCATCGGTCATCAGCTAGAAAACTGGATGCGATCCACCCCGAGGCACCTAGCCAACCCTAACTGCGGTACGCCGAATGGAACCAGGTCTCAAGAACCGACGCCCAATAACCATCTTCCTAATCGTTTCCCAGGGAATGGAACGCGCCCACGAGTCACAAAAACTTTTTCCTCCGTTGATTTTTTTTTTTTTTTTTTTTTTTTTTTTCGTCCTTGTTTCGTTCGTTTCTTGTGACCAGATCGTCGTCGGGTATCTTTCTGTACGGATGTGCCCTAAAGTCTGAAGAGTGAAGTCAGACCTCAGCGGTGCTCAATAAGAGTGACGCACATGGTCAACAGCTTAGTAGGCAACTCATGCGGAGTGTAAATCAATACTCCCTGCAGTGTCAGTGGCAATTTCGAGGTACCCTTCAAATAGACACTCGGAGAATCCGCTACGTGTGAGACTCCCGGAGGATAAAGCGTCTAGAAACGACACAGCAATCCAGCAATCAGCATCAAACTAGCTAGTTCTGCATCTTGGTGGAAGGGGGACAGGCGGAGAAATCATTTTCACGAAGAGGAGTTTTTCTTGGATTTTTCTTTTTTCGTTTTTCTTTTTTTCACGACCTTAGTCCAGACAAGCTAAGGATTGGATACCATGAAACGCACAAGCATGCCTGCATACATTAGCTCCAAGTGACTATTGGGGAACGTCGATGCCATCACAGAAAGTCCGATCCAATCCGATGCGGGGCTCCAACGACATCCCGGGATTTGTCCCCGAGAGGGCCAAGGGGGTCCGCGGATGGAGGGAAAGGGGGGCCTCAAAAAGAAATATGGAAACATAAAGGAGAATCAAATAGGAGGGCTGGAGAGGACCATCAGGTCGATCATAGCGCTGGAGTCTTGGAGATGGTGTGGTCAAGGACTGGGTAATTGCGCCAATGCCCCCCTGGAACTCTTAACGGCGGTAAGGCATGCACATCAAAACTCGTTAGGGAGGTTCGAGGATGTCGAACCCCACGGCACTGATTGGATCGGGGGGATACAACGCAGCAACGATCTATATTAGATGCGGACCCTGAGATCGCAGCGGCGGTGAGAGACTTGAGACTTGCGAGATGAGTCTGTTGCGCGACTGCGAGGTAATGGTGGTGAAGACGGAGGGGCGACACGTGATGTCATATCTGCCGGGGAATCTATAAACGAATCCACCCACCAAGATAGAAACAATTCAATAATTGAAAGGATCGAATGAGAAGGGACCGAAAGGTTTAATGAACGGAGGCATGCAATGGTCCAGGATCACATCCATCCATGACGCATCGATTGACACTTGGCCAACTTCCCCTTCCATCCACCGTAAGGGAGGTACCGTATCGTAAAGTTGCCTCCGTGTGTATGCCTGTATGTATGTAATACCCCCGGAAGTAGAGACTATGGATGTGCCTACTAGATAGTGCTCTGTACCTGAATGAAAATGGAAATCTCCAGATCACACCTGTGGGATGAGAGCGGAGTCTTCGAAATATGATATTCATTCGTTCACGAGTATCATTCTACTGCGTCCTCTGCACTCTACCCAGACACCGCCATCTCCCGACACCGAAGCCACGACTGGGCGGACAATGCAGCCAAAAAGCAAAATAAAAGAGAGAAAGAACATCAAAAAGAAAAGAAAAAGAAAAAGAAAAAGCTCAATCAGCCCCTGGACAGGGATGACCGGGCCTTATATGAGACCACTACGCTGTATGTATGTACCACCACCGGCACCAGGCCAGACCAGCCCGGATCCGAGTCGGTTCGAATTCTCTTCTAGAAGCACGATACTCAAGCCTTGACCTCTGGCTCAGGATGCTCTGTCCCTCTTCATAGGTATAGTTACTTTGTAGTGTATATTAATCAAAAGTGCTCTGCGAGTGCGCCTACTCAGAATCTAAAGTACCAGGGTCAAGCAGGCCCGTAACTGTAAGCGGCGGTCATGCGGCCTCCACCGTTTCTCCCCGCCAACGTCTTGTCCTCGTCCCTCTATTTACTCTCCAATCTTCGACTCGCGATCTCGTCCCTCATCTCCAGTCTCCAGGTGGACACACTACTCGGTAGACCCATTTGGCTCTGGGCTAGTTTCTCTCAATCCTCATCCTCCCCTCCTCCGACCGATCGCACTCGGAGTTGACTATTGTTGTGTTCAATTTTCGGAATTCCCGCCTTGAGCGCCAACGAGACCACTTACACATCGCACCACATCCAACATGGGGACTGTCGTCGACGCCGAAGAGGCAAGGAATCTGTCGCTTTTCCGACCCCTAGGTAAGCAGCCAGTCAGAGCAGATTGCTCTTCCTCGTGCCGTCATCATTGGCCCCAGTCCGCCTGCCATCCCGCGGAGTCGGCCATTCTGTGCCCCTCCATGATGTATGCCACTTGGTTTTTCCTCGTTCTGGTCTTGGCCCTCTAGCCCGGGCTTAGCACGCCCAGCCTGTTGTACTTCTATCTTTTGGGGATCTTCGTCAACCCATCAATCAATCAATTCATTGATATGCCGCACGACACTGCATGACCCGCAAAATCTGTCACTGTCACTGTCACTGCATCTGTCTTGTCTGGCATGATCCGTCGGCTTCATCCGTATCCATGACTGTTAACGGTGACTCACCATAATCTTTGTTTGATATAGGTTACCAACGCAACTCATGTGGTTACTGTAAATCCGATGACGGTAGTAAGTCCGACCCGGCTGCAATGATCCTCCGGGTTATCGTGGTCTCTTCCTCCGTGGGGGATGCGCATCTAACCTCATGTAGGTGCTTCCTACTACACTAGCTCGGTCGCCGTACGTCCGGTCCATTATGAAGAACTTGTCAACCGCGGCTGGAGAAGGTAAGTTTAGCTCCGCGACTGGATGCAGCCTGCATGTCGAGTCTAACTGCTGATTTGACTTCAGGTCAGGAACGCTCTACTACAAACAGAACCTGCAGAGATCATGCTGCCCGCACTATACGATGAGGTACGTTTGCCGCATTTCGATCGGAGAGCGCTTAATTTGTCTGTAGATACTGACGGTTTTCAGGTTGGAAGCTTCAGCCTTCAAACCCAGGAAGGACCAGCGGAAGGCAATCAATCGCTGGAACAAGTTCATCTTGGGTCCTGAGTATATCCGCAGGGCGGCGTACCTGTGTCCCAAGAGTCGAGGGTAAGCATAATCTTGCGTTCCCCCCGCTTGGGGGAAATAAGCTCTCGGCCTTTACGGACCTGCTGAGGTCATAAGGACTTAACTAGAGTCCCTTCGAGATTATAGAAGCTGATAGTATCCCGTGACTAGAGAAAAGAAACACCGGAAGCAAAACTTCGATGTTTTGGATGTCGTGCATGAAGCTGAATACAGCAACGTGAAACGACCTCTTGATCCCAAAACCAAGAAACTTCTAGAGCCTGCTCATCGGTTCGAAGTCAACATCGAGGGCGATTCCATATCGCAGGCCAAGTATGTAGTCCATCCCTCACCATCAATCTTCCCTGATGCTCACAAACTCTCAGGTTCGACCTCTTTCTCAAGTATCAAACCACGGTCCACAAGGAAGATGTGTCTAAATGGCAAACCAAGGACTTCAAGCGCTTCCTTTGTTCAGGTATCAAGCGATCTCCGGCCAACCCGCAGTCCTCGGAGAAGAAGCTAGGATCGTACCATCAGTGCTATCGATTGGATGGCAAGCTCATCGCCGTGGCTGTCTTGGACTTGATGCCGAATGGCATTAGCTCTGTCTATATTTTGTGAGATCTCCCTCTAAAATGTGACCGATCAAAACGCTGACTAGGAAACCAAGCTACGACCCGGCGTACGAGCAATGGGAATTCGGAAAACTCAGCGCGCTCAGAGAAATCTCCCTGGCCAGTGAAGGTGATTACAAGTATTACTACATGGGTCAGTTACACTCTACCACCAACAATTTAATCCCGAATCTGTTTAACACTCTTTCCCAGGTTACTACATCCACTCCTGCCAGAAGATGCGCTACAAGGGCTCCTTCAAACCCCAATACATTCTCGGTAAATGGATCCCACCATCCTCCCAACCCCATACCTAACCATCTCCTCCAGACCCAGAAAGCCAAACCTGGGACCCTCTCGACGGCGAACTCTCCCAGAAGCTCGACAAGCGCCCATACGTCTCCCTCTCGCATGATCGACAACTCGAAGCCGCCGCTCCAGACACCACCGATGCCGACGCTGCCGACGCCGAAATCAACGACGAAGACGCCTCCCTTTTCGACCTGCACATGCCCGGCGTCTTGACTCTGGAACAAGTCAAAGCTCTGGATCTCGATCACTGGTTACTCCTGGTTCATGGGACGTTTGTGCATATGATTGTGAGTGGTTACCCCCCCTCCCCCTCTTCTTCTGCATTCGTCTTTCCTTTAAAGTCCTCGGGACCATTCCAGAATGGGGTTTTGTTCGCTCGCTCGCTCCCTCCCTTGCTAGATAGTACTACAAACCACGAACAATAAAAGCGTACTAACCACTCCCTGCTCAAACCACAGGACCTCGTCGGATGGGAAGACATGCCGATGGACAACCCGCAGTCCGTGAAGGGCATTATTGCGGAGTTGGCGGCCGTGTTGGGACCCGAAGTTCGGAAGGAGAGTGCGGTGGTTTTGTTTGATTAGTTTATTGGGTGGGTTTTAGTCAAGGTATCGATCTATCTTCCGGTTCTACGTGTCCGGAAAGGTCGATGCGCCGGAGGACCACACAAACGTGAATTTGTTGGCGCTGCGACGTAACGTGACGATTAAGGGTATCGTCAATGGCCCGAAGGACCGATTGGAGGAGATGGTGGGCTTCTATGACAAGCATCAGATCAAGCCTGTTGTGAACCGGGTATTCGGGTTCAAGGAGGCAGATCAGACTTTCAAGTTTTCGGCTAGGTAGATAAATTCCCGGGGTAATGTGGAGGTCATCGGTCTACATTGCGGGCGGGAGATATTTACAAGAGATGTTGATATTGAAAATGATATCATTTCATGTATGCCAGTCTGTAGGAAGATAGGTATGTATAACTATGCGGTTGAATAAATGATATGCATACCTACTAGGTAGTAAAAAGTGGCACCGACGCTTGCCTGTAAATGAAACGCCACCCATGATATTATAGTAACAGGAACCCCCAGACAATTCAAAACAAAACACATAAATCGAGGTTCATCAAACGCACGCAGCAAGGATGCATTTTCATGGACAATAGAATGAAACCACCATGCGTGTAGAATTGGCACTGACAAGAGAAAAGAAAAAGAAAAAGCACAGACGCTAAAGCAGTCAAAACCAAAACGTTATTGCAGGCGTTGAAAACGTATGATCAGATGTTTAGTTCATCAGTTCGACCGGTGGTCGAGACGTCTTCGGCGGCATCTTCTTCACCGACATCTCGATCGGACTCATCTCGACGTCCATATCCTCCACCAACGCGCTGGTATCCTCGACCATGACGGCCGGCAGGTTGGGGCTGCCGCCGTGGTCCTCGGGGTGGAAGATGAGGGTACTGCTGCGACTGCGCTGCTGCGACATGGCGACGGGCCAGCTGCCCGTGCGCTTATCGGAGGTGATGGACATGGGGGTTCCCGGCTCCTTGGCGTTGGTGTTGGGGGCGCCGTTCACATCGAAGCCGCCGCTGAACTGCTCGGTCTTGAGGTTTGCCAGGGCGTGAGCGAGATCGCTGGCGTGGACCTCCTTGTTGGGCGGGTCTTCGTTGCGCATGACCCATCCGTTCGGGGGGCTGGGGGGCGGCGAGATGAAGAAGAGTTTGTCAGATTGCGGCGCCTCCAGGAATTTGGGGCGGGCGTCCTGTTCAAGAATGGGGGTGGGTTCGCCGAAGTAGATCTTGGCGCGCGTGCTGGTGAAATCGAGGAGCGCTGTACCGTCCAAGAGTTTGCGGATGCGCAGGGAGTCTTGTTCCGAGTAGAAGGAACAGATGATGCGGCGGAGAGAGGGCAGCGGGGAGAAGGAGTTCAGCGGGGCGAGAGATTCAAGCCGGGCGCGGATGGCGGCGAGGGAGTCCGGTTGGAAGAGCAGGATGTCATTGAGGTCGGTGATAAGGAGGGTGTTCGTTGGCGGCGTGGGCTGGGAGAGAGATGGCAAGTTGGACATGTCCAGCGAAAGAGTTGGTCGCCGTGAAGATGTGGAGGAGGATCTAGAGGCGCGAGAGGCACCGAAGGAGGGAGAGGATGGGAAAGATCCCGGTGGTGAAATTGTGATTCCAGTCATTTTGAATATACTGAAGGACAACGAGACAGAGAGTTGAAAAGATCTGTCGGAGATGGGAGACGGAGGAGCGATGAGAGAGAAGACGAAGAGAAAAAGAGAAAGGCAAGAAGAGGAGAAGGCGAGAGACTATCAAGGTGGCGGTCAGGTGAGAGAGAGAGGGATTTGTCAATAAGAAAAATCCAATTTCTGGGCGTTTGTTTGAAAACAGACGATCGATGGTCTGGAATTCTTGATTGCAGTCAATTATGGAATTGTTTCTGATCCATGGCAGAACTTGTCACGTTCTCCGTCTTCGTCTTATATGGCGATCTTTGACATTCCATCCATCCGTCTTGGGGATCTTTGGGATGCTGCGCCCCCGGTCGGCCTCCACTCCAACATCGAAAAAAGAGGGTCACTAAACACTGCCCCCCAGCGTTTGATAGACGCGATTACGAAGTCCGTGACGGTCGACGGCCCTGCCTCCGTTCCTGACGATCCATTTTTTTCTTTTTTTTTCTTATTCTCTTTTTTTCTGGTGTCTCTTTTGCCACGGTGATGGCCGAACCCCGTTGTGGCTGATGCAATAACAATTTGCACGCTATTGCTATTATCGCCACAAATAGGCTGCCAGATTCGGTAGTGCAGTAATGGCCCTCGCGTAAATCGCCTCAACTGAGCCTCTCCAGTCCGCTGGGAGATTGCCATATAGTTGCCGCTAATTACGGTGGGCTACGAGACTATCCCCGGAGAGCACTCCCTCAAGCCTTCTCCATGGCTCTGGCTCGGGGCTCTCCGCATGCTTCCGTCGCAGCTCCGCCCCGGGAGTGGAGGCAATTCTGCACGCGCGGACTCATCCTCCGTGGTCTTGGGATTGGCATGAACTCCCTAGTCGGCGAGTTGTTGCTCTGCTATGACTAGGCAGTCAGGATTCTTTCCTCACTTCTCTGATGTCGTCGTGGCTGACGATGGATCGATCGTATGCTTCGCTTTTCTAAGCCCCTAATGTGAATGTACTTGGTGGCCCGTTCGGGGACCTGCTGGTAGATACTGGTAGGCTCTATACTTCTCGTGCCAACTGTCAAACCCTGAATACAGTCATCTTCAACCTTTTACTAATACTACAAAGGACCTAGCAGATCACATGCGCCTGTCACTTGTTTTAGATGCGCATACCACAGCCATTCTTTAGTCTGCAACATTCGTCTAAAGATAGGGCCGTCGTAACTCGTTGCCCTATACTGGTCGTATCTGGACCGTCATAGACATCTGCAACAATTTCCGCTTCTAGTAGCTCTTTATCCTGTTTACCAGAAATTTTCTGCCTACAATGGAGGATTCAGTTGAGACCTTGGCAGAGAAAAGTGACTTGACTAAGCCCCAGGCGAGAGCATCCTTCTGGTTAGAGGATGCATAGCCACTCCGCCATTCGAACATGTCGGAGGCAACACCACCATCTAATCCGCTCAACTTGAGTTTCGCCAACAGTCTGCATTGCGGCTCGATGTCAACCGAGCGAGAATTTATGTACATGAAAATGTGAAAAGGCCAAGTCCGCCTTGTATGACTCGTCTTCGTCTCACCCACCATTCCACCAGCATCTGTGTGTGCGCACGTATACATCGGCCTACTCTACAGCGTGGTAATGGCCCGGTATCGGTCAGCAACGGCTCTCTTGGTCGCTTCAATATCCGGTGCATACACCTCAAATGCATGCGGGAGGCCCGGGTACACGTGAAACTCCAGAGGGATGTTGGCCGCGGCAATTCTCGCGGCAAAGGCAATGTCCTCGTCGCGGAAGATGTCCAGTTCGCCGACATCGATGTAAGTCGGCGGGAGGCCTTCCACGCTGGTTGCACGGGCGGGCGCAGCGTATGGCGAGACCTTGTCGGTACCGATGTCATTTCCCAGGAGGGCGGTCCAAGCGGTGATGTTATCGTCGTTGTTCCACAGGGCCAGGGGCTCCAACGGCGGGATGGGGGTGGTGGTGCGGTCATCCAACATGGGATAGATCAGGATCTGCTTTGCCAGGGGCGGAGACAGGCCGCGGTCACGGGCCAGCAGAGCCAGAGCGGCGGCCAGATTCCCGCCTGCGCTTTCGCCCATCGTGGCAATGCGGCTACGGTCCACGCCAAACTCGGCGGCATGTTCGTACACCCATGTCAACCCGGCATAGCAATCCTCGGTGGGCGTTGGGTGCGGGTTCTCGGGGGCCAATCGGTAGTCAACCGAGAACACTTGGACGCCTGTTCGCTGGACTTGCAGCGCAAGCATCTTCGTGAACAGTTCGACGTCACCCTGGATCTTACCCCCGCCGTGCGTGTGTAAGACCGCCGGGCCTGGCGCTGTGGACGCCGGGGCTTTCTTTGCAAATCGGTACACGGCTATCGGTTTCCCGTCGTATGACTGAATCTGGTGCACGGATTGTTCGACATCAGGCGCAGTCGGAAGCTTCTCAAACATGGCTGCGTATTTGGCGGTGATGCCGACGCGGCGCGACTGGACATCGTGGACGGCGGGGGCTGGGCTGGATGCTATGTCCGAAAGGAGCCAGGCCGCAGCCTCGGAGAACTCGGGGTCAAAGGTGAGAGGCATTTTTATATATAGGGTGAGCGTAAGCAGAGAAAAGCCTTGAAGGATAATCCTGTGATGGGCCTTAGAAAGAGCAGGACCAACGCGCCCGGTTCTCTTCAGTGACTGATCATTTATAACGGCCACAGGGTAAATTGAGCCCTGGGGCTAAGTGGGCATGGTGGGGAAACATTGTGAGGAGTGAGGAGTGAGGAGTAATCCACCCCAACTGTGAGTTGGTCCGGTCTAGTTTGGTCTGCCAGTGTGATTGCGCATCGAGCGATTATTAAGTGTCATTAGGTTGAGTTACTGCATGAGGCATGGATAGGCAGAGATTGTACATCTGCTTGTCTGTGTTCGGTAATCATTTCCATGAATGCCCAAGCAGGTCTTCAGGAAACACCGCACCTGCACTCCTGATCAGATAGAGGAAGACATTTGATATTGAACTAGGCCATTGTTATTGTTTGAATCGATGTCCTCGGCTTCTGGCGGCAATGACGTAGTTCCCATTTGTCACGGTATCCCACGCTGTCTCATCACGGGACTGCTGTCATCCGGTCCGACGTTGATCCCGGGCGGTCAGAGCTGACAGTCACCTGAGCAGCTACTCGAAAGTTCTGTTTTCCCCGACCAGAATAATTCATACTGTCAACCTCATTCCTCCCCCCAAAAGTCCTATTCCTGCCTCCCTCCCGTCCCATTGTTCAATTCCTTTCAGCTCATCCTCCTTCATCATGTTCCAGAGAATCGTCCTCAGACAAGCCCAGGCTGCCCGCTCTGTGGCCTCCGTCCGCACGACATCATCGGCACCTTTGGCTCTTCGTCGCACGTCACAGCTTCCTCAGACCTTCCGCCCGCTTGTTCGCCAGCCCAACTTCCGCAGCTACTCCACCGAGAACAAGGCTGAGCAGAAGAGCGACAAGGAGGCCGAGTCTAAGGAAACCTCCGAGAACCCCGTCCAGAAGGAGCTCGAGGACAAGAAGAAGGAAGTCACGGACCTGAAGGTGAGAACTTCCTTCTACCGATATCGGAGCTCGTCGTCGCACCATTGGCGCATCCAATCGCGTTGTATGTGGTAAAATGTATCGAATTGACTGACCCTCGAGCCAATAGGACAAGTATGTTCGCTCCGTGGCCGACTTCCTCAACCTCCAGGAGCGCACCAAGCGTGACATGGAGAACGCCCGCAACTACGCCATTCAGAAGTTCTCGGCCGATCTTATCGAGAGTATCGACAACTTCGACCGTGCTCTCCTTGCCGTGCCCAAAGACAAGATCGAAAACCCCGTTCCCGAGAACAAGGATCTGAACGAGCTGGTCACCGGCCTGAAGATGACCCAGAACATCCTGATGAACACGCTGAAGAAGCACGGTCTGGAGCGATTCGACCCCGACGAGCCCACCGAGGATGGCAAGGCTCAGAAGTTCGACCCCAATCGTCACGAGGCCACCTTCATGGCTAAGGCCGAGGGCAAGGAGAACGGCGACATCATGTACACCCAGAGCAAGGGTTTCATCCTGAACGGCCGTGTCTTGAGAGTGAGTGTTTTCCCTTACAGCCCGCCCCCTTGGATCTGTGTGAGGCATTTTACTAATTGAAATTCAATCCAGGCTGCCAAGGTTGGCGTTGTCAAGAATGACTAAATGTTCCCCACTTTATAGCTCCTGACACGTTTTCTCCCTTCTTTTTTTTCCCTTTCTCTAATCTTCTCTCTGTATAATATACCAAAATATGTCTTTTTGTTTATGACGGGGGATCATCAACCCCCAGTATTACTCTTTTTGGGAACGGACATGGATTCCCATCGGGATCTTCGCGTTCCTCGGATCATTGCTGCTTTTTGTCTTATGACTGCATGTGTATGATACACCTATCTTCATACGATTGGAAGGCGTCCGGGTTGTCTTCCTTTCGTTATATTTCTATTGGCGTTCGATCTGTTTCTTCTCTCGAGACTCTCACCTCCCTATTCTACTCTGTACATTACACGCAATGATCTGTCCTTGTTTTTTATTTTTCTATAATGCCTCAAAAGCAAAGCGATTGTTCCCCCTTTCGTTTGGTTGGATATGTATGGACTTGGTATGGCGCGGACATGGTTTGCGGTATTACATTCGCATGGCATCGGGGGTCCTGTTTCTATACTTCCCTTGCATCACTCGGATTGTCTTGGTTTTGTATAGTGATTCAGAACATTGATTTAAGAGGATAATAGCAGCTGGCTGACCGGTTGGTCGATGAGGTTGGATTCATTTTTTCTTGAGAATTAGAACGTAGATTGAATGGTATAAGGAGAGAGTTTCTGGATCTGACAAGAAACATCCGACATGATGCTACATGCTAAAAGTACATACATACACACTTATGAACGTCCACCTGATGGACGAACAACCGCCGAAAAAAAAAAAACCTGGAATATTCTACACATACATTTTACTCGGCCCTTCTCAGTCCCATCACCGCAGCTGAACACTCAACTGGCCCACGAGCTTCTCGCGCACCTTGTCATGAAGCTCATTCGCCTCCTCGTTGGTCAAGGTGCGCTCCAGACTGCGGTAATTGATGCGATAGCACATGCTCTTGCGGTTCGTTTTGGGATGCGTAAATTCATCAATGAGTTTCACGTCCTCGACGAGGTCGCCGCCGATGCCGCGCACGATCTCCATGATGTCGTTCTCATGCACGGATGTCGCTCCGCCGGCGGCGCTGCCGGACGCGGCGGTGGGGAGCCAGAAGGCCACGTCTTTGTAGCAGGCCGGGTGTTTTGAGAAGGGCTCGAAGCGGGTGATCTGGCCGGCTTGGAACTGCGAGAGGAAGCGCTCGTCGCGCGACCAGAAGAGTCGGATGTCGGGGATGTTGAAGAGGAGCATGGCGAGGCGTTCGAGGCCTAGTCCGAACGCCCAGCCGACTCGGTTCGGCACGTCCGAGTTGTTCAGCAGTTCTTGCTTGATGACTCCGCAGCCGAGAACCTCGAGCCAGTCGCCTTGCCAGAATACTTCCAGTTCCCAGGATGGGCTGGTGAATGGGAAGTAAGCCTCCACCCAGCGGACTTTGAGCGGTTCGGGTTCCGCGCCTCCCGCGGCTGCGGTGGCCTTGCTGGCTTCGGAGAAGATCTTGATGACCATGCGTTCGAGCGAGCGTTTCAGGTGCGCAGCGATGGCTTCGACTTCTTCTTCGCTGTGGTGGGCGTATTGCAGGGGGTTGCGCTCCGGGTGGATGGTCGGGTTGGGGTCCTCGACGACAACATCGTGGGGCGGGATGCGGTTGAGGGCTTCGGTGATCGTGGCGGCCGTTTCGGCGGAGTGCTTGAGCGGGTCGAAGTCCGGGCGTTTCCAGAGCATGGCGCCTTCCATCTGGTGGAAGATGGGGTAGTGGCTGCGGTCGATGGCATCGCGGCGGTAGACGTCCGCGACCACGGTGTATCCCGTCTCCTCCGGCTTGGTGGTCTCATTGCGGTTGATCTGCTGGAAATAAGCCTGCTGGTGCGCGCTGGTGTGGGTTCGCAGCACCGTCTTGTCGTTGATGTAGTAGGTGTCGGTGCGGCTGCGGCCTGGGTGGTCTAGCGGGAAGCCAAGCACGTCGAAGTTGTTCACCGTCGACACGACGGGGTCTTTCTCGTGGTAGTTGCCGTACGCCGGACCGGGGAACTCGCTCTCGAGCAGTTCACGGATGATGGAGAGTGGGTGGTTCTTCTCGAGATATAGTCTGCGTCCGACATGCGAGAGGATCGTGTCGGGGGTGTTGGTCCATTCGTCGGTTTGGTAGGATTTGCCCTCAATCTCTAGCGATTTCCTCACGGCGGTAGATGAAGAAGAAGCGGTGGGTTTGCGGTTCGTGTCGGCCTGATCCGATGTCCTGCGAGGCGCTGTCGAGCTCCAGGTTCTGCGGCTGAGGGCTAGCTGGGTCGGAGGCTGCGAGAGCGGAATGCGGACGCCTCGGGCTGAGGGGGCAATTGACCATCTGCCGCTGCTGATGCGCAGGGCTCTACCGGTGGCCAGCAGGCGCATTGTGTCCAGGGATTATCCGCGCCTGGGGGGTATAATTGAGTGAGCTGCAGGCTGATGGTGGTCGGCGGTTGCGGTCTTCGGAGAGGCCGAGCAAAACATCTCGGAGCGGCGAAATGAGAGGCCGAACATATAGTGCATACAATGCATATCGTGCATATACCTACGGGGCTAAGTAGAAGTATATAGACTGAGTATATGGATTACTTGGACATCGATCGTTTTATTGCTGCTAGCGAAGCTGTACCTTCAAGGTCCACAATCTAGCTGTCTTTCGTGTCGGGGGGAAACACTAGATACTCTGGATTTTTCACGCCCTGCAATTATGACGCAACATGCCTGTACATGCATACCAGACAGTTACATCCATTCATCCGTTCAGGTCCGGGATGCCGTTTCCACGCTAACTACTGCCAGGAGATCGAGTATACTCCGTACCTGGGATCCAAACACCTGCCCGCTCCATCAACCACCTTGCATCTCTCGCGAAGAACATCCCCTCGGTGCCAATTCAACGACCGAGCAGAGGATGAAGGCGCAACAGCCGCTACCGAAGATTACCGCTCGCCCGCGAAAACCGAGGCGGTGATTGGCGGACCCCCGCGCAGGATCGGATGGGCGCCGAAGCATCGGAGACTTGATTTATCTCCGGCGCAGAATTATTTCCTGGCGATAGCCTCACCTTTCTTCCTTTCTCCTCACGTCTCTTTCTCCCTTTTTACCCCCCTCTCCCCTCTACCATCTCCCCCCCCCCAACCCGCCCGTGCTGGCATGCCCACGTCTTGTCCGTCAAGATGGCAAGCACCGCGAAGTTAGATATGTCGCAATCTCGGCTGGCCTCTGCGCCCGCACCCGCCCCCGTGAAAAAGGTTCATTATCCTTTTTGGTTCGGAGGCTCGGCCTCTTGCTTTGCGGCCGCCGTTACACACCCGTTGGACCTTGGTATGTTGCTATTTCCCTGGATTAGGCATCATTGGGCTTGGAACTGACAATGCGATAATAGTGAAGGTAAATTCCTTTCGTCGCGTGCTTTTGTCTGGCAAAATGAGCAATTCGTTGAATTCGCTCGGTGTTGCCTTCGCGTTATCGTTCCCGTTCGCTAATAATGGATGCCGATAAAAATAGGTTCGCTTACAAACGCGTGGTCCTGGTGCTCCCTCGACTATGGTGGGAACATTTGGCCATATACTTAAGAACAATGGATTCCTGGGCTTATATAGTGGGGTATGTATCCTGATGCTTTGGACTCACGGTTCACATAGGACGGGCGCCAAAAAGGAAAAAAAAAAAAAAAAAAAAAAAAAAAGAAGTTGCCAGCTGACGGGGAATCTCTCTAGCTGTCGGCAGCCCTTTTGCGACAGATAACCTATTCCACCACCCGGTTCGGAATCTACGAGGAGCTGAAATCGCGCCTCTCGACTCCCGACTCGCCTCCCGGCCTCCTCACCCTGGTTGGAATGGCCTGTGCCTCGGGCTTCCTTGGCGGAATCGCAGGAAACCCGGCGGATGTTCTGAACGTGCGCATGCAGTCCGACGCCGCGCTGCCCGTGGAGCAACGACGAAACTACCGCCATGCATTCCACGGTCTGGTGCAGATGAGCCGCACCGAAGGTCCCGCCAGTCTGTTCCGCGGCGTGTGGCCCAACTCGACGCGCGCGGTCCTGATGACCGCCTCGCAACTGGCCTCGTACGATACCTTCAAGCGCCTGTGTATCCAGAATTTCGGCATGTCCGATAACTTGGGGACGCATTTCACTGCGTCCTTCATGGCCGGGTTCGTCGCCACCACCGTCTGCAGCCCCGTGGACGTCATTAAGACCCGTGTCATGAGCGCCTCGCCGGCCGAGAGCCGCGGCCACAGCCTTCTGGGTCTTCTCCGGGATATTTCCCGCAAGGAAGGCTTCGGATGGGCCTTCCGTGGATGGGTGCCTAGCTTCATTCGCCTAGGCCCTCATACCATCGCTACCTTCATCTTCTTGGAAGAGCACAAGAAGCTGTATCGCTTGATCAAGGGCATTCCTGAGGAAAAGCAAAAAGCATAGATTGTTTATCATTTTGCTTGACGTGCCCTCGTCCGTTATATCATATCCCAGATTTTTCTCCCCCGCGCCTTTCTCTGCCATCTAAATTTCCATATATTGACGTCTCATGTACATGATTTTGGCGAAGCATCTTGGGAGGACAAAAAGTTTGAACATCCTTTTTCATTTTTTTTGTTGTTGTATATACTGCGTTTGGATATGTGTGTGCTTTTTGTTTTTTGTTTTTTTGCCTGTCTTGGCTTTTTCTTTTCTTGTTTTTTTTCTGTCCTCTCAGTCCTCTGCGAGTGTTGTTTCTACATAAACAGCACCGAGATACCCTTTCCATGGACGGATACTCATCAATGCCTATCTTGATGTGCGTATCTGGCACCTTTCACATCTTTCTTGGTTTTTTTATTTTTTATTTTTTATTTTTTATTTTTTCTTTCTGTTCCAGTGCTTGCAATTGTTCGATCTTCTGCATAGACATGTTTGTCTCATCTCGTGGGAAGGAATATCTTTGGTTTCGCCACCACCCATTGTTGGATTGGGTGGTCTGGTTGTATAATGAGTTGGAATAGACGGGGTGGATACCTTCTCCTTTTTACTAGACTTCGTTAGATAGATAGATATGTTTAGATGATTTTGGATTAATTCAATTTAATTCAGTTGCAATCAATCCTCTGGAGGTTTAACTCGGTAAAAGGAATGATTAGACAACGATTTCTGTCAGCAATCCCCAGAAAACCCCAGCAGAGCAATAATTTACAGCTCGGAGCACAGCGCTACCTACTCCAACAAAACGAGCGAGACAAGAAAAAAGATGGCTTCCAAAACTAATTGCGAGTCTATATACGTCCACGAACATACCCCCCGGCGAGCAAGGCCTCCCAAAGGAAATATCAATGGAATGTTTAAATTTCCCGCGATGATTCAGGTAGAGTACATGTTGACACAACAAAACTTGAGGGGGAAAAGTCCAATCAACAATGAGGAAACGGGCAAAAGAATCACTTTACTCCAGCTTGGCGGGGAAGTTGCCGGCCTCTGTATTGTCGCAATTGCAACAGCGAAATGGTTAGTTTTGGTGTTTCGAGTCACCGCTGTTTTAAGCGGTTGTCGGGGAGGGGTGAGAAATCATACCGCGTTGGCCGTCCCAGCGGTCAGTCCAGGCCTTGGGGCAGAGGGAGCGGAAAGCGTGGAAGAACTGAGTTAGGACCGGTTAGATGGGGGTTGTTCTTGGATTGGGGTTCCCCTCTTTTTCCGCGACGGAAGATTGGAGGGAATTGATGGATGTACCTGGGTGCACGGGCGGAAGTCCTCTCCCTTGGCGTTGACACACTTGTAGTAGTCGACGTAGTTTTGCCAGCAGTGCTTGGTCCTGAATTGGAATGATAGGTTAGGAAGAGGAGTGGTATAGTAGAGAGTTGCACGACACATACTGGTTCATCTGGGGGAAGCGAGCATCATAGCCTGTCATTTCATTCCGGATTGTCAGCATCCAACACGCTACCAACTCGTCCATCCGCCACAAAAAATCCTCGACCACGACGGCATTGAGAGCGATCCGATCGACCAGGAACCTAGAAGAAAAACGTACCGGCTACGATAACATTAGCAATTGATCGTGATTTGCGATTGATCGGCCAAGGAATTGGGGACCCGGGATTGAGAAAGCTCACCTGTCACGAACTTGAAGGGCTTGGTCTCCATGACCTCATCGGGATCGGCTTCAGGAATGGCACCCATTTTGACTATGTGGAGCAGAAGAGCCTCTGCGGACAGATAAGAAGAATTGAATTGTCGGGGGGGAGGAGAGGTGGTGGGTGTGGAGGAGGGGAGGAGAGGAAGGAAAGGGAACGGGATGGGGTGAGGTTTGCGCCCAGTGGAGTGGAATGACCCGTGAAGCAGTGAAGCCGGGAGTGACCGCGGGCGGTCTAGCGAGCCACTCATGCGGCAAGATTTCCTAAACACCCGAACGTGACCAAACCTCCCCTTCGAATTGCTGAGCTTCTTCTCTCTCCCGTCGTCACCACTCTCTCCTCCATCCCACCCACCTCCAACCTCCCGTATCGGATCACCCCTTCCAATTCAACCATGTATCCCACTCGTGTCCTGCGGATGCAGGCCTCTCGGCCTTTCTCTTTCCCTGCTCCTGTGAGTTTCCGACTATCCTTGCGAATCCGACAAGCAAAAATGATTCCTTGGCGGCTCCTCGGTTCTTGTGCTAATCAATCCTTACAGAAGGAGAACCACAGCGGTACGCGCTTCCCGATGGCTGGACTTAGATAATGGGGTTTCATTAGGGTTATGCGTCCGAATAGGGAACTAATTGATATCTAGCCCACACCATCTCTCAGCGTCTGCGCACCTTGAAGCGGGTCCCCCCAGAGTTGATCCCTCTCGGTATGTCATTCTTCCGAGTCCTTAAACATCTAGAATGATACCATATTCTAACCATGTATACTGCTGCACAGGTGTCGTCCTTGGGTACGTTTAATCCTTTTGATATTCGATGGAACATCTTATGACATCGGATATCTAATCCGTCACCTTTCCCCATCTCCAACCCCTTCCCCAATCTGTCTCTCAACTGACGCAAACCTCCACAGCGTCGCCGTGGGAGCTGCCATCTACTCCAGCACCCACAAGCTCATGACCGACAAAACCCTGCGTCTCAGCCGCAACGCTCCCAAGAGCCCCGAGGAGCACTAAATTGTACCGCGTTTCATTTGATTGCAACATAGGCGACCCTTTGGTTTTTGTTATCGGCGATATGTATTATTCACCAGGAAGCTGATGTCGCGGGAGAATGAAGAGGTTCAAGGGTGGAATTGGAAAAACTCGTTAAACTCAGCCTCGGGATTGGAGCACGTGTATATAGTACGGCTTTGAACGGAGGATTCTGGAGGAAGAATGCAGAATGACTTGCGTCCCTTGGCCCTTTCCTTTCACTTTCGTCCTATTTCGAGAGGGTATCATCTTTAATGCTTGCCGGTGGGGTTTCATTCCGGTTTCGGTCCTGCGACGTCCAGCTCTTCCAGTCCCTGCATCGGGTCCTGGGGGCGCTCGCTTGCTTCCATTTGCGCCTGTTCGGACGCCATCTTGTCCTCCTCGCTCACGGCGTGTTTCGCCAGGTAACCCTCCTGTAGGGCCGTAGTTAGTAAACTGTTGAAGCATGGAGAAAAGGAAGTAATGAATCGGTCTGCGCACCTGCTCCCAAATAGCGGTTTTGCTACCTAGTCCCTCGTTGCTATCCTTCTGCGGTTTGGCGGGCGCTACTTTGATCGTCCGCCCGTATAGCTCGCTACCGTCCATGTTGTCGATAGCTTCTTTCGCATCATCCGGAAGGTCGAATTCCACGTAACCGAACCCGCGGTGGAGATCGTTCGAGTTGGGAACATCCGGTTTGGGTAGAGTGATATCGACGACTTCGCCAAAGGGAACGAAAGCCTCGGCCAGCGTCTGCATGGAAACCGCCTGGTCGAGACCCCCAACATAGACGGTGCATTTCAGGCGGGCCTTCTCGCTCATGGTGAAGGAACTGGTGAAAGTGAAAGTGCCGGGCAAAGGAACTTGGACGCTAGCAACGGGCCATAAAACGTATCGCGACAGATGGGCAGAAGGTGATATGCCCCCGGGAACTCGACTCGTTCGTCCAGCTCGTTTCTTCTCGGTTTGCGCTCACAGAGACTCATGCAAGCATTCGTTGCCCAGACTTTCTCGGTCGGATTCGCCTGATATCACGTGCGTCCCGCGGGTGTTTTGGCGAGCGGCCCGAAAGGGTTTAGGCGGGTTATCCCTCCTCCCCCCAGCGGCTCCCAGGAGGACACTTGGTTGATTGAGTTCGTAGAACGCCTCGATCGCATCTCATAAACTTGGCAAAATCCCCCTCAAGTCACGATTTAGCAGGAGGGGAGGCTCTACTTTGGACGTGTCTTCTTTTTTTCCCCTTTATACTTTTCTCTAGTTCTTAATAGCTCGTCGCTTACTTTTGAACCATTCCCCCCCATTCTATAACCTTGGATTGTCAGACCGTCCCTGAGTCCGGTCAATTGATCTATATTCTTGCCTTAACTCTTTTTGTGCCGCTCCTTTACTTTCCAACATGGTGCGTCTGAGGGAGATCCCCCGGACGGCCACGTTCGCATGGTCCCCCGGGGCCGCATCGCCATTTATAGCAACCGGAACTCGCGCTGGCGCTGTGGATGTTGACTTCTCCAATGAAACGTGCCTGGAGCTCTGGGATCTGAGCTTGAACAACCAGGAAGCTGGTGGGGAGCTGCAGCCGGTGGCTAAGATCGATACTGATTCTGGGTAAGGAGCTACTCGGAACTTTCCAATCAACAGTTGAAACGTCTGGAATGTCGGGCTGACTTGTGTTTGCTTTTCTCTAGTTTCAATGACCTCGCATGGACGGAATCCGAAGACAATTCACGGGGAATCATCGCCGGTGCTTTGGAGAATGGATCGTTGGATCTGTGGGATGCCGACAAGCTGCTTAGCGGATCAAGGTTCGTGGAGGGACAGGAAGGCTATAGATCTCCTGGTCAGGTAGCTGATTACTTGAACAGCGATGCCGTCATGTCGAGGAATTCCAAACATTCAGGAGCTATCAAGGCTCTTCAGTTCAACCCGAAGCATTCGAATCTGCTGGCTACCGGAGGCGCCAAGGGAGAGGTATTTGATCCGATTTCGGTAAATATTGGAGGAACGGTTGTGCTTATGGTTTCGAACAGCTCTACATCTCCGACCTGAACAACATCGCGAACCCGTACCGACTTGGAGGCACCGCTGCCCGTGCCGATGACATTGAGTGTCTGGACTGGAACAAGAAGGTGCCGCACATCCTGGTTACCGGTAGCAACGCGGGCTTCGTCACCGTGTGGGATGTCAAGACGAAGAAGGAGAGCTTGACCCTGAACAACATGGGCCGGAAGGCCGTTAGTTCTGTGGCGTGGGATCCTGAGAAGGTAAAGAGTTAACCTCTTATTTGAGACGAGCATAGCTTCTGACATGGAATAGCCCACCAAACTCGTCACGGCGACCCCTTTGGAATCCGATCCTCTGATCTGCGTTTGGGATCTGCGCAACTCTCACGCTCCGGAAAGGGTGAGCATGATAGCCTTCCCCTCGTACTGACTGTGGAGACTGTTATCGCTAACCCGTTACAGATCCTTCGAGGCCACGAGTCCGGCGTGCTGTCGCTGTCCTGGTGTGCACAAGACCCCGATCTCCTCCTCTCGTCCGGAAAGGACAATCGCACTATCTGCTGGAACCCGCAGACCGGCCAATCGTACGGCGAATTCCCCGTGGTCACGAACTGGACTTTCCAGACTCGCTGGAACCCTCACAACCCCAACTTCTTTGCGACCGCCTCGTTCGATGGACGCATTGCCGTCCAGACTATCCAGAACACCGGCAATGAAGCCGCTCAGACTATTGCCGACCAGAACCAGGCCCTTGACGGAGAGGACTTCTTTGCGAAGGCGCAGACCCAGCCTCAGGTGTCGAGCTTCTCGCTACCCAAGGCTCCCAAGTGGCTCGAGCGCCCCTGCAGTGCCGCTTTCGGTTTCGGTGGACGAGTCGTCTCCATTGGGTTGGCGGAGAAGGGCCAGCGTGCTTCGAAGATCAAGATTAGCCCCTTCGAGGTGGACGAGGCCGTCGGCAAGTCCACGGAGACCTTTGAGAACGCCCTGAAGGAGGGTGACCTTCGCAGCATTTGTGAAACTCGCGCTTCGGGCGCAGCCAGTGACGAGGAGAAGGCCGACTGGAAGGTTATTGAAGCGTTAATCTCCAACGACCCCCGGAAGAGCCTGGTCGAATACCTTGGGTTCCAAGACCAAGCTGATGAGGCTGCCGATTCATTGGCCAAGCTCGGACTGGACAAGGAGGGAGAGGAGGATGTCAACGGAGAGCCGGTGAAAGAGTCCCGCGGGTCGGGAGCCAAGAAGCACAGGCGCCTGCAATCGATGTTCGATGCGAACCCTGAGGAGGACAACTTCCTGTCGGATCTGGCTGCTTCCAAAGGAGCCAAGACCAACAACCCCTTCCAGATCTTCAACGGTTCTGAATCCGATGCCGAGAAGGGTATCACCCATGCCTTGCTTGTCGGTGACTTCAACAAGGCCCTTGATGTCGCCCTGAAGGAGAACCGCATGTCCGATGCTTTCATGATCGCCATCTGCGGAGGTCCGAAGTGCATCGAGAAGGCGCAGGAGCACTACTTCTCCAAGCAGACCGAGAGCCCCAACTACGTTCGCTTGCTCGCATCGATCGTCGGCAAGAACCTGTGGGACGTCGTGTACAATGCCGACCTTTCCAACTGGAAGGAAGTCATGGCGTCGCTGTGCACTTTCGCCGAGGAGAAGGAATTCGCTGACCTCTGCGAAGCGCTGGGTGACCGGCTGGAGGAGCAGATCCGGGCCACAGATGACAAGGCCGCCCGCAAGGATGCCTCGTTCTGTTACCTGGCTGGATCCAAGCTTGAGAAGGTTGTCTCTATCTGGATTGAAGAGCTCCGCGAGAATGAGCAGCAGGCCATTGAGACCGCTTCTGATGACTCTACATTCTCGATCCACGTGCGCGCCCTGCAGGGACTGATCGAGAAGGTGACCATCTTCCGCCAAGTGACCAAGTTCCAGGACACCGAGCGAACCAAGGAGTCCGACTGGAAGCTCGGTACTTTGTACGACAAGTATATTGAGTACGCTGACGTCGTGGCTACCCACGGTCGTCTGCAAGTTGCCCAGAAGTATCTCGACCTTGTTCCGGAGAAGCACCCCGAGGCTGAAATCGCCCGCAACCGCATTCAGCTGGCTACGAGACAGGCTCCTGCCCAGCGAGTCCAGCAGCAAGTGCGCCCTGCGTCTAGGACGACCACCCCCATGACCAAGCCTCTTCCTCCGGTCACGCAACCTAGCGCATATCAACCTCAGACCACCTTCTCACCAAGTGCTGCTGCTGCTCCCAACATGTACGCGCCGCCGACGGCTGCTTCCAACCCCTATGCTCCTCCTACTGCGGCCGCCGCCAATCCTTATGCTCCACCAACTTCCGCGGCTGCTCCTAACCCTTACGCTCCGTCGACTGCTGCTCCTGCTGCGAACCCCTATGCTCCCGCTGCCGCGGCTACCCCAGCTCAGCCAAACCCCTATGCCCCCGCATCTGGTAGCAGCTACGCTCCCACGGGTTACCAGCCCACGGCCGTGCCTACGTACGGTGCTCAGCCATTAGGCGGCGGCGTGCCTCCCCCGCCTCGTGCATCTAACCAGTCTCCGGCTACCGTCACCACGTACACCACCGCAACCAACCTCCCTGCCTGGAATGATCTGCCCGAGGGCTTCGCAAAGGCTCCCACATCCCGCCGAGCAACCCCTGCCGTCGCTGCTGCACCTGTCGCTGCGCCTTTCCCGAACCAGTCGCCTACTATCGGGGGTCCGCCACCAGTAGGCGCCCCGCGAGCACCTTCCGTTCCACCCCCACCGAAGGGCTCCGCGCCTCCGCCCCGGGTGACCTCGCCCCCTTCGGCCCACCAGTCGGTGTCTTCGATCCCGGGTGTGATTCCGCCAGCCAACCCCTACGCCTCCCTGCCTCAGTCTCCTCCAACAGCCACCATGGGAGTGCCGCCGCCATCGCTTCCTCGCGGTCCCTCCCCGTACAATGCGCCGCCGTCGATGCCCCCACCCACGAATCGGTACGCCCCTAGCCCGGCAGCTCAAGCAGCAAGCCCCCAATTGCAGACTCGCGCACCTGTCCCTCCTCCTCCCCAGGCAGCCGCCTCTCCTTACGCCTCTCAGCCGGCACCAATTCCTCCCCCTGTAAACCAGTACGCCCCTGGTGCGCCTCCCCCCATGCAGCAGGCTCCTCCCCCGGCTGCGGGATCCCGTCCTAGCACCGCTTCTTCGCAAAGGAAGGCCACGCCCGCTCCTCCCAAGTACCGTAAGTTGACCCTCGAACCCCTTGGTCAGGCCGGACATTAACTTTCCCTCTTAGCCCCTGGTGATCGCACTCACATCCCCGCGGATGCCATGCCCGTCTACGAAATACTGTCAGCGGACATGCAGCGTGTCAAGTCCCGGGCCCCGTCTTCCTTCAAGGCGCAAGTCGATGATGCCGAACGGCGATTGAGCATCCTGTTCGACCACCTGAACAACGAGGATCTGCTCAAGCCCAACACCGTTGCGGACATGGCCGAACTGGCTCGTGCCATTCAGGCTCGTGACTACGAGACGGCGCGAACGATCCACATCGACATTATGACCAACCGGACTGAAGAGTGCGGTGCCTGGATGGTAAGTTCCCTTTCCCCCTTTACATATCCTCCAAGGTCAAAATCGCTAATTAAACTTTCTAGGTCGGTGTGAAACGTCTCATCAGCATGAGTCGCGCTACCCCGTAAATGATTCAACGATCCCCGTGATCTGAATGGTTCGGTTCGGTTCGTTGTATGGGACAGAACACTCGCCTATCCTACGATCCTACGATCTACGAACCCATGAGCTTTATGTACGAGGCAAAAAGAAAAGAAGAACTGAGGTATACGTATCGTGTTATGTGCTGGTTGTTGAAGAACCGTGCCTACTCGCCATTGTCATGATTCATTTCGAATGCTTGATTTTCGATATGCCCCATGTTATAGGGGGTTTTTTTCTTTATTTAGAAGTTGCTTTATCTCTCTCTTCATATGTCAATGTTACTATAATTTGTTTCTTTATTTGAGTTCCTCTTTATCTGGTCTGATAGAGATGGTTAGAAGAGAAGAGAAATGACCATTCTCATTGGATGGATAAAGGGCTTGTGCGGGCTTAGATTATGGATATAAGTATTTCTTCGCTTGTAAACAGTCTACCATGATGTCCATGTCGGTCGTGGCCAGTCGATAACAAATTTAAGCTACTCATCTTATGTTCATCAAGACGTAGGTATAGTATAGCAAGCATGAGAAAGAATCGTCAGATCAAGCACAAAAAACATGAGCAGAAAAGAAAATCAACAGCACTTTGCACAGATGGTATCATTAATTGCATCAAATCCCACCCACACCCCCTGCAGCTCATGATACATAAAACCTACATTGTCTCACCGTCCTAGGGAAAGACTCGTGCCCACTCGTCCCCGACTCGCGGGGAAGTTTCTCGCGCTCAACAAAGCCCCCTTGACGCCTCTGATCTCCGACCGGAAGCTAGAAATCGCATCCTCTTCGCCCTTGCCCATGCCAGTCGCGTTGCCGTTACCATCCATACCTTGGGAGCCATACACCCCGTAGCCGGAGACGGCGCTGTACCCCGGTTTACTGTAGATCAGGCCGTCCAGGTAATGATGCAGTTCGTTGAGACCCGTCCGCGCGGAATCGTCAACAGCAGACGATTGCTTCTCGATGTCTGCGAACTCCCGCAGATGGGACGTGAGAATCTCGACTCGCTTGATATGCGTGTTCACGGTCGCCGTGGGGTCGGGGACATTCTCGCCGTCTTCTTTGGGCTTCGACTGCGTCGCCTCGAGGTCCTGCGATGTCTGCGTGGCCACGTCCCGATGGAACAGCTCCGTTGGGTCCGAGGTGATGGAGTCGGAGTCCTCGGAGGAAGACTCGTCGTTTGTTTTCCGGGCGGTTAGCTGGGGCGGTATGACGGAGACGTTCTGCTCTAGCTTCTCGTTCAGCTTCTGGAGGTTTTCCGACGCCGTTTGCGCCAGATCGTGTCGTGCGCTAGTCAGGTTCGCGAGCATCGGCTTCACAAGGTATTCGCTTGCGCCGTAGATACTGGCTCCGATGCCGGCGGCGCCGTAGAGCGTGTAGAGGATGCTTTGGAGGGAGACGAGCGGTGGGGGCTTGGATTGGTGGACGAGGAATTCCGGGTATGTGATGATCGGGGGAACGTCGCGGGGCGAGGACAATGGTGCCGGGCTTCTGGTAGTGTTGGCGTTGGTGGTGCCGGTGGATGTGTTTGTAGCGGGGGAAGTTGACGATGAAGCGGTCGAGCCACTGCTGGAAATCTGGGCCTCAGACTCGTTCTCGTTCTTGGATGGTGCATTGACGGAATCCGGGGAAGTGGTCTCCGTGGAGGTATCGGTGTTGGTGGCTTCGGGGTTTCGCGATACGCCCAGTAGACTGTCGATCTCGTTGTTGTGGAGACCCTTGGATTCTAGGAAGGAGATTTTGCGATCGATGGGGGCGTCGCGGATGGCATCATCTTGCAGGAAATTGGTTGCTTGCTCTAGGAGCGTTGATCGAGAGGCGTCGGTCTCGTTCTCGTCGGAAGCGGGCGACGGTGTGGAGGCGGAGTTGGGTTCGGGGTCGCTGGGAGCAGTGGCGTTGGGTTTTTGCCAGTCGGGAATCGAGGCGCGGTTGGGTTTGGGGTCGGACATGATGATTGAGGATGTATGAGGAAAGAAGAGTGAGAGAGGAGTGAATAGTGACGTGAGAAAGGAGGAGAGAGAATGGGTGAGTGAATGGGGTTGATAGGTAGGGAGAGCTGGGAGTTTGGCCGAACGGTTTGGCGCTGACCTCGGCTGTATCGGTATTGTCATGTCATATGCTGCCCTGGCCATTTCGGAGATTTGCAGGTATGGATTTACAGGTGGAATGGACTGTCCCCATCAAGACATGTCTTTCTTGTCAATAGAGATGACTTGGATGTCTCTTCCGTTTCTTACTTGGAGATTGGAAGTTCCCATATTCTGCTGGAATGAAATTGGCTGTTTCCACTACGTTTCAACTTCTGCAATATCCCGAAGTATATACCTGGATGCATCCACTCACGCGACAGCCGGGAACGTCCATGTTCTACACATATTTTGTTGATCTTCTGACCGGGAAATCTTAGATAGGAAGCAGAATCCCGTACTCAACGCTTATTTTCCAAATCGAACAATATAGCTGCATATGGAGAGAAGTGCATGGCGATGGGACTGGGAGTAGTCAGCATGCCAAGAACCTTAGACACCGCCCGGCAGAATGGTCGGCGATGATCGAATCGCATCGGAAGTTCAGCGTCCTTCCGAGCACTTTTGTCCCGTCGTATACTCGGCCTCATATCCTTTTGCTCACTTCTATATATATACGTATCCCATATACTGCTGATTTGACCATCCTTTGCGTGTTCAGATCAATTCTATAAAATCCCACGTGAGTGTCCCCATCTGTGTTCGTATCGCTCTGCCCGGGCGTTTCCTTCCAATTCTCTTCAGCCTCCCGATGTTTCTCGTTTGCGCGCGGTGGTCTGCAACCCCTATTTTTTAATTACTGTTCTCTGTTTTGCTACTCCGGTTACTGGTGTTTCTCCATCCAAGATCCCTGTCCATCCAGACCAAGCCAATGTCACCTCAGAGCCCGTGTTGCGAAAGAAATGCAGCGACGTTGGATTCGCCCTTTCAGAGCGTCCGGCGTGCCTAGCCAGGGTTCCAGATCAGAATGCTCCCATTGGTTCCATCGCGGCTGTCAGCTTCGAACCTCCCAAGTGGCGTCAACAGATGTGATAGCGATTGATTGATGGCCTGTGCCTTCCCGGACTGCGTCAAAAAGGACTGAACGCTGGCCCGCGTCGCCAGCCGGTCACCACCACCGGACCATTGCCATTGTTCGCTTGGGATGTTGCATCGTTGCTCGCTCCCCTCCCTCTTTATTTCCCTCAACTCCCCTCCATAATTTCAACCGTCCCCTCTCATCTGGAGATCGATGATCCCCCCAACGCTAGCACGGATGTCCATTCTCTCCCATCCAAGTGTTTGTGCGTCCTGCGCAACCCTCTGAATCCGCCCCTCTATTAGCTCTCTACGGGATTCAGATTCTCTTTGTTTGCCGTCTTACAAAATCCTACTTCTCTGCCCTGTCTCTGAGTTAATTTCCTCCTTTTTATCCTTTCTTCTGTTCACATTTCACACTCATTTGCCATCGTCTCCTATTTTCCCCGTTTGATATTTTGCTTCATCTGTTCTTCTTCTTTCTCTTTCAACACAATCGGAGCGATCGCCGGTCGATCTTTGTCTAGCTTATTATGTCTTTGCGTCGCTCGCTTCGTGCTCGCCTTGCGAGAGATGATCCTCTTATATTGAATTCTAACGTGACTTCTAGGTCTACTAGACAGACTAGGACTGTCGCAGTTTCTCCAGCAGTCACGGTAGTTCGACTTGTGGGAGAGGAGTCGAAAGAGTCGGTTTATTTGCTTTTTAAAATGCCATCAAGTAAGCTGCGCGACGCCACCGGTGGTGGTACCCGTGGGGGTGCTGCGACGAGACGCTCAGTCAACGTCTTCACAGAGAATCCCATCGTGTCGGGGCCTCGGACTAGTCGTCCCCGAAAGAAGCTCGTGGAGGTGAATACGAGCGACGAGGAAGACATTGATGACCAAGAGGAAGACGAAGTCGACGATGAGGATGCCCCCGGGGAGGATGACGAGGATGCCGATGCCGATGGTGACTTGGACATGGACGATGCCCCACCTCAACCTCCGGTTTCAAAGAGACATGCCAAGGCTTCGGCAACTTCTGTGGCCACGTCTAAACCCGTCAAGAGTGTTGAGGCCAAAGAAATGCAAGCGGATGATGACGATGATGAGGACGACGAGGAGCTTTCCGAACCAGACTCCGACGCCGAAGGCGAGCCTGATGACCTTGAGGAAAGTACCTTAGGGAACGTTAACGGAGGCGATGAGCAGCTCGATGACGACGACATGGATGAAAGCGACGACGGATTACCCTCCAACGACCCGAGCAAATTGACCAAACGGCAAAGGGGGAATTTAGGCAACGACTTCTTGCAATTGCCGATGGGTGAGTTTTCTAAACCCCGAATTTTGCCCCTGTCATGGGAATGTTCCATCTAACTGAGGAACAGAGCCCCAAGTCAAGAAACATTTGACCGCGGAGGAGCGCCAAATGCGACGGGCGGAGATGGCTCGGCGCCGAAAGAACCTGAGCGAAAAACGGAACGAAGAAGAAAAAGTAAGCTTTCTTGTCTCCCTGGGTCCTAGCCAAGGGGATGCTAATGATACACGCAGATGGACACGATAAACCGACTTCTACGAAAACAAGCCCCCAAACGTCGTGGTCGGGTTCCCGCAGCTGAAGCAGCCGAGGCTTCTGCAGACCAAGAGGGACAAGAAGTCGAAAGAGCAGACCCAATAATGGTCAGATGGGTGAGCGGTCGCGCAGGCAGCAGAGTTGGCGTGCCCGAGGAATGGTTTGGTACTCCGGCCGGCCGCGTCTTTGGAGAAGGTCCGCTTGGAAACAGCGGACCCAGAAAGCTTGTGGAAGAGGTATGAATGACTAGAGTTGGGTGGAAGGGCGCAAACGGACCAGGCGTATTCGGATCGATTTCATCAGTACAAGGGTCGCAACTCGGATTGCAGGCGGCACAGCACATGACATGTATTTTGGCGGGCATTTCGGAGCTGGGACGATGCATCCATTCAATCAGATTTCCTTTCTTGTGGAAATGACCTAATTATATACATTTCGTCTTTCAAGTAGTAGTTTAGTGCAAGAGAGGAAACGTCTATTGGTATCATTGACTTTAGCACACTATTATACAAGGATTGATGATTTGAATGAATCGCTCGACATATGAGTTTAAGGCCTAGTTCCGACTTTTCACACACGCCGCAATTTGCCAATCGTGGTAATCAACATTTTGTATATCGCCTGGAGAGCTCAGCTCTTTCAAGGGTGACAGAATGTCAACGTTGATTCCCCCCACATCCCGCAACCTCTTCATGAACAATTGGGACTTGGACCAAGTTCAACCGGCAGCCCTTCAGCACCTTGAGGCTGTCGCATTGTCGCCCAGAGTCGTCACGGAGTCATGAAAATAGCCCCTCATCTACCATCCTGAAATCCCCTCCGCGCATACCATATCTGATTATTGGCTTCCATTTCCGCCCTCTTCCCTACCCGGCGTCAAATCCTTTGCGTTCGAAGTGGTGTTGCTTTGGCCTTGCGGTTGCGGGGCGCCTGGAGCTCTATTCGATGCAGTCAATATTAAAACCGAGTGTTCAGGACCGGAGAAAGCGAGCGCATAAAGGGGACATACTGCTGCGATGTCTCCTGTTCGGACTGGAGTTCGCGGAGAGCCGGGTTGAATGCATAGTATCCTGCGCAAGAGAACGGACCAGTAGTTAGCAAGAATGTACTGTATTATGCGGCTTGGAGCAAGATCATACCAGTCCACACCCCCATGCCGATGGCCATGAGAGCGGGAAAAAAGTTTCGACTCATGGTGTGCTGAATGCTTGGGAAAACAATGACGCTGCGCAATGAAGAGGTCTAGAAAAGGCTGATGGGGCCGAGGAGAACCGACCCTAAAGGCAGCCGGTGCTAAGCGGCAGAAAGGCAAATCGCATCGCCAAAGTTCCGCCCCGTCGCGTCTCCCCACATTTTCGACGCGTCTTGACTAATTGCCTCCGAGGCAGGTTTGTTCGTTGCTTCAATTCACCCTTGACGATTGACGACTCACTGGTATCAACCTGGACGTTTTGGCTTGACCTGATCCACCTTTGAGGTGGTGTTCGATCTCCCCTCGCTCGATTTCCTCCCTGGCTACGACGGTAATGGAGATCTAAGGCCATGGGCTATCGGCGCCAAGGATACAAATGGAATCATGGCGGGAACGAGGGTTTGTACCGGACTCCGATTCAGAGGAGGAGTTTGATAGCCAGGAATCACAGAACGTGATTCAGGAAACAGAAGGAGATGCCGGAGTTCAAGACCCTCCGGCATCGCAGGACGTTAGGGTCCCAATAAACAAAGAACAACAACAGCATACCTCCGAGAACATCGATTTCGATGAAAGCCAGTCCGCACGATCGAGCCCCGATGCTTTGGATACGACGATACTGTCAGAAAACGAGGACGGAGAGCCTACGCCGAAGGCAATACCACGGAGGACGGGGGAGAAGAAGGATGGATCACAGAAAGAGGATCAAGTGAGGGGGGAGGACGGGGCTGTGGCATCCCAAGAATTACCGATAGGCGCAGGATCCAGTTCGCTGTCGACACCGAAACCCAAGAAAAAGAAGGATATACGGAATATTCCCAGTTCGTCGCCGGACGAGCTACAGACCGACTATCATCCCTTCCGAAAACAGGCCCCTCTGTCGCCGATACGACCCATTCATAGTCAACCGGAACCAAGTGGTGATGATAACGATGATGATATGGCTTCCCCTCTGTCGTCTCCGCCATCGTCGCTTCACTCCCTGCCGATAAGTGAGGACAATCAGTTTGACAAAGATGGGACGCAGCTGGTGCCTGAGAGGAATTTGATGGACCTATTTCCTCCACCTGATTCATCACTGCTTCGCTCTTCTCCGCCTGCAAATGATAGAAATGATGCCGAGGATACAGAACAGCCACAAGAGAACAGCCTAGAGAATTTGCTGCCTCCACTCGAAATCCCAGAAGATATCATGCAGGAATTGGCCCAGCCATCGAGGAGATCGCTACGACAACGCAACCCTATTCAGATGCACCCTTACCTCCTGGAGGACGCGAAATATCAAAGCCTAATGAAGGCAAGAGGTGTCAAACCGCTGCGCATTGCTCAATACCAGGAAGCGTTGCGCGCAGCCAAGGAGAGTCAAGGCCAGGAATTCGTCGATAATGTGCCGCCTCCATCAAGCAGCCCCGTGTTGGGATTATCATCTCCGGCGGAAAATAGTCGCTTGCCTGAAGTTAGTTCTCAGAACCGAATTCACCAACTCTCTCCCACCCACGCACGGTCTGCGGATGCTATCAGAGCTCCCAAAAGACGGAGGATAGCGAAACCCGCCGCTGACGGTCGCCCTCAATCGCGGCATTTGGCTCGCCCTCAGGTGCTCATTGACAATTCTTCGTCTCCTGTGCGTGCGAATGGCAATTCGATGCACGATGTCCCTCCTAGTCCACCACGCTCAGGAAGCCTTTCCCCTCTTCAAGCTCCACAGACATTCAATGGATTCAGATTCCCTCGGGGGTTCAGCCCACCGCCATTGAACACACCTAGTACAACTTCGAAATTGGCGGAGAAGGACCGGGGTGATGATGTGAATGATTTGGAGTTGTCCGACGGCGGCTTTGACCTAGGACCTGGGGATACCGAGTCTGTTGCGCCCCAAGCCGAACGTATCGAATCGGGAGAAGACGAGCAGGATGCGGAGGAAGGTGAAGGTGAAGATGGAAATCAAGCTGAACACCAGGATGAGAGCGCCGTGAGGAGGTTTCAGCGCCGAATAAAAGGCGTGCTTCCTGCCTCATGGCTACGATTGGACCAGCAAAAACAGCAAGATACCCGCCTTAACTACACGCAGCGAGCGAACGAGAGAATGGCTAGGATGGAGAACACAAAGGGGGTTGCCAAAAAAGTCACTAAGAATACATATGGGACACGTCTTAGCCCGAGAAGGCGACTTGAATCACTGCAGGATATTGTTGACGGGGAAGATAGCGAAGAAGATGGAGTTGAGCGCAATGTCGATCCCCGTCAAGCTCTGGCTGATTTGGTAGGCTTTGATGACCCATTCAATGATCCAGATCCAGATCCTGCAGATGATATCCTTGAAGACAACCGCATTGATTACATGTTTCCAGCGACCAAACGCGCTTCTTCGACTCGAACTGGAAAACAGGAGAAGAAACAGTCGAGACCAGAGGGGAGCGGCAGTCGGTTTAGTGATCACTCTAAGAGACCTCGTCTCAAAAGACAAACGAGGCTTACGGACCCTGTGCATCAACCGAGAAGGGAGAAGAAAAGGTCTCCGCCTGCTCCTAGACTTGGCATATTAGATGCTCCAGATATTACGGCTCAACCACGAAGTCAGCAACCGCAATTTCTCCGAGTCGCTGCGCGACGAGTTCGTTCCCGACAAGACAGGGGAAGACGCAGTCCAACTCGGAAGGTTTTCCAGTTGAGTACAAGGGCAGACACGGAAGATGCCAATACGTCCTTAAGTCAATGGCGTACAGGTCGCCTTCGGCAGACTAAGTTGCCGCGGCCTCAAACTAAACCCCAAGGACGACCGTCTTTGAAAGACCTTCCTACGAACAGAAGCAACCCCCATCCAACCTATAGGTCTCAAAACACAAGCATACAGGATATATCTGATGTTCGATCTGAAGTCCAGACCGAAGAAAAACAGGCCGCCGAACCTGCTCCAACGGCGGACGAGCCGCCTAATCCAACTTCTGAGAATACCAACCACCCTGCAAGCTCTAGACAGCGGGACCAAAGCAACAAATGGTTTGTTCGTCGAAATGTTACGGTGTCTTCCTTGAAGAGGAACGCCCCAAGGCCCGTGATCCCAGAGGTGGCCAGCTCTGACAACACCGCCTTCCCATCTCTTCATCGGTCTCTTTCATTGCTTAATGGAAGAAATCATCAGAGACCACCTTCGAGTGCTTACCAACAGAATCCAATCATGCGACGGTTTCTCAAAAATATGCCTACAACTGCTGATGAACCGGGACCCGTCACCGTTCAGACATTGAATGCATCGCGCGATGAACCACTAGTAGAGAACGCTCGAGCACCGCGGCGGCAGATTCGAAAACGCCCTCCCCAACGATTGAACGTCACCTCAAGCGGGAACCAGGGGACGCTTGAATTAGCCACGTCGGATCCGGAGCCATTAGATGTCGAAAACAGTGATATTCAGTCACCCGCAATGGCTTTGGGTGGTCTCACAGGGTTTCAGAGCTCATATAGCGTCAATTTCAACGTCGCTCCTCTGCATTCTGGTACATTCTTTCGCGAGTCTACATTTATAGGCAGCGGTGAGCTTGCGCGTTCTCTTGACTTCGGCAAGCGGGACCTGGATAGAGATGCTGGATTTTACTCCTTCAAGGTTGGAAAATCCAGACTTCGCTGGGGTCCTTGGAATGACAGTGTGTGGTCAGAGCTGGGGACTGTTTTTGACACTATGCTCGATAATATTGGAGAGAGCGATGAAGCCGAGCCCCTTGATGAGCATACGTCTAGCATTGGAAGAGATGTTTATAGGAATTTGATCAAGTACGTTACGGAGGTAATTTCGTTCACTGATCCCATCGACAGAGTTGGGTTTGTGAACAGAGTCATTTCCCTTGTCTCCACACTTAATTACAGCATGACAGCCCTGGCGTCGAAGTTACCTCATGATCTGGAAGCGGTCACAAAGCTCGCTTCATATAATCTCGTGCTGATTCACCAAGCGCACCAAGTTGCCCGCAATAGCAATGGCCTTGTCAACGCCGGTGTTGCGAGCGAAGTTTCGGGGCTTGTCAAACTGGTCTCTAAGCCTATCGTCACAGTTGTTTCGAGCCCTGCGGGACAGGCCAACATCTCTAAGTTCCTAGAGGATCAGAAGTCTCGAGAATTGCGCGAGTCGGGAGCAAGGGATAGCTATCCTGTTGTCGAGGCCTATATCATCCTTCGCAAGATATTGGAAAGCACAGACAGCCCTAGCGGGGTGTTAGGTGATCTTCTGACCGAGGAGTATTCTGCATTGAGCACCGTAAAGGAGGTAGAATGCCTGGAAACTGGGTGGCGCCGGATGTTCAACAGTCTCCCGTTGAACGAGATTGATAGCTTCGGAATTGTCCGAGTTGGATCTCGTTTCAGAGAGAAGCATGACAACTGGTCGGTAATCAAACAACTACTCAAGCCGGTGTTCCAGGCCAAGGATCCTGACTTCCCATCACCCATCTCACACAATAACTACTGTCGAATTTTGTTCCATCGATGTCACCATCTCATCAACGGTTGGGGCTGGCGGGACTGCAAGCCAATCCTCGACACCCTTTTTGACTTGTTCGCGAAGAATACTCTTTACAACTTGAAACCCGAGGAAAATTACACATCTCCAGCCTTCCTCGACGAGCTTGACCGCAACCCATCCTTGGAAGTCCAGACAAGCGACCCATGCTTTCATATATTCTTGAAAAGCATCGGCAGCGGGTTACGATTTTTGTCAAAAGTATACGAAAAGAAAAAGGTCCGGAACATCACCTGGCGCTTGTTGCCCAACCATGGCCGAGAGTATCCCAAAGATCGACCTATTCATCAAACCGACTTGGACGCTCTGAGGAATCACCATGATCTTCTTTGCACTTTGTATTTTGCGGTTCCTGACGGATGTCGTCCTCGGCTAGAAACAATCAAAAATCTCGTGGACCCAGCCCGCTCTCATCAGGAGACATGCAACATCAGCCTTCGCTCCTGGTCCAGGCTTGCTCGATTCAAGCTCTTAACGGATGAAGATGTGTCTGGGTTAGAACCGTTTGCAGACTGGCATTGCTACTTTGTTTCGAAATTGTTGGAACAGCACAACCTGGCCCGCGAGGAAGTGGAGGCTCAAAACACTGGTGAAAACAAGTTCTCTCACCAGCTAATCGAGCGCACAATTTCGCAGAATCAACGGCAGATTGAATCACAATTGAAAACGGCCCTGAACCTGTTACAGAATGCCATCCGAGTCGCCCCTTCATTGGACCATGCCGAGAAACTTGTCTCCAAGGAACCCATCAAAGCGGTGTTAAGTCTGTTCAATTCCAAGGTTGCTCGCGTGAATACAACTGTCATCGAGGCCCTCCAGGTGATAGTGGTCTACCTTGAAAAATGTCGCCCCCAGCCTGCTGTTGGAGCACCCCATGTTCCAGCCCCAGTCGATGAAGATAGTCAAGAATTTGGAGATTGGGGGGTTTTCGACGCTCTATACCAGGAGGAATCGCCGCCAGCGGTGACCGTGCCTCAGGGCGTCGAATACGTGAACAAAGTCTTTCATCCGGCTGTCTCGCGCCTTGTGTCCAACTGTTTTGGCGAAGACAATTGCCCAGAGGATGCTATACTCCTGAGCGTTGTGGACTGTTGGACCTCTTTGGCGGAGGTGCTCGTGAAGCACAAGTTGCAGCACTGGGATAGTTATTTCAGCCATTACGGTGGTGATTATTCTTGGACGGCACTGCGGTCAACGATGCAGACCAGGAAATTCACACCGAAATTCCTGGCAAACTGTATCGAGAAAGACTCACATGTTCTTTCTGAATGCAAATCCCAGGTGTTTAGCATGTGGATGTCTAGCTTGGTGGAAAGAGAATCGATTCTTAAATTCCAGCATTGTTTGACAGAGGCTTTGCTCAATCAGGACTCGTCAAATCCCATTCTGCAGAACCTGCCTTTCTCAAGTGACAAAATGGATGGGCAGTACTACATTACGTTGCAAGAGCTACGTCAGCGCAGGGTGTCTCTCATCTCCAGTCTCCTGGCGAATATGCGCACGCATGTACAAGGGCTGGAAGATGCGGAAAGCCTTGATCTCGCGAGTACCAAGCAAGAATACAAGGAGCTTATTCAGCAACTCATGTCGTCCATGAAGGCGAACTACCAGGAGTTAGGCAGCGGACAAGCCAGCGCACAGGGTGAATATGTGGGCTTTGTTCACCGTGTTGTTGGTTTCCTGCAACAACATACGAGAGATATCTGCTTGGTTGACCCATTCTTCACCGACCCAACATCGTTCCCCTTGCCGTCGACCGATCCGACGTACATTGTGGCGAGACTGAAAGGCTATGAGCCGAAGTTATCATCCAAGAAGGTTGCGAAGCTGTTGATCACGTTCATACAGGGCGTCTCCGAGCGAGCCGCCATCGACGGACAGCAAGTCTATCTCACCGGACAGCTGCATGCATCGATGATGGATTCATATGAATCTGGCGACCCGCACCGGCCTACCTTGCGAGCCATCCTACTGCAGGCCGTGTTCCCGGCTTACCTCGAAACCGCGTTCAGCAACCCTGTCGCATGGGTGCTGTGTCGACCGATCATCAACGTCATCTCCCTGACCTTCAAAGACCTGCTCTTCAGCATGGATACCACAGATCCCCGCTGCGTCGCATCTCTCATCGGCATCTTCAACACTGTGTTCCAGTCCTCTCACTATGCGATGAAATCTATCATCCGCAACGTCAATATGCTGAAAGACCCCTCGGTCGTAATAACCATCGCCTCTTTCCTCGATATGATCACATCCTCCCTCCGAGTCGTCGACTACATCGACCGGACCAGCGAAGCAGCCGATCCTCTCATCTCACAGATCCGCATCTTCAGCCAATTCACCCTCTTCGCCACGTCCTATCTCCAAGACAAACCCCCAACCCACTTCCTCGATGACCTAGCCGAGTCCTCAACCACCTTCATAGAAAACCATATCCAGACCGCAGAAACCACTCCCCCCTTCTTCCAAGAAATCCGCACCTCCGCAACCCGCGAGCTACGAACTTACCTCCACGAAAGCTGGTTCAACCACCAGGGTAAATACTACTTCACTCGTCGAGGAAATCATCAACCCCAGGAAATCTTCATCGAGCCGGAAGTCGTCGCGGACTTGGAACAGGCGCCATGCAAGATGTTAGATTCCGCGGCGCATTTGTTTCTGGAGACAGCGAGGAGGTTGGATTTCTTGGAGGGTTGGGAGATGGGGATGGGCTCTGTGGAGTTGGAGGGGGACTTGAATGGCGGTGGACTTGAAGTTATAGATGTGGACGTGGATGTCGAGATGGATCTAGGGAGTGGTGAACAGGATGTTATTGAGATCCAGCCAGCTCGGGACCTAGAGCTGCCGCTGGATTTGCTCATTTTGTAATATGCATGTAATATGCATGTACTATGTACATTTCTATCTTGTCTGACGGGACTGGGCTGGATGGATGGGTGGACTAGACTTATCTATTTATACTGGACCTGGCGAGGCAAGAAGAGGCGAGGCGACGGAGCTTCGTTATATTTGTTTTTAATTGGCTTGGATAATGAGATATTAGAGACCATGAATGATATATATGATTGAAGATTATCTATCTGATTGAATAACCATGGGCTGACTATCTTGTAATTCGATTGAGGTGAGAGGTACTCTACCATTAAACTCCACTACCGTATAAATATGATATGGAAGATAAGTAACCAGCGGTATACAGTGGGAATGCATGCAAAAGGGTAAATAGTGACTGAGTGTTCGCAAATAAGATAGGTAAGGTAGTAAGTGGGAAATAGCTAGCTAGCTGTAAGTCAAGTCAAGCCAAGCAAAGCAGAGCGGAGATGTAAACCGTTCATCCAGAGTATGCAATTCATTCAATCGATCAATCAACGCAAGCTGAACCATAAATAGAAGGGAAGACACTATACATCAGCGTATAGTACAGGGCAGAATAGGGACGAGGTATGGAAAAGACATGATATGATCATGAAGCTCATAAACTAACAAGTCACGACAGGACAATAACACGGAACAGGGCAATGCAATTGACATAAGAAAAGAGAAGAACGAGGAGAATAGAGGAAAGGGGAAAAGAGAGAGAGACCATCCAAGTAACTAGATAGTTAAGGAGAACAATAAACACAAACGCATAAAAAGAAAAACAATGCATATCAATCGAGGGATTCCAGCCAATTCGTTCATAAGAGTTGAGACCGTGTAATTCATGCATCCGTGCATTCATTTGTCTGTCCTTCGTTCCGTCTCGTTCTGTTCTGCCCATGTTCGACAAGGTATCGTATACATGCGTGGTTCGATAGAGCATGGAATGAAATAGCGGTGCTATCCATACCTGACCATGAGAGAGATCAAGTGTCTCATCATGCCCCTTTCTTAAGAGGTTAGAAAGATAGAGCCACACCACACCACACCACACCATGCCACACCTAATCAAATTCGGAAAATGGTCTAATCCGGTTTATATCAGATGATAATAAGCCACCCGGGTGCGAATACAACTACCAGAAAGAGATAGATCACCGCTCTGGAATCGTCTGATCCACAATCCCGTTTCTCTCGACTGTTCCATCGTTCGAATCCTGCTGACCCTGCTGATTATGGCTCGAGGATCCCCGTCGATGGAACGGATGTTGATGGAACCCGGAGAAATGCAGCACCTTGCGCACGGTGCTGGCAATTCCCGATCGCCGCTTCGACTCGGGTGAAGACCCAAGCTGCTTTTCCGCGGCGTCGCCCGCCGCGCTGCCGCCGGTTTTCTCGGGCCGTCGCACCGTCGCAGTGTCCTGTAGTACGATGTTTTGAGTCGCAGGCTTCGGCGGCCATTGGCCGTCTGCTTTCCAGCCTTGGACCATGGCTTTCGTGACGTCTGCCAGGTTGATGGGCACGGTGGGGGTGAGACCCTGAACGACGACTTTCGAGTAGATGGACGGGTACATGATTGGCGTGATGGCGGCGCGGATGGGGTTGGAGGTCGAGATGAGAGAGGGCGCGACGGGGATGAAGGGATCTTCGTAGTTGTTGCGCGCGATCTGGTGCGACGATGCGGTCGCGGTGGCGGCTTGCGTAGCCGGCGCGGGGGTCGCCGTGCTGGGTTCGTTAATTGTCGTGGCCGTGGCAGCATTAGGATTATGAGGATTCTCTGGGTCGGCGGTGGATGGCTCGTCTTCGCGCTCACGATCCGCAGGGAACTGCTGCTGCGTCACGGCCGACATGGTTGTCGTCGTGGGGTCTTGGTCGGCAATGGAGAACGAAGCGTCAGCTCTGGCAGCCAGGTCCTCGTATCCAGACGATGAGTTGGTGCCGGAGTCAGAAGAAGTTGTTGAATCTAGGGTCCGCGCATCCTCGTTTGCAGTCGCAACTTGGTCATGCGATTGCGATTGCGATTGCGCCGCTCCCTCCTCCCCATCCTCCTGCCCCCGCTGCCTCTCTTCCTGTTCGCGCCTTCGAATCTCCGTGCGCGACAACGCCCCAGACCACGCATCCCGTCGCTCCACCCACGTCCGAAGACCCTCGTTCCACCGCATCTCCTCTTCCTGCTCCTGCCTGCGGCGCTTGCGACGCGGCGAGATGGATCGCAGCGTAGCACGTCCTAGCCCCTGCTTATACTCCAAGTCATGGTCGTGGTCGTTGGCATCCTCCGGTTCCAGTTCTGGCGAGGAGACGGGCTCCAGCTCGGACCCGGAACTATCGTACTCACGCAGGCGCCACTCGGCGATCTCGTGGGGTGGCGGGGTAGGGGAGGACGAGGCGGGCAGACCTGAGTCTGTGGAGGGGTGGAAAAGCCAGTCGTTGCGAACGATTTCGCGGACGTGTAGCTTCGCCTCGCGGATCGCGGCGTCGCGGGCCTCGGTGGTCATTTTGATTTCTTGCTTGCTTGCTTGCTTCTCAGTTCGTGATCTCTGGATTCTGGGCTTGGGGGTGGGGGTCGCAGTCGAGCTTGTTTTGGAGGTACGGTGGGAAACGGAAGGAGCCCGGTAAAGGAGCTTTATTTGAAAAGCTCTGCAGGAGCTATATTAACTAGCTGAGGGGGCAGAGCTTGGCTGTTAAGTGAGAGAGAGCGCGAGGCGAGGTGAGTGAAGAAAGGGGCGCTTAGAGGTAAACCTGTAGAAGTTATGGGTTGAGTTAATGGACCGATGGAGTCACGAATAAAGGACAAGATAACAAGAATCCCAAATAGACCAAGATGATCTGAAGAGAAAAATGCCCCGAGGTTTGGGAAAAAGAGGAGGAGAGAGGGAAAGATGTGGGGGAAAAGGAAAAGGCGAAGTTTCGGGCGGAGAAAATGACGATCGCCGGAAGTCGAGAGTCGATGTCATCATGCAACAACTCTGATCCTCCTTTCTGCACGCCGGTTTCTTGCAATTCACCTCCCCCTTCTGTCTACTGGGTTAAGTGTATGAACTGAATATGAATAAGAGAATTATATGCCTATTGTACAGGATATCGCTAAAATACAAGATCGTCCAAGGATTTCCATCCTATCCCTCCTCTTCTATAGAAAAGCATATAACGAATTCAAATGTAACGAGAGATCAATATTCAACACCAATCATGTCTATAAAACTGTCATTTCTTTTTTTCATGTACGAACGCGCGCAGCGTCTGCTTCGGCTTCTTCCGTCGTCGCAGGCATGAATCCCCATCCAGGACTCTTCTTGCGACGTCCCTTGCGGTCGCCGTACTGCTCGTCGAACTTGCGAATCGCCGACAGCGAAGACATATCCTCGCTGATGGATGCGCTGATCTCCTCCATTCCACGCTCGAAGTGGGTCCAGGTCAAGGTGCGTCGCTCCGGGTATTGGTAGGGCTCGTCACCTTGATGCTGGGCGGCCAGCGCGTTTTCCTCTCGAACGCAGGCCAGTGCCGCGGCGACAGACAAGTTCTTCAGATCGGATCCGGAGTAGAGGGGCGTGCGGCGGGCAAGCTCGGCGAGGTCAACGGAGCTATCCAGCGTTTCTTCCTTGAGGTGGATTTTCAAGATGGAGAAACGATCTTGCTCAGTAGGCAGATCGACCAGGAGTCGTCGAGGAAGACGTCGCAGGACGGCATCGTCCAGATCAAAGGGTCGGTTGGTGGCAACCATGATGAAGGCAGAAAGGTCGTTCATTCCGTCCCATTCGCGCAGGAACTGGTTGATCAGCTCCCGGTGGGATGTGCGACTGCTGGCGCCGGTGCGCGAGCAGAAGATGGCGTCCGCCTCGTCAATGAACACGACGCAGGGGCTCAACTTCTTGGCGAGCGTGAAGATGGCCTTGACGTTCTTCTCTCCCTCTCCGACGTACATATCGTACACCTCCGAGCCACTCACTTCCAGTACCGTAGCACCGCTTTCACAGGCGACAGCCTTGGCCAGGAGCGTTTTACCCGTACCAGGAGGTCCGTAGAGGAGAAGGCCCGGGATCTTGTCGGTGGCAAGGACACCGTAAGTAAACGCCTCCGGGCGAATGAGGGAGAGCGAAGTGAGCGTCTTCAAGGCATCGATGGTTTCGGGCGGGACGTGGACATCGTCGAACGTTGTCCGGAGACTCTTCGCATCGACCACGCCGTTCAGCAGTTTCTTCTCGTGGGTATTGCATGTTTTCCGGAGCGAGTTGATAAGGCGCTCGCGGTCATTACCAGTCTCGGTGTGTTTCGTCTTGGGTGTCTGCTCTTGCAGCCAATCACCTCGGATGCGCTCCGTCTTTTGTATCATCTCAATTCCTTGCCGAATGTGGTCGAAGCCAAAGGATTCCTCCGGTTTCAGGTTTCCAAGGGCAATGGTAGTGGCCCAGTGCACTTGATTATATGTCCAATAACGATCCTCTAGGCCGGAATCCTTCACAAGGGAGTCATCCAGCGGCCAGGCGCGGTTGGCAAAGATGTCATCCTTCAGTGCCGAAGGGGTTTCGTGCAGTCGTGTTCGGAGCATGTCCTGCAGATGGCGGATGTTCACATCGAGGGTCCGCTTCTTGCGATCGTCTGCAAAGGTCTTCTCCGCCGCTTCGGGGCCCATGGCAGGGGTAACCACGAGCATCTGCGAGATATGGTTGTCGAAGGGGCTCTGTATCAACTGCGAATCTGAGTCATCTTGCGCAATGGTGCCGACAAACAAAATCCGGGATCCAGCCTTTCTCCGATCCTGGATAGCTTTTTCCAACAATTGAATAAACCGGGCGCCTTCCCGCGTGCCTTGAATCTCGCTATAATCTTGCATCTGTACAATAATGTCACGGGCCTGAACGGGTTTGGTGTCTTCAGTCTTGGTGGCTTGCGGTTCTCCCTCTTCCTCGGGGGTTGCCTTGTCTGCTTGTCGAGAAGATTTCGTAGGTGATGAAAGAAGCTCGTTGATCAGTCGACGTCGCCTGTCCTCCGCTCGATCTTTGCCACCTTGCGGCGATGCAGCACCCCCAGGGCCATCCATAGGGCCGTTGAAGGCAGCCACTAAAGACTTAAGGCCCGATAGGTTAGGAAGAGGTATATCCCCCGAACCTCCCCGAGGACTCTCAATAGTAATGAACTTTGGCGCGGTATGTCCAGGTCGCAAGTTGCGTGATGGTATCGCACTGTCCATCGTGTCCGCGTCGTCAGATTCAGCCTCCTCCACAAGATCTTGCCAGGCGTCCGAAGAGGCCGGTTGATACACCTCGTATCCCAACGATCGAATCGACGTCGTCGTTCCGACATCTTCCAGGTCCTGCTCATTACACAACTGCGCAATATCCTGAGCGTTCAGAGTCACCAGGTCCGCTCCCAGTTCCTGTGTCAGCTTCTTCACCACCGCGTCCAAGAACAAGATCCCATCGTTGCCGGGATAGTGTAGAATCAAGTGCGACTTGCGCGCCGAAGGGTCCGCCGCATATTTCGCCGGAGGAAGTCGTAAACCGGCCCTGGCCGAGGCGCAAAGCTCCTGCCACAAAGCCTCGGCTAACGCATACCGGTTTTCGTTTCCAGGTACTCCGTCGGACGACGGCGAGGGACCTCCGTTTTCATCACCACTGCCGCCGCCTTGCGCCTCCGCCTCCGCCTCCACCTGCTCTGTCCCTGTCACTGTTGGAGCAATCTTTACCTGCTGTGTAGTCTGCGCCGCCACCGTTCGCACCTCGTCTCCATTGACTACGGTATTCCGTTCGTAGAACCAGTCCGGGACCGTGGCGACAGGCGCGGTCCACTCCTTCGCCGGCTTCCTATTCCGTAGAGCCCGACGAACGGCGGACCCGTAAGGGCTCGATTCTTTCTTCACACCCTCCTGCTGCTGCTGTTCCGTGGCGGACGGTACAACGGGCGTCGTTGTCGTCGGCCGCTGTTCCGAGGCATTCTGTTCGGAATTGACCGTCGACGAAACCCCGCTCACATTCTCAGAGGACGAATCTCTCCCTCCATGGGGATCTGAAGGCCCGGCAGCCGAGGAGCGCCAGGGTCGAGAAAGGTGGTATCGACGCGAGGCGACGACGGCGGCGGGATAACGGCGGTGCGCGACGAATCGACAGGGTCGGACGAGGGTGGTCGAGAGCAACCGGGCTTGCTGCATTGACGAATACATCCGTAGACAGGACTGGACGCTGCCGCCGGGTTGGAAATATAGGATAGAGAAGAACAAAGGCTGATGCTGTCGGGGGGGCATCAGTCGTTTGTCTGTCGGGGTGGATCGTCTTGTACCTGCGTTCTTCTTTCTATTCTTTTGGGTTTGGCTTGGCTTTTTCTGCCTGCCGAGTCACGTGGATATTCACCGCCTCTCATCAGTCTGTTATGCCTGAGGCTGCATCTAAGATCGGTGTTTCTACTTCGTCATCTCTCCACCATTGCGGTTATAAATGCACTGCTACAGGGAAGGAATCCATATCAGACCGCATAAACTGCTTTTTCACATAATTCTATCATCTAACCAGATCCGTCACCAGCGGATCCCTATCTCCATCCAACACCTTCTGTAACATGCAAAGCTACATACTAATGTACAAAGACAACTCTGCTCGTCCTCTATTCACCCCAGATCAGGCTGCTCAAACCCTCGGCAGTACCAACCTCACCGGCCTCTCCGACCTGAACATTGGCCACCTCCTCTCCCAGCTTGCCGCTCTTGGGATCGCGCTTCACAATCGCCACGTTGGACGAAGCCTGGTTACCGATGGCGACCAGGTCGCCGGCCTTGTTGATCTCGAAGGTGCGAGGGACGGTGCCGTACGAAGAGGTCAGGTCACGGTAGGTGACGGTGCCGTTGGACGAGCGAGCCAGGGTCGACATGGAGTCGTTGGGGTCGAATCCGTGATCCGAGCGGATGGACACGTACAGGGAGGTGCCATCTGACTGGATGCCCGAGAGGGTGGCGCCCTCGGGCAGCTCGGAGCCGGGGTAGGGGACGAAGGACTGGGTCTCGCGGAACGAGGGGCATCCCTCGGTGCCGTAGGAGACGTCGAAGGCCGTGAAGTGGCCACCGATCTCGCTGACCGTGTAGAGTAGAGTTTGCGATTCAGCACGTCGCTGGAATCGGAACTGAGGGGCCTCGGGCTTCCAGAAGAGGCCGTGACGGGGCCCAGCGCCGTGGGGGAACTCAATGGCCGGGCAGTCGTTCAGGGCTCCCGAGGACTTGTCAATGGCGTACACGCGGATCTCATCGGCGCCAAGGTCGGGCGAGAGCAGGAAGGATCCGGTTGGGTCGAGGATGACCTGGTGGGGATGCGAGGCATCCTGCTGGGGAGTGGCTCCGGGCTTGGTCAATTCGAAGTGGAAGACCTGGAGAGGCTCAACATCGGCCTCCAGAGGGAGCGCGAAGGTGGACAGAGCGGAGCCACCACTGCGCGAGGTTAGTATGTATAACCCTTCTTTTTTGGACCTGGTGGAACGTACTAGTGCGCGATGGCCAGATACTTGGAGCCGTCATCGCCGGTATAGATGATGCTGTTGACGCCGCCGCCCGGCGCGGCGCCCGTCTTGGCACCCTCGGTCAAGGAACCGTCCTCGCCGATGGAAAGAGCCGTCAAGGACCCGTTGCTGGAGGCATCACCGGTTTCGTCGGAGCAGTAGAGCAGCTTCGACTCCGGGTCGAGGGTGATCCAGCTGGGCATGTCACCGCAGGTCTTCAACTGCGACGCGACGGACAGAGAGTACCCATCTTCGCCGCCCTCTAGGGATAGGGTGTAAACAGAACCCGAGTAATGAGTGGCATAGAGGTTGGCTGCCGAGGCCAGCGAGCAGCACAACAGGGGCAGGTAACGAAGGGACATAGTGGCGAATATGATCTCACAGAGAATTATCGTGTCGAAAGGGGCAAGGGAAGGGAGGAGGAATCCGCGAATATATACTAGTAGCTCAGGGCTGCGGAATCCTGCACAGGGAAGATCAGGGACGGCGGCCGTCAGCCTGAAATGAGATTAAGTCGGAATGGATCTGCAGTTATGATACGTCCAGCAAGGGTGTTCGAGGGGGCGAGGTTTGAAGGCTGGCTCTGCGGTCACCCCACGCTAGCCAATGATTGCGGGGATACAGCAATTTCAATCAAATCGCGGGCGCTCTGAACTTATAACGGCGTTTAAAAACGAAGAAGTCAATAAGTTGTCCACGTCGATCTTGCGGGGACTCCCTCATTCGGGTATCTCCACGACTAGAGTCCGGTCCGTATGGAGAAAACCCCGTGGGATGGCATTGCCTGGGCGGTGAGTCGGTGACACCTGCCGCGGTAAACGGATACCGTTGCGTGCTTTCTTTGTTGTTGAGCTGGTTTCATCTTGAGATGAAGGACGGAGACAGTGCCATCGAGATGGACAGGCCCGTGCAAGGCTGGACGCCCTACAAGGGTTGCCGGAATACAGGAGGCTCAGGAGCCCGGGCAGATCATCCAGTTGGACGACATTCCGATGGGCGGTTCAAGGGAAATGGGGCGGGGCGGAATGCGTGTAGTCCGTCGTCCCTTGTCAACTTTGGGCTGAACGAGTAGTTAGTGGTAGGAAAGGGTAATGGAATTATGGAATTGGAAGGCAACTGGAATGGGGGCGAGGCAGACGGTCGGGCCAAAGAGACCTTGGCATAAGCCAGAGTTGCCAGGGCTATGCATGCTGACTCAGGCTATGCTGCTTATGCGCAGTTTGTCCGTTTCAGGTACACAGTAGTGACAGTACGTAGTTAGGACTAGGGAGTCCATCAAGGTGACCACCAGGCCATGACGTCGATAGATTCCGGATTATATTAAACTCTCTGAAGTATCTTGCCATTTCCTGCTTGGAGTACTCCGTAAAAGCACAGGCTGTCTCCCAGATTTGTGGAGCAAGTGAAAATGTAGCGACCCACCGACGTGGTTGGTGGCAGTGAAGTGGATAAAGTCCTGTGTTTACGAATTACTCGCCAGGGAACTAAGGGGAACTAAGAATACCTGCAGCATCACCAGGCAGTGCAGGCATAAGAATAGCAGTTTTGCATACCAATCAGATGGTTGCTATCAGAAGACTGATCACTCACACTCCGTAAGAAGCTCGATCTTCTGATCGACCTGAGACAGCCTTATCCACCTGTGTCATGTACTGTGTATGCAGCAGCGTTAAATTAATACCCGACTATAATTATCTCAGTCTGTTTACACTTTACGCCGCAGGATAACATGCAGGAACTCACACAATCCTCCGTACTCCTCACTTATCACACCTGAAGAGAATGGTCAACTCGTATTCAGAAATGGGCTGGTGATTGCTACAGAACACGAGAGGCACCAGCGTGTAGTAATTGGCTGGTTAAGATCTTTTCCCGGGCCAAAGTCAAAGCTGCCGTTAGCCGACAACTGCCAAATGCCCCTGATTCTGTCGTGATGGAACATGGAAGTGTACAATAATGTTTGCTTCTCTTCCCAGGCACTCCACCACTTCCACCCTCCGCCTTCCCGTCACCCTCCATTCACTTCAATCGATTTGATCCTTCTCCCACCGACTAGACTGTAATTAATATGTTCTGTGAACTGGATTCTATAAAATTAGAAGCATCCTGTGGAGAGCAGCCGCGTGGCAGACCAACCGCATCTATCGCGCTCCACCGGTTCACCCTGGGCCCAATCAGACTCAGCCCTAGTCAGAGTCAAACATTTAATCCGAAATCTGAAGGGAAAAATGTATCCTCCGTTGCCCTGTGCCTGTAATTTTTTTGGGTTTCCTTCCGCCCATAATAGTAATTGACCATCACTCAGACCACCCAGCCAACCTTTTTTTTGGCCTTCTTCCCCTTCCTTTCTCCCTCTGTCGCTCTTTCGCCCTTCCGCCCTCTCGCTGACTTTAAATGCCATTCCCCCTCTCTTCACTTTAATTCGCTCGGTTGAATAACCTCAATCATTATGCGGTTATCCGTGCTGATCACCCTGGCGCTCTGCTCCGTGGGTTACGCCCGCCTGGAGCAACCCACCAGCTTCACCCGACTCCCTTCTCCTACCACCACCTTGCTGGACGATCCTTCTCCAGTCCCCAACGATCTTCCGGTTGATTCCGAGGAATTATATCCCGGGCGATGGTTTCAAAAACGAGCGACGGACGACGCTGCGGCTGCGGCTGCCGCAACTGACGCCGCCGCCGCCGACACGAAGGCTGACACGGCGGCCGCAGCAGCAGCGACGACGGCAGAGGCTGCAACGACCGCAGAGCCGGCGACCACTGAAGCGAAAACCCCGGCGGAGCCCACCACCGCCGAAGCAACCACCACCGAGGAGCCCACTACCACCGCCGAACCGACGACCACCTCCGCTGAGAGCACCACGTCCACCACCTCCGAAACCACCCAGACCACGACCAGCAGCGCCTCCACCACTTCCTCCACGACCTCCAGCACCTCTTCTTCCACCTCTAGCACGTCATCCGCTTCCTCCACCAGCTCCAGCGACTTCAACCTCGAAGAATGGAACCACAACGGCATGATCGCCGCCATTGCGGTCGCTAGTGTCGTCGGCGCCGTCTTCATCGGCACGATCGGCTGGTACTGTCTCGCCAGCCGCATCGGCAGAATGTTTGAAAAGACTCCTCCGGCGCCGGAAGCAGCGGCCGCGGCCGCTGCGGCAGGGGGAGCCGGCGCATCCGCCTACTCAATGGTGCCGTTGGTCGACGGTGACAAACGCCCGACCAGCGAGGTTAAATTCGATCGTGACTCGATGCTGTTCGCGCCGAATTCGTCGCGCACGGATCTGGAGTCCGTGATGAACAATAACACCCGACGTCAGACAATGCTGTCGGCGGACGGGTCGGGCCCTTCGAGCGGACAGCGCGCATCGGTCGCGTCGAACAGTATGCCCAGGATGATCTAACGTTGAACATTGAGTCGGGTTAGAGAACGGTTTTTATTTTATTTTTTGGTTATTTCTTCTTCCATATATCTTGGAATATCTTGTCGGAATCTATACATAACACTTACCTAAGATATCCATTAACTAACACCCGGCCTACCGACATTGGATTCTAGACGGATGGTCTAGATGCGGGTGACGTGATGTGAATTTGGCATTGAATGAGGAGTTGGATCTTTCATCTCATTAAGCTGGACAGCTTGAGCATTGCGATTGCATTGCATGTGTACACACTATATGATGTTAATAAATCCCTGCAGACCGACCTTGCATCAGGTCTTCGGGGTCCATGAACAGAAATCGAAGGCTTTTGGCTTTTTCATATCACGTTCCCGGAGGAGGGAAGGAGTGCCTTTTATATTCCGACCTGCCGATAAGCGCGGCACATGTGAGAAGTCACATGCAAGCCACCTTTGTATATCAATGTGAAGGGTCTTTTTGCTAGACTTTATTCAGGAATGATACTGGCTGATCTACGCATGATGTTCCGCCAATATTTATCATGGCTTGTTCTATACCTTCTCTTCCATCCAACTGAATCACTCATCCTGGTACTTTAACATACTGCATACAACGAACAATACCTACAGGTCATCCACCACCTTACCCCATCCAAACCGTGCCTTCTCAGCTCGCACCAGGAAGAATCACATTACTCCCCAATCCCAAAACCAACACATCCCGCATAGTCTCCATACTCTTCGTCCTAATCTCCGCAAAGCTCTCCGGACAATAAAACGCCGTATGACACGTCAACACCAGCCTACCTACCAACCAGTCCTCGTTCCGCCGATACGCACGAATCAGCGAATGCACCCGATCCTCGGGGATCGGTTCCTCCGGCAAGACATCCAGGCCCGCACCAGCCAACACCCCCCGTCTCAACGCCTCCTCCACCGCATCGAGCTGCAAGACTTCGCCGCGGGCCGTGTTCACGAGCACAGAGCCGCACGGCATGAGTGAGACTAACTCGGAGCCGATCATTTCGCGCGTTTCGTGCGTGCAGGCGCAGTGGATGCTGAGCGTGGTGCTGCGTCGGAAGAGCTCTCGGATATCGGTCACGCGCTCGATGTCGAGCGTTTTGTCGTATCCGTTGGGGACGTACGGGTCGTAGAAGATCACTCGCCAGCCGAATGCTTTTGCGCGAAGAGCCGCTGCTGTTCCGATTCGGCCGAGGCCGAGGACTCCGTATGTGGTGTCTCGGATGCGCGCGACGAGGGGCGTGTCGACCACCATCCAGGGCTCGACGTATGGTTCGCGCTGGAGGTCATGGTGGAGGAGAATGCCGCGGCGGAGGGAGAGGGCGAGTCCTAGCGCGTGATCGGCGATTTCTGCCGTGCCGTAATCTAGACGGTAGGGAATGTGCTAGTTAGTCTGTCGGACCTTGGGGGTGGTTGTAAAAGGGTCTAGGGATCTTTATGTATTTGGAAGTGGACGAACCGGGAACATTGCACACTGTTACGTTTCGCTGAGCCAGGGCAACCCGGTCTAGTCGGTCGTAACCGACTCCCATTCTCACGATGCTGCAGACAAATTGAATTAGACATTGGATTGGGTATTTATGCTAGTATTGGATGATGCAGCTTACACTTTGAGCTTCGGAAAGAGCTGAAGATCTTCCGCTGTGAAGTACATCTTCAACGTTAGGATGCCGTCTACTTCTCGTCGCAATTCTTCGGGAATCGTGGTCCATGGCTTGGGCGTCGCAGTGCCTGTCGGGAACAGGTCTAGTTGTAGATACTTGATTTTGCGAGATTGCGGGATCCTGGCATCTTTCAGGATCTGTTGCTCGACTGCATCGTCCTGAAAAGAAGTTAGAGAGGGCGAGATAAATTGGTGATTTATGAGTGGGATGAATGAACCGGGTAGAGCCCATCCGCCTGTACAATCAACAATTCCTCTGAATTCGAGAGTTCGGACATGATGTTTTATGAGTCAAAAAGATACTTATCGGAGGTTGTAGTCGCAGAGGAATTCATCACCACCAATGACCCCCAAGCCGTCATCTTACCCCTCTTTGGCGAACCCCGTGGGGTATACTGGACATCCCATGATCCCAATGACATCCCACGCGGCTTTCACGCCGGCGCCGTAGCCGGGGTTTTTACACCGGAGCCGGGGCCCGCGTCTCCACGTTTTACAATTGAGCGGATTTGAATGGCCACGCTGCGACATGTCTGAGTTAAGTTGGTAAGGCCGTAGGTCTAATCTCTTAATATGCATATATCTTGTTCGCTCGGTCCTGCCTTTTCAATTTACACTCCGTTGGCAAAGTAACAGATTTCATGCCACGAAACCCATACGACGAACTCCTTCAATCAATACCAGTAAAACATCCTATCCTTGAGTTCCAGTTTCTGGCCTTGAAATGAAAGTATTTAGTCCACCACCTTGGCCAGAATAGTTTAAGCATTGCAGAATTGTCGTCAAGATGTCATTCAACAAAGTGACCGTTCTCGGTCTGGATATCCCTCCCGCCTCCCCAAGGTCCATACTATCGTCACAGAGGACTCCTGATTCTTCAATGGGACAAATAAATAATGTGGTAGCCTCGCGTCTTATTAGTGGAGATACCTCCGACCTCGTAAAACTGCGAGTATTGGTTGCAGCACGAGCAGGTTATCTACACAGCTGTTACACGTAAGTGCCGCATCATTGCATTGAACTCGTTGCTTCTGTTAGACTCAATTAATACCAAGAATACACAGCACTAAACATAGTCAGCGTTTTGACGTGGCCCCGTACCTCTAGGTACTTTCTACTCGTGCATGTTTCTTGGACTCACGACGGTCTAAGATATTGAAGCGCGTGATGGTAGATGACGGCAAACCAAAGCCGCGATATTCAAGTGAAGAATGTTCTCATTTGACAATCGTGATCTGGACCCTACCTCATGGCCTCTGCGGAGTCTACATGTTTGTCATTCCTGCGGACCCAACCCTGGACAAAGGAGATGAGGCAAGCCACAGCGAAACATCCTACCTCGTTATCTTTAAGTCAACATAATAATGTCTCCCTTGTATCTCCATATCCCATTTCGTCTCGTAATCTCCCACCAGGTGCTTCTTTTCCGAAGATAGCGGAGTCACAGTGGAGAAGTATTATGGTCCTCTTACATTTCGCCTATCTCGCGTCTACTTTCCTCCCAGGTCCTCTCTGTATCCATGAGAAAGGCCGGGTGCTTGTCAACGGTGGAACTGGCTTGGCCCACCAAACCCCTAACCCCATGGGGTACGTTCAGATATAAAAAAAAAAGCCAAATATATGGCCCTCTATCCTCGCACAATTGTCTACTATCTGGGATACCATTCATCCTTCCTGACCATGGCCGAAGAAAAAGGCAACATACCAGATGACATCGAAGCGCCAGAGCCCATCAACCATGTCCCCTCACAGATGGGGGAGATTGTCAAAGACGAATATGTCACTCACGATGCCGTGTTTGGCGAGGTTACCGAAGAAGGGCCTAACTATCGTAGTGTGAGTCTCTCGGGTATCAGGTCAATGTAAGGCCAAATTGTTAACGGCTGAACAGCTGGGATGGTTGGGAACTGTTGCTTTGATGATGAAGACTCAGATCGGTCTAGGCGTCCTCTCTGTCCCTTCCGTCTTCGACAGCGTTGGACTGGTTCCAGGAGTGATTCTTCTCTGCGTAGTTGCCGCTATCGTCACATGGACTAGCTACATGATTGGTGCTTTCAAGTTGAGGCATCATTGAGGATGCAGGAGGCTTGATGTTTGGACGTGTTGGGAAAGAAGTCTTCGGCACGGCATTTTGTCTCTGTAAGTGATACAACCTGCGTCGTTATATGACATCCTTTTACCAGAAATCAGCGATTGACCCATTCAAGATTGAATATTTGTCGCGGGATCCGGTATCCTCGGCATCTCCATCAGCCTCAATGCCATCTCAGCCCACGAAGCATGTACGGCCATCTTTGTCGCCGTAGCCGCTATCGTGGGATTTCTCTTGGCTAGCATTCGCACCCTTGGGAAGATCAGTTGGATAGCATGAGTAGGGTTGGCTTGCATTCTCGTCGTTAGTAAGTCACTCGGAATCCTATGCCACCCTGGCTTTTCGGTTCAATTCTTATGAATTCTACAGTCCTCATCGTGACCATCAGCGTTGGCATTCAGGACCGACCATCCTCTGCACCACAAGTCGGGCCTTGGTCCTCCGAATTTAAGACCTTCAACAATCCATCATTTGCCCAAGGCGTGTCGGCAGTCTCGTCGTTGATTTTCGCCTGCTCCGCCACCCCTGCTTATTTTGCTATCGCAGCCGAGATGCGTGATCCTCGTTTCTTCACTCGAGCTCTTGTGGTGAGCCAGCTTACTTCTCCTCTCCAACCCGGCCTACGAAAAATATTACAAACTAACAAGTAACTATCAAATCCCCAGCAAATACGTCGTCGTCCGCATCCTCCGAGGATCAGAGCACCTAACTTTAAACAGCACAATACACTGGTCCAGTGCACATGGTTATCCTGCACCTTCGGATGCACGGTCATCGCCTACCTCATTCCCAGCGGAATTCCCTTCTTCAACAGCCTCGTGTCCCTAATCGGAGCACTTCTCGGGGCCTCCCTAGCCTACCAACCGACCGGGTGCATGTGGTTCTATAATTGGAGCCGGCGGGATACTCGGCATTGGAGATGGATGTTCATGGCTTGCTGGAGTGTCTTGATCATTATCATCGGGTCGTTTCTGACTGTTGCTGGCACGTACGGGTCGATTGTCAGCATCGTGGACTCTTTGGCGGAGGACGGTGGATCGAAACCGTGAACTTGTGCGGATAATTCTGATTCTTGATCTCCTCTCTTGTTTCTTTAATGTGGCGATGTGGATTTCTCAATGATAGATGAATCAATCAGGATCTTTCTTTTAAGCAGTATATATATATCTTAGAACAACTGTCTACTATTCATGGGTCACCTGTCTAAAGACTTTCTATGTAGTACACGCTTCTCACGTCCCATCAGCCCCCCAAAGAAACCCCTCCAGGGAGCCATAATATAGTTATGTGCTGTCGAGAAACCGAGTTCACCAAATCTACTGACTTACTAAATAGACATGCCTGGACGTTCGAGGAGACCGAGTTCGGCTTGATATCCTCTTCCGACACCTGCGTGCTTCCTCTTCGGCTCCATTTCCTTTTTTCCCCTTCTAGTCCCTTGCCCTTTAGACATCAGATACTTTAACAGAACAAATGATAAAGACAAGTGAATAGCTTCCTCTTTGTCTGTTAGTTCTCACTCACTCAGAGCAAAGATCTCTTGCCATAATTGCTCCAAGAATAAGAAAGACCCAGTCTCTGCGTCTACAAGATATAGTAGTCATCGCGAACGACGCCTCATCTACTTCCTACTTATATTTATCGATCTGAGTCCAATCTTTAGGTTACAATATTCTCGAAGTTGGTGTCTACAAGCCAAAGGTATTCTACAACAACACCAACAACAAGACGAGCAAGAATCGTGAGAACAAATCAAAACTTTTCCTTCTATTGATCATCAATCTCATAAGTCATTCTAAATCTAGATATTATATCAAACCCAATAACCCATCTATAACTCTTCTCATAACATTCACATCGTAAACCCAATTCTTTTCCAAATCCCATTGGTTGTGCACTATGCACTATGCACTGCTCTCACCCCTTCTCCAAATTTCACTCCCATCTCCATCTCCACGCACAGCAGATCCAGATCCAAACCCAGAAGAAGCAGCCGAAAAAGCTCCCCCCTTAAAAGCCCTCTCAATCTCCCCAAAGTTCCTCCCCTTCGTCTCATGCATAACCGGCCAACTGATCACCACCGTAATAACGCAACACCCGCCAAACAAGATATACGCCCCGAAACTGCTCTTAGAAAGCAGAATCGGCGTAATCAACGCCACCGTAAAGTTACACACCCAGTTACTCGAATGCGCTAACGTGGTCGCGGACGCACGGGTCCGTTGGGGCTGGATCTCTGCGGCATACACCTTGACGGTGATGCCCCAGGTGGCGGAGTAGAGGGCAGCGAATAAATAAATGCAGACGATGACGACCCAGCGGCCGGCGCCGGAGTCAGGGTGGACGGCATTGCCGGCGTAGAGGCCGCCCATGATGAACATGAGGATTCCCATGCCGATTCCGCCGAGGAGGATGCTAGTTCGGCGACCCCATTTGTCGGCGTAGATGAGACCCGGGATGGTGGTGGCGAAGATGAGGAGGGCGGAGACGCCGGAGGCGAGGAAGCTGGCTTCGGAAGAGGCGAGGCCGGCTTGTTGGAAGAGTTGGGGGGCGTACTGCGGGGTTTTGGTTAGTGTCGCTGGATTTAACCCAGGTAGAATCATGGATTGTAGCGGGTGAGATAACAGAGTTGGGTGAACATACGTAGAGGACGCCATCAATACCAGCCAATTGCTGCATGCCCATCAGAAAGACGGCAAGTGCGGTGCGGCCGCGAACATCCTTCGAAAACACATCCAGTAGCTTCTCGACGGTCCCGGGCGCGGTCTTCTTGGGCTCAGGCTCAAAGTCAGAATCAGGTTCCGTCTCCCGGACCTGCACTTGACCCTCGACCTTTTCGCGGTCCGCGAGTGTCACACCTAAAGCATCCCAGGCCTCTTCGGCCTCGGCGTAGCGACCCTGAAGACCCAGCCACTGAGGCGATTCCGGCAAAAACATCAGAGAGAGAGCGCAGATAACCATCGCGAACGCCGAAAGCAGAATCCACGGCATACGCCATGAAAGCGACGACTGAATACTGGCGGTCCCGTAACTGATGAAATACCCAAGAACCAACCCCATGGTGGTCGCCAGCTGAGGACCCGTCGTGAGGGCACCGCGCGTTCTGACAGGGGAGATTTCGCAGATCAGAACGACCAGATTTCCCAGGAAAAGACCCTCTCCGATGCCCTCGACGCAGCGACCGACGATGAACATTGCTAGGTGGATAGCCCCGGCCTCGATCGCCGCGCCGATGCCGAAGATGAATGTGCCGATACAGATGCCCTTCGGCCGACCGAGGTGGTCGGCCACGTAGCCCGCGAAGAACGACGAGAGCGCAGCCGGGATCAGGATGCTCGAGACGATGAGGCCGTGGATCGTGGAATTTTGACTCCCTCCGAATTCAGCCTTGAAGGACTTCATGTCCGTCACGGGGCCGATGATCCCCGTGTCCATCCCGAAGAGAAGTCCATTGGCCGAGCATAGAATGCATCCCAGCAGGTACTTCGGCGGGATGAGGCGCATGAAGCCGGTTGGATTTAGGGTTGTCGCTGGTCACGGGGGGTCAATCTTGGGGGTTGAACTGAAAGAGTCGGCTGGCCGTGAATACTGTCCTAGAAGTGAATGACTCCGTAGACTGAACCTGACAGGACATTGCAGGTTTAAATTCCCCGATCCAAAGGATCAGTCCCAGTTGAAAATCTCTTCTCATCTTACCTTGTGGGAATACCATTACCCACGCACACACGCCATTCAGCAATTAGGTGCCAAAAACCCAGGGTCACGATCTTTTTTTTACTCATCCCGCGCAGTAGTCTGGACAGCCACTCCACTTTCCGACGATTAACCTCCAATCTCCATACTCTTCCCCTACTTGGAAGTTGGAACCCCAGCGGTGGGGAAGCCCTATGAACCCCGAGGCCATCTCGGTTCGAAATTGGCAGTCAAGCCGAGTAGGCGAAAAGTGGGCCAACGGCAATGAGAAGTTGCAGATCCAGAATTTTGAAGTGCGAGAGCCTCTTGGTTCTAGACAACGCTGTTGACGAATTCAAGATAAGGCTGATGTGCTTCATTCGTCCCCCAAAATAGTAATCGTACCGAAGGCATTTTTCCAATGTGAAAATCCCAATTAAAAATCTTAACGTAGCCACGTGTCGGTGATGTACAGAATGCAGCCGAATGTATTCCTGCACAACTCGCACCTGCCTTTTAGCCTGGAGAGCTTTTGCATCGGCTCTTTTGTTTGGAGAAGGCATCCCGAGATACGGAGTAGAACTTGAGAGGTTCTGCGTTTTCTTCAACTGGCTCGGGGCGCACACTAGATCCAGTAACGCAAAATCCAGCCTGGTCCCGAGACCCACAACTGATTTTTCTCGGCTTGTTGTCTGTTTCAGGAAAGCATTTTCTCGGAAAATGCTTGGGAAGACGTCCAACACCCTCAAAAGTCCGCGGGAGATTTTATCTTTTATGTAAATCAAGGCTAATAAAATATCTGGTCGGAGGAGGACAAGTACCTTGATGGTTAGGCTTTCGATCGCAAGCCCAGCTAGGAGATGAACCAATTGGACTCATAGCCCTGCGTATCACGATCAACGTGATTCCCTTCTCTCCCTCTGGCCCATTCATCCTTCAACTTCGCCATATGATATCTCGTAGTCCATCCAAGGTCCCTTTCAATTCCAGAAAGTAGCTGAAGGACCGCGTCCTGCTCACGACGCTCCTGGAAGACCTGCCCGGCCACGAACAGGGCCTGTACGGAATGGACCCGGAACGGGTCTGTCGGATTGGCAAGACTGATACCGCAGACCTCCCGGGCATGATAGATGACTTCCCGGAGGGCATGCCGGTAGGATCTCAGGCGTGCTGAGACGGTGGAACGAATAGCAGTTGATTCTTGCGGTTCGTTAGCCAATAACAAGATTTTGGCTTGATGGTAGCTCTGGATCGTTGCTGCGCACAATGGCACATCGAACCAGATCTGCTCGAACGTGTCGAAGCTCAGCTCAAGACCTGGAGCTGCGCTGCCCAGTCTTCGGGTACGAGCTGTCGAACGGAATGATGCAGGAAGAGAATCATGCCATCTATCCAAGTCGGTCATCAGTAAGTTCCACCGCTCTAAAAGATGTTCCTGGTTCAGCCCGATTAGAGGCCGTTGGCAGGGTGGTAACGCATTGATCCCCGGGACTAAAGCGTCCCCTGCAGTAAGAAAGTTGGCAATTTTACCGAGAATCCAGGTAAGCTCGTTGCTCTTCATATCTTCTTCGAATGCGGAGGAGATTTGACTTTCCATCACGTCTAGTGGGCTGTAGGGTAAAAGCTCCCCATTCTCGTCCGTAGCCAATCCTGCGTTCTGCCAGAGACGCATATCTTTCAAGTCCAGTCGGGTTGCGGTCTCGCTTATGACTAGTGCATTGGTTAGAGGACTTATCCGCAATTAAAAATTCGGCACTCACAGGCACATAGCAGGTCTTGTCTCGCCAGACTCCAAAATATCGGGCCTTTTATAGCTGTATGAGGGATGATGACTGAAGAATGACCGGACACAGAAGTAGACTGATCATCGAAAAGAGGCAAAGCACTCAGATGAGCTCTCCATGCGCTCCCGGGGGCGTCCATCAGCTCAAAAGCACAAAGGATCGCGACAGCCGCGAGCATTTCCTCCTTATCCGGTAAGTTATTGGAATACGATTCTGATGTCACAGCAACCTTGAGATGCCCAAGGGCTTGGTCGTAGTATCTCGCTGAGTGATATCGCCATGTCTCTTCATTGGAGGAGGGAAGGCCGATGTAACTAGGTAAGAACCTAGAGTTGGCACCAGCTTGGCTCCTAACTCGACAGACATGTATGAGATGCTTTGCAGAGAGGGCACAAACCGCAGATCTCAGCAAAGCTTTTGATGCCGCGATGACAGGCACTTTGGAGGAAAAGTATGACGTAGTGTCCAGAAGATCCATCCTTAATTACTGTTAGCTCGAGCTCTAGTTTGAACTCAAGTGCTGTTGATACCTACCACTGGCCTGGGCCTTGCTTGAAATGCCGCAAAAGGTATGAGACAAGAACTTTGTCGAGCGAATGAGACTCTGGGTAGTGGCTGGAATAGATGGAAGAATCATTCGGTCGTGGTGTATGCTGGCCGCTGGTCGTTGTGCGGTGAAAAGAAGGTGTCGCAGCAGGGGCATAATGCGACGCTGGACGAGACCCAGGAGTATCATATCCTTCGCCAGTATTTATCGCCCTTCCTGTACCATTTTCTTCATCATCCGCAGTTGCTTCACTAGTCTCTATTGCCCTTGAACTCTCAACGTCCCCGGGGTCTTCCACCTGAACGAACGTGACTATTGGAAGTGAGTAGACAGAACCAGATCGAAGTTATTAGAGTTGAAACACACATTCAGCTGGAAGGTCTACCCAGGTAGTTTGTTCCCCGGTCTCGCCAGCCTGCTTCTCTCGCTGATCGCTAGTACATCGTCTTTTGCGATCTGGCGTCGAATCGATCTCCTGGCTACGGAATATAGATTGTTCTCCGTAGACACAGTTCCGAGACGCTTTAACACATTTGTTACAAGCCGGCTTAGACTCATCGCATTTCAACTTCCTACGTTTGCAAGTCAAACTGCAATGTGTGAGTTATGATGTCCTGACCAAAGACAGGGATCAGCAAGGGATGTGCACGTACCAGCCGGAGTAAGAGCGCATCTCTCGCGGGAGAATGCCCCGATATTTCGGCCCTGCTTCGAGAAGACTCGGGAGTTTCAAGAAGGTCGATGGAGGCGAAGCCGTGACTAAAAAGGAAATGTTCCCGGATTGTCACGTGGTGAGATTCTCGGAAGCTTTGGGGCCTGAGGTGGCAATCTGCCAAGCTCGGCTCTTCCATGTCCCACTACAAAGGCCCCTTCTTCCTCTACAAATATCTTCATGATCATCTCAATTAGTTGGGTTAAATCATTGTGCTCCTCACATTTGCAATCTGCTGCAATCAGTGTATCTACAAAATCCAAGGCAGGGACGGGCGAAGTAAGTGTTTGAATGAAGAAAATCCAGAAATATATATTGAAAGTCAATCATGATTATCTGTATGAAAGTATTTAACCAGTGCAATCTTAACGCTCAAGCAAATGTATGTCCCAAGGAATGAAAATAGACAATAAAAAGACAAGATAATGTACAACTCCATGCTCGATCCTTCATATGCTCAATCCATTGAATTAAACCAAATCAAGGCCATATATGCAATGCAAATCGAAAGAGGACCCGCTGGGCTGTCCTTTGAAGACGCTGATTCGTGAGAACAACATCTGTTGGGGTCGAATTTTTTTTTTTAATTCATTTTTTCATGTTTGTAGTCTCAACTCATGGCAATTAGGGATATGTCCACTTAGAGAATACCAGAAAGAACAGCTTCGGTGGCTAAATAGAGTTGAGGTTAGTGATTGGATAGTCGAAAGATATCGTGGAAAGGGATTCTTACCTGAGTTGATGTACGGGCGTTTGGCGTCTAGGCTCATACCGAAACGTCTCTCCAGCTCTTGTTTAATGCTCTTCTTCGTCACAGTCATCAAATCCGCGGATCTGAGAATGTCACGAATTTCGGCAAGGATAGCATCATCAGGAGGCAGGTGACTGAGGTCCTCCATTTCCATGTCCATATGCCGGCTCATCATCTCCGAAGGAGCCAACGACATCCGTGATCCATGATGAGGGAGGTCAAGATGCGACACCGGTCGAGCACCAGGGAATCCATATTCGGACTGACCCGGGTGGTAGGACTTAGTGCCGTAGGAGATGCCAGAAACTTCGGATCGATCATCCCGAGAGGTTTGCGCTTCCCACAGTTCTGCCTGATACTCCTCCCACTTCTTCTTGGGGATAGACGCTGGGTCGAATTTACCTTCGTCGGAGATGACAAGTTGACGACCTGATTCTCCAGTGATGACACGAGTGTTACCCCATGAGAAGTCATCCATGTGCCAGAAAGAGTACAGCGGAAGAGCCAGGGCAAAGACGGGCATGGCGAGAATGTAGATGATCATCCAACCAATCATCTCCCACTTCCGACGGAGAATGAAGATGAGACCCTGTAGACCATAGATGGCTGCGAGCAAAATGAAAGACGTGTAAGGGATGGTGGACGTATCCCGAACAAGCCAGACAATGAGATAGATGATATAGGCAATGGTAACGGGCTGGATAACGGTGGAAAGAAGATCAACAAAAACGATGAATCTCATACTGAAACAGCAGAAACCACACAGTTGCTGAAGAGGAATCAACTCAATCAGGTTATGAACAGTAGAGTTGATCCACCGACGACGTTGCGATAAGAACACAGCCCAACTCTCGGGAGCAATAGTCCAGGCTCTCGCAGCGAAGATGAACTTAGTCTTGTACTTGGGATGATGCTTCAGGAGAAGGGTCGTCAGGTAACGATCCTCACCGAGGTGCAGAAGATTTTTCATGTGCAGGGTGTCAACGCGGATCTCGGAATACGCCTCGCAAATCTCGTGACTGACGAACAGTGGCTTTGCGGCTTCGGCAGAACGAATGCGATACATGGAGAAACAACCAGGCATACATGTGACGGAACCGAACAAACTCTCGAAAGCCTTGATGAGATTGTGGGAGATGTAGTATTCGTAGACCTGGATCATGGTCACCGCGGAAGTTTTCGCGTTGGTCAGCGCTGTTTCTCCGCAGACACCGATGATACGAGTATCGGCCAAAAAGGGCGCCACCATTCGAGTAGCTGCATCCGGAGCAACGACTGTGTCGGCGTCGACCTGTAAAATGAATTCGTAGAAGGTCGGATTAACTCCTATAACGTTGCGGATTTGATGATGCATTTCCAATTCCATCGGACTCATAGGCAGGTTGTAATGAATGCGGTTGAGGAATCGCATGAGAACCATCTGGGAGTCTCGCTTTCCACGGTTACCAGGTCGCGACACTTCGGAGGGTTTTCCGACCTTGACGACAACCAGGAAAGGAACAATGTGACCTTGCACTTCATACAGACCGGAATAGATTTTGGACATGTTGTGTTGCTTCAAGCCCTCGCCCAGACCCTCGCAGCTAAGGGGTTCGGGGTCCACCGATTCGGGAACGCCTAGAATGTCCAAGACAATTCTGGGCGTGGGACGGTCGTTGCCTTGTCCAATAATCATACCGTCACAGATCACAACCAAGAGCTTGCGCTTATCGTCATACTGCATGCGAGCCATGGAATCGATAGCACGACGAAGAGACTCCTCATCTTCGGTGTAAGCCGGAACCTGGCAGATGATGAACTTATCGAGGTTCTCAGGGATGTTCTTTTTGCCAAACTGAAGTGCCGCCAAGAACTTGGAGAGAACGATCAAGCAGATGAAGATCGAAATGGCGAGAAGGAAGTATTGTGCGAACTGGCACTGAGGCGAATTACGGGTATCGACATGACCGACGAAAAAGAGATTGTCTAGGCAGAGTTGCATTCGACTCCGGAGACCCTCGTCGATATTCAGGTTCTGCCAGTATTTCGTGATATCCTGACCAGAAAGTTGCTGGAACAGCTGTACTACCCCCGGGTCCATGAAATCGCGGTCGACGCCGGACGGAACCTCTTCGCCAGCAGGGGCCTGCGTTCTTCGGCCTCCAGCCACGTAATCCGTCAGATCGTAGATTTTGCCGTCGATGCTTCCAATCGATTTCGACTTCTTCTCGGCCAGGGTCTTCAGGTACTCTGAACTGTAGCCAATGTAACCCTTTTTGTAATTCGATTTTAGCATCAACATTTGCTCGTAGAACCAATCAGGACGCGAGTCGTTCGTGAAATGGCGGAAATCATGGTATTTGGCGTTGACGTCGCCAGTGCTTATCGTATTAGCCGAGCCAGACACGTTCGTTGGCTTGTAATCCAAGAGCACCGACGGGTCAACCTTGCCAGACTTGCCCTGGCAGAGAGCTGACACTTGCACCGGGAAGAGACCAGTCGCGTCGACACCGGCATATTTTTTCAGTGCTGACTGCGGAACGATATCAGGATAATGAGAGGGCATAAATTTGTCCAGGTCCAAAACCACGCCACGAATGGCAATGAAAGAGCTATGACCGTCTTTACCATCATGCGATTGTAGCTCGGAAGCGGAATAGACATGCTGTGTAGGACATATGAGACCAGGGAAACCGACGATGATGAAAATTGCGAGACCACAGCTGAACCAGATGATCAGGTTGATGGCGAATTTTTCGCGCCAGGCGAGTCGCACATCCTTGCGTTTCATCCGGCCGAAGACTTTGATTGCCCAGTCGGGCAAATAGAAGGTAAGAAGGTAGACGATAGCCATCCAGCGCTTGCGACTGCCCGAGACAGGATGTTCATCGACCTCCTCCATCTTCTTCTCATTTCCTTTCTCCAACATTTGCTCTTTGGTTTCCAGATTACGGAACATGTCGCCCGAGTTGAAGGCAGAGCCGCCGGCGTCGGAGCGTCCATCCAAATCGCGGCTACCAAAGTAGCCCTGTTTGTTGTCATCCCCATAAATATAGGTACCAGGAGATTGGTCAGCGGGGTTGAGAAGGCGAACTTTAGAGTCCATGTAGCCGGCAGTCCGAGGATGGAGCAATCCGTCGCCGCCCTCATCTGATCCCTCGGCGGGATAAACAGGAACGACTCGCTCTCCAACCTTGGCCAGATCTGCCCAGCAGCGCTCGCTGAGGAACACACCTGTGCTGCCGACTCGCGCTTCATTCCCGGGCCACCGCTTCTCATCCAAAACGACCTCGGACTTCTCCTTGTCACTTCCGACCACAACGTTTCCGATTTCAGCCAGACCGAGGAACTCCGCAAAGGGAAGGAATACGCTGAAGTCCGCATTTCTGAGACGTTGACTGATCTCAGCGATTCCGAATGTCTGCACCTGTGCGCGCACACATTTACTATCGTACTGATTGGCAATTCGGCGGTCATTCGGCTTCAGACAGAAGATGAAATAGGGATTGACGTCGGCTGAGCTGAGGTATTTGTTGACAATGTCAAGCGAGGCAAGGAACTGGCCCGCGGCACCCTGCATACCGTTGGTGAGCATCATGCTCTTTCGGCCACCCTTGGAGTTCTTCGTGCTGCCCACTTGGCTCTCGTACTCGTCTTGTTCTTCTGCAAGGGGGGCATCGAATGCTAGTCGAGATGCGGGACTCGTCTTTCGCCTCGCCATGCTTGGCATTCGCATAGGCTTCGAGCTGACCTGCGCTTGCATGATGGCGGTTTTCTCTTTGGGGTGAGTCACGGTCTGCAGCGCCTCCTGACCAAAGAGTTCTCTCACGAAATCACTTCTTGTGGATCTCATGAGATTCATGAGGTCGCCGGAAACGACTTCCCCGTTCTCTTCGATTAAGCCGTCGGCAGAATAATCAACCTCACCGGCGAAATGTTTCACTGTGAAGGCCGATCGTGCTCCTTGGGACACGTAACCGGTTCCATTGGAGCTGCTCACCGAGATAGCCGGGTTTTTGTTCTCGAATCGTTTCCGCAGCGATTCGACAAACTGGGCGTCCGTTCTTCCGCGCTTGGTCTGGTCATCGAGAATGCTGAGCAGTCCGTTGCCCTGTTTCAGCAAGCCACGCACGGCATCGGTGTTGTCAAAATAGCTTGTCGCAGGTACGTTGACTTCCTCGCGTTCCAACATGTCGGCCTTCCGTTCAAAGAAGGACTGCAAGCAGAAATTGTACAGCGACTCCGTTGCTGCGTTGCTGAGAAGTTGATCCAGGGTGGATCCGGTAGAACATGCCTGGGCAAATCCGGGGAAATCCACGATGGAGACGGTGTTGGACACGCTATCCTCAGCGGCGCAGATTCTCTGATTGACGGTCTCAAGCACGTAGGCGACCATAAGGGAGTAGATGGTCCGCGCCAGCTCATCGGCGTTCTGGCGTGCGCCTTTAGGGTCGAGCATGACGGTCACTCGCTCTCGGTGGATCGTCTTCGTCCGGTATCCGAAGCTATTTTCAAGCTCCTCAACACCCAGACCCAAGAAAGCAGCGACATAAGAGAGCACTTCCTTGTTTTTGACCATGGTGACGGTTTCACCGCCCTCGTGAGAATACCCACCAGATTCCTCGGCAGACGTAGTGGTAGCCTGTCCGCTGATGAAGTCCAGCTGGCCGAGATGCAAAATGGCGGCAAGGATTTGGCAGATCTCGGCGATTTCGCTTCTAGGGAACTCCAATTTCCTGAGAGCCGTCTTGAAATGCTGAAAACCGTCGGCATCGTTAATGCCGACCTTTAGTTGGGTCGGATGACCCAGGTATCTCCACCTTTTGTGACCGATGGAGGGCGATGAGAGCTTGTTGCCCGTGGACACATGAACGGGGTTGTCAAAGCCCAAATGGCTCTTCTCCGCGGCGCTTGTGCCAGCCAGGAGATAATAGAGCGCATGGAAGCTTCGCTCGCCGGTGGGGACCGAGGCAATACGACTCCGCTCAAGTCTGTGGTCAATAATCTTACCGCCAATCAATGTAGGGTTGACGGAGGTCGAGCCATCATATTGCAATTCTAGGAAAAGACCGGCCTTTGACGCGGTGGGTGTGGTGAGGGACTTGGTGGTGGTCAGAGTGTCGAAGACAAAAGCTGCGTACGACAGTTTCGACGACAAAGGGGTCGATGAGAACGAGAGGAACGCTGACAACACGTGCGCACGAATGGTGGTTTTTCCTGATCCACTCTCTCCTCTGCAAGTAAATTAGTTCCATCGTGATCCAGTGCAAAGGACAGGTATTGACGCTTACAGAAATACGACGGCCTGGTTTTCGCCGCGAGATCCAAGACGGGTAAAAGCACGCCGGGCAAGGTCCTCGGCCTCGCCCATGGCACTACCCTCTTTGGCGCCATCGGGACCTTTGGATGACGAAGTGTATGTATTGAGACTGATCAAGGCTTGGGATGACAGGCGAGCAGTTGGCAAACCGACATGGAATCTGGGTGGAAGATACCCGGATCAGTAATTTGTACCGAAAGAATACATGGAAATCAAAAGAGAAAAAAAGGAAAACCTACCGGCTGGCTAGATGTGCCGTCAAATGCGTGTCCGACTGCAAATGCGACGGCAGCGAAGGCAGCGAGGACTGCGCATGAGTAGGAGTCGTTCCCGCCGGGGAGTGTCCCACCATCTTGCTGGGGGTGTCGAGGCCCTCGACACAGGGGATTTCTCAGGAAGTTCAGAAATCGGGTTGCGATGGCCCGTGAGAAACTAGATAGAAGAACTTCCGAGCAAAACACCCTGGAACCCGCCTGAATCGACTGGAAGTGACCGACGGCAGACTATTTTCGGAAGCAAGAATGTGGCGGTCGTCGCTGCGGATGATGAATGGGAGATTCCTAGCAGCTGAGAGGCGACGAGAACATTGCTTGCGCGACGAACGGGATGGACGAGCTGATCGCCAAACAGGAGAATTGCGGTAGATAACAGTTGACTACCTGAGGGGTGAGCGGATCGAATCTGACTTGAAACAACCAGAGTCCCGAGAACACCAAAAAGCGAGAGACGATGGGGGGGACGAGTGGATCTAAATCAACGGCAAAGCGATCGTGTACAGGAAGATTAGGTCGAGGTAAACGAATGTTGACGCTGTAATCATTAAAGTACAAGCAGAAGGGACAACGCGCAAAAGATGAAGATTAAGATGAGGATGGGGATGAGGATGGAAAAGGCGAAAGATAAAAAAAAGATGGAAAAAGAAAGTCCGCAGAGAGGAGAAACAACAACAAGAGATGAATGGCAGCTCCGGGGAAAAAAGACGCTCTGCTTGCCCGACTGGGTAAGTGTGTATTGTACCGGTGGGCAGTGCCGTACCCAGCGTACGGCCAGCGGTCTTGACAGCTTTTCAAATTACTAGCGTCCCGACTCTCCGAGAGGGCGGTATTGTACTGAGTAGGTACCTTCTCCGTCAGGTAGATTGTTTCTTATCAGCCCGGTAAAGTGTACCGTGTTACTTTGTCGGTTTGTCCCTACGGACCGTCCGTTGTCCATGGATCTACGTCGAAGTACCTGAGGTACACCCAGACCAATCTGTTAACCGGTCTGGTTCATGATACATTGACTTTTAGGCAAGGTACACTGGTCCGCGTCGATACTTCCCAGTCCGTGGTAGGTTTGCTTCCCGCACTGCATTCCATGCGGTCGACGTACAATTCAATTCCTGTGTCTGCAATCTGCATGGACTAATCCAGCTAATATCAGTATCCCGTACGACGTAGATTGAACGGGGGTGATCATTCGTCATGAGTTTGGGCAACCGAGGGGAAAGCAGCCTCCACCCGGGTGGGGAGCGTCCCTCTCCCGGTCGGTCGAACCGTCCCTGCAATGCTGGCCTCAGCCTTTGGTCGCGGGTTCAGTGGTTGAGATCGTTTATGTTTATTAATAGCCCCCCTCCGTTGCTTGTGATGCACCACTACGGAGTCAACTGAAACACAAAGATAACAGACTGGAAACATGGCAGAATTGAAAAAAAAAAATTAAAATTAAAATTAAAATTAAAATACCGTCCTCGACACGGGAATCATTCGACGCCACTTGCTCAATCCATCCCGTCAGGGGGGAGGGGGGGACCATTCGCCATACTGTATTGATCATATTGGCATGTTGCCCTCCCTTCCCCCTACTTTCTAGTCCCTCCTAACGCGAGGTATAAATAACCTGGAATGGCTCGACTTCGTAAAGGAGGCAGTTATCCACCGGTTTGATTCTCTCGCTCTTTGTCGGTACTACTCTCTTCGTGTCCATGCCACTCAGTCCTCACTAAAGATACTGGAGCATGCCCGGTACAGTGTCTACGCCGGGAGTAATATCGAGAGCAAGCTTTGTGTACGGAGAACATGTCATAAGTACGTCGAAGATCGATTGCGTTGCCCCCGACTCGGAAATACCAGATTGAGCAAGAAGGAACGATTGAGGGGGAATGGGAGGACTCGAAGGGGACGAGGGAATTCGCGGCGGTGGATCATTCGATCTGTGACATCCAAACGGGAAAGGCCTGAAACTAGGGACTTATCCAAGTGGGGGTCGCCCATTCTCAATCCTCATCGACTGGAAGGCGGTGGAAGGAATCCCGAAATATTTGCATTTTGTATCGGCCCTCAGTAGGACTGCCCCTTTACGGAGGGAGGTAGGGAGTGCACATGGGTCCTCCGTAGATTGAACTACTCCGTAATGGTTTCCAAGATCTCGAATTAATTTACCTACAACACACCCGGGACACCTCATGGAGTCATGACTGAGTAAGAATTGCGACCTCGACTGGAGATGTTTGAAATTTACATGGTCGCGTATCCCATGTCGGCTCCTGTACTCCGTACGAGGGATGTTCTGCAGAGGACACATTCATGGAAACGGCCAGACCCTGCTAGGGGACGGGCGAAGAATTAAAAATAACAACATCAAAGGGAAGGCCAACGCAGATGGATGCATACTTATTGCATTACTGGCCACTAACCATATGACAACTTCCATTCTTAGAGACTCCGGAAATAGAAAGGGCCTTATGAAGAACACAACCAACGGAGAGGCCGTAAATCTTTGACCTGGTGGCAAGTTTTGGAGGGGGTGACTTACTGGAGTGGATGGATAGTCTGAGACAAAAAGACCAAAAGTGTCCCGTTGACCATGAGAGTCAGAAAGTCAGAAAAATCTGGCATGGAGGTTAGTGCGGGTGAGACAAGAGTGTGCCAATTATAGGGTCTGCCAGGGTCTAGGGCCACGGATCTGACCCTTTCCGTTGCCTTCATTGGCCGTGCCCAAAGGTTGATGTACGCCACCTGACAGGTTCGTAACAAGCCACCAAAAAAAGAAAAAGAAAAAGAAACAGAAAGAGAAAAGAGAAAAAGGCAAACAAACAAAAGGCGGCAAATTTACTTCGTATACCGTTGCCCTACCATATCGACGGAGGCTACCAGTCAGTCTCAATTAACTTTGTATTAATCCGAATCACCTAGACAGTTTAGTATACTACCTAGATTTCTCTTAATAGTTAGGCATGTCTCTTGGACCGACCCGACCGAATGTGCTTGCAAATTCACTAGTCCCGGCAGGCTAGTGGAGAGCTAAGGTAATGTACGACGGAGCAAAGTTCTCACTATCCCCAATCAGTTCGGATTTCAATCAACTGGCCCTCGTCGCTGTGGGTTAACTCACTTAACTCACTTAAGTCCGGCCGAGGGAAGAGAGGGAAAGAGTGCAGGCCCCCCCCCCGGTACTCCGTACGTACTGTATGTACCCGCTGACAGACGCTGTAATTTTCGTCTTGTCGTGTCCAGGTCCGTCCTAAACCCCAAACAGTTAAGCTACTGGGGATGGGATGCCGCCAAATGGACTGAATCGCTCGCGCTCGCCTCTTCTTTTCTTGACTATCATCCACCCGGCAATCGTCAGCCTGCCTCCGTTGTTTTGGTTTTGGCTCTGCTTTTTTTTTTCCTTTCGGGTGTCACCTTTGGAGCTGCTTTTTTTTTGTCTTCTATTCTTCCTCTTCACCCTCTTCCTTCGTTATTTTGGTTTATCAACCATTCTCATCTTAATTATTTGTTGATCCTCACCTGTCGCTCGCTCTGTCCCACCTTGTTGACAGCAATCATCTCGACCTCGCACTCGCTACTTTTCGTCCACATTCCTGCCACTCGCTTCTCCGTAGACCGACGAACGAGATTCCAACCAGGCCCGTGAAGCCGACCGCTCTTCCATTCCACATCTCGAACTTCATCCCACTTTCCCCATCGAGTGAAGTCGTCTAGATTTAATCGGGCCAAAGAGAAACGAAACGATAGTTCGAATGCATCGATTCTTTTGACCGTCAAGTTTGAAGCGTAATCAATCCAGGTTATATCACTCTGCTCAGCTCTCACACGCGGTGTTTAGGTTACCAGCTGGTTGAATTCCCATAATCACTCGGCGCGCGCATCGTGCCGTCACAATTGTTAAATCGCTACGTTGCGTGACTTGAATCGCACCATGTCGAATCGCTTCTCAGTCTACTCCACCCAGTCGGCTGGGATGGCGGGCGCTCGTCCGACCCCTCAGTCCGCCGGTCAAATGTCAACGACAACTCTGCTGAATGCGTTGCACGCATACTACAACTCGGGGCAGCCGTATCAGCTCGACGCAGGCACCAGTTTGGCCGTCAATACCTGGGTCACTGCTACCCAACCCACCCCGGAGGGCCACGAGGGTGGCATCATTGATCGGGAATTGCCCGTCCGAGCATGGGAACATGCGAGGAGAAGAGCCGAGGACGGCTGTATCGTCTTAAGGTTCGTGTCGCTATTGATTTTCTCGACGTCGCCTGTCTGTCTACTAACTAATACCCTCCAGCTCGACCCATCAGTCGACCCCATCTCTTCTAGAGCCTTTCCTCACCGCATTGCCTCTTTCCACACCCAGCATCACTTTCACCGCACTCGCCGCTCTCCGACCTTTCTTTTCCGCTGTAACGTCCTTCAATCCGTCCTACTCCCTCTACTCCGCCTTCTCAGCTTGCTACACCTTGACGCTGAAGGGCGATATCGCGGGACTATCTCTGGCGCTCTCAACGTCGGGCATCAATGTGCAAAAGGGCTTCCTTGACATCCCGTCCGAGCCGGGGTATCGTGCATTCAATGTGTTCTATTATCTTCTAACCGCCGCCTCGACGCCAGCAGAGCGAGAGTTCCTGGATCTGAAGGAACCCTCCGCGTATGCGTTGCTCAGTAAATCGGGCACGTACTCGCCTCCGTCATATCTCCCCACCGCTGACGATGCGGCATCCGCCGAGGACTTTCGCGCTGCGCTCAAGGCAATTGGTATCAAAGGAGCCGCTCAACGTGGCCTGCTCTCGGTGCTTGCTGGTCTGCTGAAGTTGGGGAACGCAGCGGGATTTTTGGTTGATCAGGAAGATCTCGAGGAAGCCTGCGAGGATGTTGGAGGCTTGCTGGGACTGGACCCGGAAGTTCTTCTGCAAAAATGCTCGACTGATGACCGAGGCTTTCTCATCTCCGGTGTGTACGAAGCCTTGGTTGACTGGGTCATCGGCAAAGCCAACGAGGCTATTGCGAATGAGGTTCAGTCGATTCACGAAAATGACCCCAGTAGCAGTGGTGCCTCGGGTCGGGGTGGCCACAATTCCGACGACGACACCGTAAGCATCACTGTTGTCGACATTCCCAGGCCTGCACTCGGCAAGGCGGTGACAATGAGAGGCGTTTTTGATGATAGCCTGGGTATCAACGCTGAAATGAAAGAGGATGGAGTTCAGACTCCATTCGTTGGACACGCTGTGATGAATGAAACGACCGCCGCCGTGTCTCAGGTCGAAGCAGATCTAGGCATCACAACGGGAGCCGCCTGGCGCGAACGCGAATACGAAATGGACAAGCGACAGGAGGTCTTGGAAAAAGTGAGTCTAGAGGTCGAGGCGGACGCTTTTCTCCGCCAGATCCTTCTCCCCGTGGAGTCCGAGGGTATCACTGTCGGCCACAGGGGACGGTTCGACCTTGCGACCGTTCTGGGCAGCAGTCGCGTTTGGCATCACATCTCTATTCACCCAACCGATGACCTGCCCGAAGCTTTGGCCTCCCTCCCGTCTTCTGCGGCCTGGACTGCGGGCACGGTATCGCGTCAGATTCGCGAGTGGCGACTAAGCGAATGGGCCAACCGGCGTCTCAAGCAGCTTGATTTCACAGCCGATTTCGACCTGGACGAGTTTATTGGCAGATACGCCAGACTTGGTTGCGGCGAGGGAAAGGATGGCGTCGAGAACTGGCTCCTCGAGAGAGGCTGGACCAACGGGGACGCCGTGGTCGGCCACCAACGGATCTGGATGAGGGAAAACGCGTGGTGGGAAGCCGAAACCATGCTTGATATGAAACCGGACGAGTCGCCGGCAGTCAACCCTTTCATGTACGGCTCTGGTATGCTCGACGCTGGGGTTCCGTCGTATGGGAACACACCGATGGCCGAGTCCGCCAGCCTACTTGGCAGCCGGGACAATCTGCTGCAGCGACAAAGCATGCTCGCCCCCAGTGTTGGTGGCGGCGCCAAATCGATTGCACCTAGCGCGGCGCAAACTCTCAACATGGGCGGTGACTACGGATTGGGCTCCAAAGGAGATGAAAAAAAATGGGACAACCCGTACTATAACGGCGAAATGGACCCCGAATTTGGCCAGCCGCACCATATTGAGCATCAAGAAATGACTCTTGGCCGGCGCGTCTGGGTCGGATTTGTCTGGGCTCTGACCTTCTGGATTCCGTCGTTTGTTCTCAGATATGTTGGCCGAATGAAGCGGCCTGATGTGCGCATGGCATGGCGAGAGAAGGTGGTGCTCGTTCTCCTCATTCTCCTTGTCAACGCGGTTGTCTGCTTTTATATCATGGCATTTGGTAACCTGCTTTGCCCGAATAAAGACAAGGCCTGGAACGAGAAGGAACTGGGCTATCATCAGGGTACCAATGACTTCTACGTCAGTATTCACGGCAAGGTCTACGATATCAGCAAATTTGCGAAAACTCAGCACAGTGATTCCAACATCGAAACTACGTCGTCGAACATGGAACCTTTCATGGGACAGATCATGGACCCGTACTTTCCTCCTCCGCTGACGCGTTTCTGCGATCCGTTCGTGACCGATCAATCAATCACCCTGCAATACAACCAGACCGACGCCGTCCAGTACGCCCAGGCCAAGCATGACTGCGGTCCCCGCAACCAGCCAGACCCGGACACCAAATTACACGACATCACCTGGTATGAAAAGAGATTCCTGCCCAAGATTAAGGAATACTACAAGGGAGACCTGGTCTGGAAAAAGAGCACTGTCTCCAAACAAGCCGACTCCGATCAACGGTATTGGGTGATCAAGAACAAGGACGTCTACGACCTGACCGATTACTTCTACACCCTGAAGCGTATGAACAACGGCGACGATTACAGTTTCCTACCAAGTAGCATCACGGAATTGTTCAAGAATAATGCTGGTGAAGATGTCACAGACAAATGGCCAACGTCGAGCGACGCGGAGAAAGCTCAGAAGTGTCTTGACTATGTCTTCAAAAAGGGAATCACGGACTTCCGTGACGAGCCGAAGTGTACCGTCAACAACTGGATTCTGTTGTCGTTCACCTGTTTGATTTGCGCTGTCATCCTGGTCAAATTCCTTGCTGCCCTTCAGCTTGGAACCAAACGTCGGCCCGCGCCGCAGGACAAGTTTGTCATCTGCCTTGTGCCCGCTTATACGGAGGGTGAGGATGCGCTGCGCCAGGGTCTTGACTCGTTGACTGCTCTCCAGTATGACAACAAGAGAAAACTTATCTATGTGATCTGTGATGGTATGATTGTGGGTGGTGGTAATGACCGCCCTACGCCCAAGATTGTGCTGGATATTCTCGGAGTTGATCCCAAGATCGACCCCCCGGCTTTGCCTTTCAAGTCCATTGGACAGGGAAGTGACCAACTGAACTACGGTAAGGTCTACTCCGGTTTGTATGAATACGAAGGAAACGTCGTACCGTACATCGTCGTGGTCAAGGTTGGAAAGGAGTCCGAACAGAGCAAGTCCAAGCCCGGTAACCGGGGTAAGCGTGACTCTCAGATCCAGATCCTCAGCTTCCTCAATCGTGTGCACCACCGTGCTCCGATGTCGCCTCTCGAATTGGAAATTTTCCATCAGATCAACAACGTGATCGGTGTTGACCCCGAACTGTATGAATACTGTCTCATGGTGGATGCGGATACCAGTGTTCGCGAAGATTCGCTCAACCGTCTAGTGGCCGCCTGCGCCAACGATGCCCGCATTGCTGGTATTTGTGGTGAGACCAGTCTTCAGAACGAGGGACGCAGTTGGTGGACGATGATTCAGGTTTACGAGTACTACATTTCTCACCACTTGTCCAAGGCATTCGAATCTCTTTTCGGCAGTGTGACCTGTCTTCCTGGATGGTGAGTTGAGATCTGGTTATTATTCCATTTTGTGTTCAATTGCTGACCTTTTTAGTTTCTGCATGTACCGTCTCCGAACTGCGGACAAGGGTCGCCCTCTTATTGTTGCGGACAAACTGGTTCAAGAGTATGCCGATATCAACGTGGACACGTTGCATAAGAAGAACCTGCTCTCGCTAGGAGAGGATCGTTTCCTGACCACCTTGATGACCAAGCACTTCCCGACCATGTCTTACAAGTTTATTCCGGATGCCTATGCCAGTACCGCGGCGCCAGAGGAATGGAGCGTCTTGCTTTCGCAGCGACGTCGTTGGATCAACTCAACCGTGCACAACTTGGTGGAATTGGCCGCCCTGAAAGATCTCTGCGGATTCTGCTGTTTCAGTATGCGTTTCGTCGTGCTGGTCGACCTGATTGGTACCGTGATTCTTCCGGCGACGTGCGTCTACCTGGGATACCTGATCTACACCGTGGCCAGTCATACCGGCCCATTGCCGGTGATTTCTATCGCAATTTTGGGTGGTGTATATGGTCTCCAGGCGATCATTTTCATCCTGAAGCGACAGTGGCAGCACATCGGATGGATGATCATCTACATCTGTGCCTATCCGGTTTACAGTTTCATCCTGCCCCTGTACTCGTTCTGGAAGCAGGACGATTTCAGTTGGGGAAGTACGCGTGTGGTCATCGGAGAGAAGGGATCCAAGCGGGTTGTGGCCGTGGAGGACGAGGTGTTTGACCCGCGCAGCATTCCGCTGCAGCGCTGGGACGACTACGCTCTTGCGAACAACCTCCCGGGCCGCCGTGGGGATTACGGCATGAGCCAGGAGAAGGTGTATGGCGGGGGTTACAGGGACGACATGGCCATGGAAATGGATGACATGCATTCCCAGTACTCGTCCGTCAAGCCGGCCTCCACGATCCTGACGGGATTCCACGGGCAGGGTCGTAGCGGTAACCCCTACATGCCGCCGCAGTCGCCGGCTCCGTTCGGCGGCAACATGCCCGGCAACCGCAGCTCGCACATGTCCAGCTTCAGCCGGTACACCGACATGCCGCTCCAGGGCCACCACACGCCCCGGCAGTCGGTGGGCAATCTCAGCCAGTTCAACGATGGTGGCATGAGCACCAACCGACATAGCGTTGGGCTGATGCAGAGCACGGACAATCTATTGGGTGGTGGCCGACCGCACTCTCGCAGCCCGGTGGGCGGCGGGTTCCAATCGAGGCCGCAGAGTGCATTTGACTTCCGAGGCAGCACTGGCGGGCCTGACGAGATGACGATCACGGATGCCATCCGGGGAACTTTGGCCGAGGTGGATTTGGACACGGTAACGAAGAAACAAGGTAAGCCACGCCATCCTTTTGGTTAAATGTATTGGGGACAAGATACTAATTTCTTTTATAGTTCGTGCACTGGTCGAGCAGCGACTCCAGACGACGTTGACTGGCGACAAGCGGGCGTTCCTGGATCGCCAGATTGATCAAGAGCTGGCCAGTATGTAGAAGAGTGTATTTTTTCCCCGTCTCTTGTGTTATTTTTTCGTGATTTCTTGCGTGCACAGCGAACCATTTAATACATATCATTGCGCCCCAAATGTTGCAATAAGCTTGGCTGGGGCATGCATGGCGTTTGCGGGACTGAAATGAGCAGCATCTAGCGATTCCGGACGAGTGTAATACTGTTGTTGAGTTAGGAATGGACATATGTATTTGATTTCTGAGTTTGAGTCTGAGTCTGAGAACTGAAGAGAGTAAGAAGTCGTACAGAGCTGTAGACGATGAGATGCATTAGCGTGGTGGGGTCATCTGATTACCTGGTCCTGAATACCGGAGTCCAGTGGACTATCCATCTCATCTCATCAAATACTCATCTACTGATTAATATTATTTGACTGTCAAATATCAGTATCACCAACATGTCCTCCATCCCATCAACTCCACCACCACCTAATACCAACACCAACACCAACACCGGGAACCCACCCACCTCATCTCCCTCCTCCTTCTCCCCCTCCACCCACCAGCAAATCCACCACTCCTCCCCAGAAACCCCTCCCAACAACAACAACCCCACCCCCGAAAGCTCAAGCTCAACCCAACGAGAAAAAGAAACCACCGAAGCCAAAACCGCCTTCCTTGCCACTCTCCACTCCGTAGGCGCAAACCACGAGTCACAGATCCGCGACCGCGCACGCGTCCTCCACTCCAACTCCCATGCTCTGGAGAAACAAGAAACCGAGCTGCAGAGCGTGACAGACGGATTACGGAAACAGAATGACAGCTGGGCGAAGGTGGCGGATCAGGCGAGGGAGGGGTTGAAGGAGATCGGGGACGTGCAGAACTGGGCGGAGTTGATTGAGAGGGATTTATTGGTTGTGGAGGAGGCAGTGAGGTTGGCTGAGGAGAAGGAGGAGAGGGAGAGGGAGAGGGGAATGGGGGAGGGGAATGGACATGTAAGGGAGGAGGAGCGGGGAGATGGAGATGGAGATGGAATTGCAGATGGGAAGGATAAAGGGAAGGGGAAGGGGAAGGGATGGTTTTGGTGGTGAGGTCTTGAGTTTATCTTTTTTTTTAATCTTGTTTTATCTTGCTTTTGGGTGTTGCTTTACCTGCGTGATGGTTTGGGATGGTGTATTTTGTTTAATCTGTGTATGTGTTTTGTGTTATCTTGGTTGGTGGAGACAAGACATTTGAATGTTTACTACAGCTAGTGCATGTCCATGAGGATTTGATATGCTCTCCAGCTGTCGAGATCAAGTCTGTCTAGAAAGCATCTTCATTCATTCAGTTTCTCTCTCCCCTCTCTTTCTTTGTGTTTCCATGAAGATGTAGTTAAACAAAATCATATATATCCTACAATCGGGGATAAATCCACCTTCATATAGACAACCACAACCTCACCAACTGCTAGATCGATGCTTTTTTCTCCAGTTCATAAATTGACAAATATCAGTGAGTGGCCTTAAATATTGACCTACCTCGGTAATCATATCAATCCTGTGAAGGCACAATAACATCATGATCAATCTTCTGCCCCTGTCCCTTATACCTCCATTTACTGAAATACGCGTCCGTCGACCCTTCACCTCCATTACTCGTGGCATACGCGCCGACCAGAGTACCTGATTTCGTCAGTATATTTCCCTCTTTCAACGAAGAAGATAATTGGGGAGGAAGGAACAGGAAAAAGGCACTAGAGAAGCAACAGAAGGAAACAGAAAGGCAAAGAAAATAAAACTCACCAGTAAACCTCCCCGTATCACCACTCACCACCAACGAATCCACCTGTCCGATGACCTTCTTCTTCGCGTGTGACCCCACCGGCGCCGCGGAGAATGTATACTGAGTATCACTCACAGTTTGGATCTCCAACCTAATCCGTCCACCTTTCCAGTCTCCAGGAACAGGCACGAGTTCCGTCGACAAGGGACCGTCAAAGTTCCCGCGGCCGGTGGGTCGGAAGCGGAACGATAAAGAGTCCTCTCCCTTGTCTGTCTTGAGGAGTACGATCCCCAGATCAACATGTTGGTCTTGTGTCAGGAAGAGTGTCACGCCGGCTTCTTCGTCTTTCGTGCGCGGCGAGAAAGAGACGTCGACGCCATACGTGAAGAGCGTGTCTGTTTGACGGCGCAAGATGAGACTCGTGCCGTCGGAGGGCTAGAAGTCCTTGTCACCGGTGATATTATGGAAGGAAGGTTTGATACGCAGAGAGTTGGGATGACCATGCGGCGAGACGGTGAAGACGTCCTCCTTGGGGAACCGCCAGTAGAGGAAATGCGGTGGGAGAGGTGATCCAGGCACGAAATCTACCTGATCCGGGTCCCCTGCGAACGTTCCCCCGGCTATCCCTTTCCCCTTGAGACTGGCGCGGTCCGATCGAGGCAATGGCCCACGCATTTGCCCCCTCACCGGCTGGATGACGGGCCACTGGCCCTTCTCCCACGTCGCAGGGACCAGCACCGTCTCGCGCCCCATGGGATAGTTCAGCCACTCGGGGCCGGACCGCGTGCTCAGCGCCACGGCCCACCAGTTCCCGTGGCCGTCTTGGAAGAGGTCCGCGTGGCCGACGGTCTGGAAGTACTGGGTGGTGTCCTTGTTAGTGAGCAGCGGGTTGGCCGGACAGGGCTCCCAGGGCCCCGTGCGGTGTTTCGAGCGGGCCATGGTCTCCCTGTGGCCGAGTTCGGTGCCTCCCTCGGCGATCATCAGATAGTAGTAACCGTCTTTGCGGTACAGATGCGGCCCTTCGGGGTAGACGCCACCGGTGCCGTTCCAGAGGTATGAAACCGGACCGGTGGCCCCGGTGTCAAGATCGAGGCTGTACGATTGGATGCGATTGTTATCAGCGGAAGTAACGTACACAGTACCGTCATCGTCCCAGAAGATGTCCGGGTCGATACCTCGGACAGAGAACTCGAGGGGTTGGGACCAGGCGTCGTCGCGGAAGGGGTCGTCAGTGCTGAAGACGAGGCCTTTGACCTGCGGTCCGAGGAACGAGACAATGAGGTAGAATTTGCCGTTGTGATAGCGTAGCGTCGGCGCATAGATCCCACCCTGCTGGTCGGTGGTCTCCGCAAGACTGGGGATCTGACTGGCGCGGTTGAATGCGTTGCTGATGTGTTTCCAGTTCTGGAGGTCTTTGGTCGCGTAGACGGGGAGACCGGGGAAGGCGATGAAGGTGGAGGTCACGCAGAAGGTGGTGTCGTGGTCGGCGACGTAGATGCACGACGGGTCGGAGTGCCAGCCACCGAGGATGGGGTTGGTGTAGGGGGTGTCCTTGAGCGGACGAGCCAGGCTGGAGGCTGCCATTGCCATGATGGTGATGGCAAGGGATTTGAGAGGACGCCACATGAAGTCTAGGGATGCCGTCTGCGGTGGACGTCGAATGGACTCATGACCAGGGCATATTTGGATCCGGCTTGGAGGGCATTTTTATATCTCTGCCTTGGATATTAATTGCGGGGGATGGGACCACTTTCTGCTCGTCAAGAGCTGTGAAAATTGGGGTTATGGTGATCTGCAGGGGTGATTCAGGCTAAATAAGGTGGTCAGGGCTAAATACCTCGAACGATCTTCTTTGAATGCGGGGATTCCGGGGGCATTGGCCAATTCGATGGGTTGGTAGAAATCGGGATGGGGAGGGATATTTCTTATTTTGAACGAGAGTCCTCAGGCAGCTATCATGGGTCATATCATCAGTCTTGGTCTAGGAAACAGAGACTTAGAGTGTACATGCCTCTATTCAACTCGTACATCTCACTAGATCCAAACCACAGTTACATGAACAATCCCTGATTCGCCCCCTCGTACGAGATATTATCGATGTCCATCCACCCAAGCCCATACCACGGCCCTACATCCCACTGATCAAACGAGAGATCCGGATTTGAGAAGGGTAGAATGTCCGGCAGTAGATCCGTAGGAATTCCATTCCCATTCATCCCTAGCCCCGATGGATCCACCGACGACAGACCCTCCACATCTTCCAAAGAATGTGGCTCGACAGGCTGTTCTTTCTGAACGCCCCGCGTCTCGAACGCATTGTTCAGAATCTTGGAGACCGATTCCCCGCACTGGCCGATGCAGATACTGGCGAGATCCCAGCCGTCGCGTTCGGCGGCCTCGTGAAGTTTCGTCCAGAGGCGGGAAAGGCTCGATTTACAGGCGCTTATGATGGTCTTATCGGTGGATTCGACCGTGCAGCGCAGGAGGATGATGACGGTTAGGATGAGATGGTGTGCGGTATCTAGAGATGATTAGATTTATGGAAATCAGTGAAGAATGTGGGTGGATGTGCATACAGGGTAGCCAGAATTCTTGCAGTTGGGCTTTCGTCAAGGAGCATACGTATTCAACGATGTCGTGCGCTGATCGACGTAACTGGGACAGGTGGTAGCGCGTGCTTTCTGAGCGGTCGATTTCGGAGGAAAGGGTTGCTGCCTTTTCAATATATTAGATTAGACTTTAGGATATAAGAGAGGATGGAAGGCTTACATGTAAAGCAATGCGATTCAGTAAAAGTCGAACAGAAAGATAACCGAGCCGTAAACTACTCGACCCTGACGCTCTCAAATGATCGTCACTGTTGGGTTGAAGATAGCTGGGCAAGTTATCCTCCCAATCGCAAAGCTCGAGTTCCAGTCGGCGGATCTGTCTCCAGATCTGTTTCTGGTCCACGTCCAGATGATATGTGAGGGGAAGAACTTCGCCAAGGATGTTGGTAAGGGTGCAGAGACGAATGAAACATTCAGCTGCCCAGGCGTGCTTCTCAGATTGGTCTGCATCCGAGAGGATATCTAACGGAAGAGGGACGGGCACGTCGTGTTGGCCCTTGGTGATTATTGGCGGTATGCCATGAGCAAAACTAGACCTGGGATAGGTTAGACAACGATACAGATGAATAAGAAGGAATGGCTAACCAGCGATCGTGAATCAGAACAGCCCACCATAGCCGAATGCGCAATGCCTTTTCACTAGCGGGTCTCTTCCATTTTGTCGGATCGCGATTCAACCCTAATGTCTGCGCCAGCGTAACGGCTCTGCCGTTATTGATGGTATTCCCAAGTACGGAATAGACGGGCCGGCCCATCATGTCCAGGACCACGGCGAAGACGGTGGACAGGCCAGGCGCTAGGAAGTCCTGCTGCAAGGCTTCCACAGCCAAGTTCCAGACAAATCGCGAGTCCGGCTTCGGGAATTGCCTGAGCGTCAGCGAATGTTGCCATAAAATAAGCGACAAAGCAAAGAATTCGCAAGTGAGCGCCGGGGAGAGCTTGTCTCCGCTTCTATACAACTCCAAGAATGATTGGCGGTCAAGCATAGGAAATGCAGGGTGGATCTCATCAAAATACCTATTCCCTGGGCCATTAGTTTGTCTGCACGCAGGTCCGCCATATTCTAGGCAGTGCTATCCTTAGAATCACTTACAGTCTGACCAGCTCATCCGCATATGGCTTAAGAATCTGCCGTAGTATCTCTTTCTGCTGCTTACCCGGATTCTCCGACATGGCAAGGCCCTCTCTCCGTCGGGGAACTTTCATATACACCATTGGACTGGCGGCCCCCGCATAAGAGAGGCTTCCGTCGACGGAGACGGGCATGGAACTACTAGCCTTCGAAGACATATAACGCTCCAGAATCTGGATATCCTCCGATATGACCGGGCTCGCAACCATCGACAGCTCAACTTTAGAGCGATCCTGGGTCGGCGAGCCGTGGTAATCGGTCCCGACCCTCTCATCCTGTCCGGCGTCTGCGTCGGCGGGCGAGGGCGCTGCATTGACTGCCACATTGACATTAGATGGAGCCGGCTTGGGCAGAACCCGTCGCTGTTCACGCCTATATGAGCGACGTGTACTGGCCTGAGCCTTGGGGCTGGCCGAGATGAGACAAGGCACCTCCTGTAGGTTGCACAGCACGCAAGGCCGATCTGGTGTTCCTCCGGTGCATCGCCGCTTGAATCGGCGGCATCGGTCACAGGCAGGCACCTTGTGGGAGCGGTAGGGGCGGCGCTGGTCTGGCATTGGGGGCGAGCGATGGTATGATAGATTACATCGATTGTGCCATGTATACTGACATGCAGGCAGCTGGTTGCTAGGCTTCCAGGACGTATATGAATGTCTTTTCCGCCGGGTGTCTTTGTCCGCCGGAAAAGATGACTGTGGGGTATCTTATCGTAGATAAGAGATAAGATGGCCTTATCGCTTATCAATCGCCTCTCGATTGAATCAGTCCAGCAAGATCATCTTTTTACACCCTTCTATATAGTATATACAAAAGACACTGAATGGCGAGCATTGATATGCTCTGCGGAGCCCATCTTTGGACAGACTGAGTTCCAGCTTTCCTAGGATACGCGGGTCCCAAGGGAACACAGTCGATGCGTCTCGTTCATCCCACCATCGGCATTCGACGCCACATACTCCGTACATCGGTGGTGTTACAGTTGCACTTGTGCTCTGCTCCTCATCCACGGCCTACATCATTCGCTTCTTCGGATTCCGGCGCATCTGCCTCTGTCTCTCCCGCTCATCGTCACTGACGTCATCCAGTCTCGTCTCGACCCGATCCAGCGCCGACGTGATCTCCTCGTCGCGATTCTCATGTCCAGCCACCGCCACCTCGAGAATCCTCCGCTCGAACCCCTGGATGACATGCCATTCGATCCCCGCCTCCGTCAACCGCTGGCACCCTTCCGATTGTCCAACAAATGTCCCGGGTTCCTTCACGCCACAGTAAACCTTCTGGATGCCATTGCGCCCGCCTTCCTTCGTCTGAATGATCCGTTGCACGCAGGGCGCGTTCCCGGACAGTCGTTTGGCGCACGGCTCCATAGTCACGTACATGACGAGTTTCCGGCCCGGTTCTGAAGGCAAGACCTCATGCACGCGGTCATCTGGGACGGAATGGGCGGCCGCGTAATTGGATAGGCAGCATTGTTCGGCGTGCGTGTTGCCTTCCAGCTCCATGGTGTAACCGGTCGACAGGATGCGGTCGTCCTCCGCCCACAGATCGCCGTCTTTGCGGGAGACGAGGACGGCGCCGACTCGGAAGTTGGTCGGTCGCGGAGGGGACTTTTCGGCGAGGTCGATGCATTGTTGCATGTAATTTCTGTGGAGGGAGCTCATGGTGGGGAGGTAAGCCAGTCAGGAAGGGATTTGGGAAAAGAGAAAAGAGAAAAGAGAAGAGAGAGGAAAAGACCAGATGAAAGAGAGATGACCTCAGTTGGGCGGAGGGGAGGACGGGCTAAACCAGATCGGGTAGTTCAAGTGATTTCGCGTCGCGTCTTCTTGTCGCCGCTCGTTCAACTCTCATTCCCCTTCCAACCTTCTCGACACCCTCCCGGAGAAAGAAGATTTTACATTCGGACCTACAATCAAGCTTTCCCGTTTCCTGGATCGCCACCCCCGTCGTCCCTCCCTCCCTCACAATGTCGTCCGACCACGAAGACTTCCACGACGAAATCCCGCAGCCGATCGAGACGGACCTCTATGGCATCCTGGGGGTCAGCGAAGATGCCACCCCGGACCAGATCAAATCTGCCTATCGCAAACAAGCGCTGAAGAATCACCCAGGTAAGCCCCACTCATCCGATCCCTGTCCTATACCCTGCACGCTACCCTGTCAGGATGCATATGCTGACAACGCCCCCCACCTCCAAAAGACAAGGTATCGGCCGACTCCAAAGACGAAGCCAACGAGAAATTCCAACAGATCGCCTTCGCCTACGCCATCCTCTCCGATGAGAAACGACGCAAACGATTCGACCTGACCGGCAGCACATCCGAAGCCGTCGAGGAAGATGGCGACTTCAATTGGATGGACTTCTACCGCGAACAATTCTCCAGCGCGATCGATGAGAATGCCCTGGATCAGTTCAAAAAGGATTACCAGGGGTCCGAGGAGGAAGAGCGGGACGTGCTCGCGGCGTTTGACAAGTACCGCGGCGATCTGGACAAGGTCTACGAATCTGTCATGCTGTGCAATGTGATCGACGACGACAATCGATTCCGCACCATGATCGACAAGGCCATCGACGAGGGCAAGGTCGAGAAGCACGCGAAGTATGCGAACGAACCAGAGAAGAAGAAACAGCAGCGATTGAAGCGGGCGCAGAAGGAGGCCAAAGAAGCGGAGAAGCTGGCCAAAGAGCTGGAGGAGAAAAAAGACGATAAGAAGAAAGGGGGACAGAAGAAGAACAAGAAGGACACGCCGGCGAATGACAACGATCTGCTATCGATAATCCAGGCGCGACAGGCTTCCCGGGCGGATTCGTTTTTCGACCGGCTGGAGGAGAAATATGCCGGGGGCAAGAAGCGGACCGGGAAGTTCGACGAACCCCCGGAGGCAGCGTTCGAGGCGACGGCTGCTCGACAGACGTCGAAGAAGAAGAAAACCAAGGCTTGATCTTGATCGGGCAGAAGACATTTCACGGCGTTAGACAAGGGTGCAGGTGTATATTGGATATTATGGCATGACTGGTTGTTTACTCCGTTATTTGGGATGGTTTTATTGGTTTATTTATTTAAATGTTCTTTGAGAGTGAATGACCGGATCATCATGACTGCATTGCCGGGGAGTCTAGACCGCGCATTATTTATCATTTCTCTTTCTTTGAGCCCGTGAATTCTCTCTTTCTTTAAGTTATTATATATTGGCAACACTCATAATTACGTATGCTGCATCCCAAGAGATAGGGCAGGATACACGGAGACACGGAGACTCCGTTCCTGTCGTGACACCTTCACATTGATGGTCAAGCCTTGTGATATATGCAAGGGAGCAAGCGGTAGCACTTCCATTAAGAGGGAATTGAATTCATCCACGCCTCAATCGGCTGGCGAGACGATCAGCCCTCATCCCTTTTCTTCCCCTCATGAAAGTCGCCTCTGCCCCGCGCCGAGACTCTCCAGCCCCTTCGATGATCTTCTGCCTGCGCCTTAATTATTGCATTCTCCCCCTCTCTCCGGGGAGAGTCCCTTGCAGACATCCTGGAGAACTGATCATTCATCTCTACATCACCTGACGAAGCTGTCGATCACTTGAGTCTTCTTCTCCATTCTCCCTCGCCCTCTCCCTCCCTCTCTTTTTTTTTTGATTTTCCAATCTCTCTCTCTCTCTCTCTCTCTCTCTCTCTCTCTCCACCTCGGAGGGAAAAGGGTCGCTCCAGCTCGTCCAGCCCCTCTTCGCCCTAAACCGACCCAACCACGACTGTTAGACAAGACCGACTAGTGGAAGATCGTCGGGATTGACACGGTTGCCTGCACGTGGAGGGACTGCTTAAAAACATCTTTGTCTAAAGAAAAAGTCGCGGGGCTTTTTTTTTTTTTAACCTTCTGTTAGTGACAGGAGCAAAACAAAGGCTCTTATTTTCCCTTCCTTTTCCTCTCGTGTCCACTCTGATGTTTGATTCAACTGGATGCGGAAACCGGCGAGACTAATCCTTTCTCCCTCTCGTCACTAGAGCGTCAAATTCTCCACATCCCTCGGCGTGTTTGGTCCAAACCAGAGGTTCCCTCGGGGTCTGGCTGACGGGCACGACTTGATTCTCCACAACAACCTGTCAAAACCGCCGCAGGACCGGTGCCCACCCACGATGCCCCCCTACAGGAAAAAGCCCGCCCGCATGTCGCTGGCGGCCGCCTTGGAGGAGGAGCGCCTGGAGCTGGCCGGCGAGCTCGAAGCTCGCACCGCAGCTTCCCGTCGGAACCCGGGCGCGACCACCACCCGGAGCTTGCTGGACATCGCTCCGTCGCCCGAGTCGCCCGAGGCCCTGCCGCCCCGACATGGGTCCATCGCCGGCATTGGCGTTGGCGTGACTCCCCCGTTCCCCCGTCGCAGTTGGCATGACCCTGCTCCGGCCGCCCCGTCGTTGCGCGTGAATACCGCGGTGGCGCCTCCTCCTGCCCCTGCGACGGCTGCTTCTCAACCTACCTCCACCTCGCCCGACAAAGAATTCGGTCCAAACGCCGCCGCCACCACCACGCGCAGATTTAGCGACAACGCCGCTCTCGAGAAGAAAAAGCTCTCGGACGCTAAGGGCGATCATCCTGATAACAAAACTTCCAACAGCGCTGCCACCAGCCCCGTCGCTAGCAAACCGAAGCCGAGCATTCGCTGGGACGATTCCGTCGTCATGTCCCCCAGCACCACCACCTACAGCTTAAACCGACGCGCCAACAGGTCCTCCGACAAATCCAATAAACCGCCCCAGAGCAAAAATGCCATGGCTGCGGTGATGTCAGGCCTGGATCTGAAGGTCGGCTTGCCGAGTTTTACCAGAGGGAGAGATTCGAGTCGCAATAATAACGCTCGAGGAACCTCACTGGATTCGCGGCTCTCTACCTCCCGACTGGGACGCTCGAGCTCGCCGCGGAATCGATGGCTCGGCTCGAGCTCACGCAATGCAAGCTCCAATCCAGGGAAACCCGCGCCTGAGAAGCCAGCGCCCGAGAAGCCCAAACCGGTAGAAATTGAGAACGCCGACAAACCCCAAGCCACTCCCGCACCTGTTCCTGCACCGGCGCCTACTCATCGTCGTGAGACGTCCGATCCCGACAGGAAACCATCTACATCTGGGGATGAGCGCCTAGCGAAGGATATGTACGACAGCGAGAACAATCCGATCGAAACAAGCGACGAAGAAGCCGACGATTCCTCTTCCAGTGATGACGACGACTCTACCTCCGAGCGCGGGAGGAAACCTACGGTCAACATAATCCTTCCGGACAGGAGTATTTCAACGGCGAGTGCAAAGACAGGTCCGCCGCCACTTCCTGTCGAACAGAAAGAGAGTACGTCCCTCTCTCTTGTATCCCTATAACCCTGAGAAACCATTCTCAGCATCTTCAGCACTTGCGTGTACGTACTGACAAGCAATCGCTGCAGATGCCGAGGAGAAATCCGACTATTCACACTCTTCCAAACAAGGACCAATCCCCAAGAAGCCCGATGTTCATCCTCGGACCAGTTTTGACTCGGGCGCTTCCATGCCGAATACGCCGTTCGGCTCCGACGACGAAGCCGAGCTATGTGACATTAAACGCGCTCAGCAACTGGGCATTGAACTGTCCGCAATCGACAGCTCCGTCCAAAACCGGTCGATTCGAACCATCATTCGCGGGGACTATGCTCAGCAGTCGAGCGAACTGGAAGGCGGTCGTCGCCGGCAGCGCAAGTATTTGGTTGCGACCGATCTGAGCGAGGAATCGGTATACGCTCTGGAATGGACCATCGGTACCATTCTTCGTGATGGCGACACCATGTTTGCCGTTTGCGCGATCCATGACGAGACTGCCGCATCCAATTCACTGCAGGTCGGTGACAACGCAAAAGCAATGCAGGATGCCGCGGCCGTGATCGGATCCCAGACGGAGGAGACGGCGCAAAAGCCGCATAATGACTCGTCAACTAACCTATCCCGTGCGATACTGGGCCGACTGGGAACGGACAGCAAACCCAGCTCAGTGGATGCTCGGGGAATGCCGAAAATCGAATCCGAACGGGTCCGTTCTGTGGAGGTCATCTCTCAGACGTGCGTTCGTCTATTGCGGAAGACGCTGCTGCAAGTGCGGGTCGCCGTCGAGGCAATCCATTGCAAGAGCCCAAAGCACATGATTACGGAGGCTGTATGTGGCACCTGTGACTTTCCCTATGTCCGTTAACTTACTAACGTGGGCGCTTGTGTAGATTGACGGGCTCGATCCGACACTGGTTATTGTCGGCGCCAGAGGCCGAAGTGCCTTGAAGGGGTAAGTTCAGTTCTGCCTGATGGGTTTTGTTCTATTCAACAATGGCCCACTAATACTGTCTGTATAGTGTTCTCCTTGGATCCTTCTCCAACTACTTGGTGATGCATTCGTCGGTTCCCGTTATGGTGGCACGGAAAAAGCTCAAGAAGCATTCGAAGAACAAGAAGGGCACTAGTATTCGTCTGTCCAACAACCTCGCCACGCCTAAAAAGCTAGCATTTGCGAAGGTGGACTAGAACGACGATAACGCGGCGACTATCTATCTCTCCCTCTTTTTTTTTTTTTTTCTACTATTGTTTTCTTCATTGCTATGGTTTTGCTCATTTGCGGATACCTCGATAGTTCAACGGTCATGCGGCGCATCTGTTGTTTTTCTTGTTGCTGCTCTTTTTTGGGGGCGTAATTGACTGCTCCTGCTGTATGATTATGACGATCTATTGGCAAGCCGGACCGAAATGATTATGAAATCTCTACCAGAAATCCAGGAATCTCGTTTTCTATAGTCTGATACTAGTAGTAGGTCATAGTAGAGGCAAGTAAATAAAGGCGGTGGGGAACGGGGCCGCATCACGTGCGGGGCCACCCAATCCCGTGCAATCGTCATCTCAACTTACTTGGCCCGACGTCTGCTCGGATCTCCAGCTGCTGCTCCCCTTCTCCCTCCCCCTCGTCCCTCGATCGCTTTTCCCTGTCTCCCCGTGGTCCTGTTCCCAAGGACCTCATCACCATGGCGTCCGAATTTGTCGACCCCCGCATGACCTCCATCAAGCCTCGCATCCGCTACAACACCATCGGAGGTATCAACGGACCGCTGGTCGTTCTCGATAATGTACGTTCACCCCGGGGGTTAGCCTCCCTCTTGTTTCTCAAGCTTTCTGTAGCTTATTACTGGGTGGCTTCAAAACTGACGATTTTTCTCCTAGGTCAAATTCCCTCGTTTCAACGAGATCGTTTCCCTGACTCTCCCCGATGGAACTGAGCGGTCGGGTCAAGTCCTGGAAGCCAGAGGTATGCTCCCTGCCTGGTCGAGCGCGACAGCGCTTGGTCTAGTCATGGAAACTAACACGGTCTCTCTCTTGAATAGGCAGCCGAGCAATCGTTCAGGTACGACCCATGAAATCGCAGCGGTCCCCTATCTTCAGGGCCTCCTTTCCTTCGCGAGATATTAACGTGCTCCGGCGGTTTTCTATAGGTGTTCGAAGGTACTCCCGGTATCGATGTCAAGAGGGTAAATAAATGCTTCGGAGAGTTGGATCTGGATCGACCCGCTGACCTCTGTTCCAGACCAAAGTCGAGTTCACCCGTCACAGCTTGAAGCTGGGTGTGTCCGAGGACATGCTGGGTCGTGTTTTCGATGGTTCGGGTCGCGCTATTGATAAGGGTCCCAAGGTGTTGGCGGAGGACTACCTGGATATCAACGGTCAACCAATCAACCCTTACTCGCGAGTATGTTCATCGCCGTGCTTTCATCTCCCCGGCTTGTCGGGCTGGTTGCGGGTGGCTAAACGGATTGTTACGGACAGGTGTACCCCGAAGAAATGATCTCGACCGGTATCTCCGCCATCGATACGATGAACTCGATTGCTCGTGGTCAGAAGATTCCTATCTTCTCCGCTGCCGGTCTTCCCCACAACGAGGTGGCTGCTCAGATTTGTC